GTACAGTAATTCATGTACAGTAACCCTATACCCTAAGATGTGAACAATAACTATTGAACAGTAAAATCAATACCTTAAACCCTAAAAAAATATTTTTTAACACTTACCATTAAATAAATATTTAAGAAGACGATATGGTTTTACTTATACGTACATTGTATTTATTAAATTGTTGTATTATTTGAGTTTTGACTCTCGGATTATGAATTCTTATTTCTTAAGCTTTTTATTACTAAGTTTTTGCATCTTAATTATGGTATGAAGTTAAATTGTTTTAAGGTGAACTAGAGTCGAGCTTTACAGGTAAGGAGAAGAGTGTAAAGCAAAAAGCAGCTGATTCCTGGTTCCGGAACGCTTTTTAAAGCTAAAAGAGGGCCAAGAAGCTTAAGAATCCACTTGAACACAAAAGTGAGTGCATCTTGCAACCTTGTTGGCTAGAATCTAGTAAGTCAGAGATCAGATTTAGCAGTGGCACTTCACTCCTTTCTATCAACGGTTACTCTTCCTTCGAGTTCACATTACAAAGACTCTTGTGAATGGGTAATAGATGACAAGCCGGTTGGTAGCTACTCTTCAAGCAAAACTTGGGAGGTTCTAAGGCCTAGAGAACCGGTAAAGGACTATGTTGACCTGATTTGGTTTAAAGGTTCAAACGCTTCAATCTCTGGATTACAAACCTTAATAGACTACAAACAATGGCACGGCTAGCTTCGTGGGGATTACAAGTTTCTCCACTTTACAGCAACGGAGACTCGAGATCACCTCTTTCTACATTATTTTTTCACCATAGCTTCTTTGAGTTGGTCAAAGGACACATTAACCTCTGAACAATGTGTATAGATTAACAGGAAAAGATGGAGAATTTGAACGAAAAAGAAAGTTAAGTAATTAAAGACTCTAATCTAAGGACTGAATCTTTCTTGAAGCCACACTAGCTTTCTTTTAAAGCCAATCAAGGGAGGACGACCGGAAGCCTACGTTATATAATCCATGAAGGAAGCTTGCACATTGTATGCCAATTATCATCCATCAACTTGAACGCAATGCAAAATTGAATATCAAATGCATACTTGTTTTCTAACAACAACAAAATCAACAAATTCTCCAACGATATAAATCTGCCTCCCCTGCAAAATTATGGAAACCATATCAGGCATGAACAAGTGGAGAAAGGAAGAGGTAATTCACTGGTTTGATACCTAAAATCCGTGGAGGGATCCTTCCTCTGACAACAAATTCTCTGACAACACCTTAGATATCAAACCACGGAGTTGCTCTTGTAGGAAGGGCTTACTTCCACAAAGCGTTCAGAGCTTCCTATATATAGCGTTAAGAAACCGTGAAACCACTTAATTTGTATTGACATATGATCCCACTTAATTTGTATTAATTTGTATTGACATATAATGCAGAGCTATCTCTGGTCGATGTGCCATAAAGATCGATATTTCTAAGGCGTTTGGATTACTTTTGACCCAGAACCAGAAGAAAAAAATATTTAGACGTTCGTAGCTAATATATTATAAACCGTAGACCACTTAATTAAATTTAGATTGAAAAGATTTCAACTTAAGAACCAATTAAATTCGCTTAGAAACATTCGATGGTAAGCTTCGTTTGAAGTGCATGTAGCTTGGCCACTGCAGCTTCTATCTTTAACTTCTTCCTTGCAGGAAAGGATGACGTCTTGATCATCAACTTTTCTACCACGGTCCCTTGCCTTATGAAACACGACACCAAGGCAAACTCTTCCTCTGAGCCGCTGAAGTTATACATCCACAGAGTATCTACGTGGAATTTAGCATTGGGGAACGGATCTTTGTTATTGTTCTCCTCCCACAACTTTTTCTGCCAAGACTCATTTTCTTCTGTTGGACCATAGTGTGTGGAGTAGCATCAGTATTAGACCAAGGGAATTGGAGAGGGGCATAAAAGACCCTTATTTGGTGGATTCCTTGTACTCAGCCACTTGAAGGAAAATAGCTGAAGCAGATGCAATCCTTTTCTAGACGTTGCAAAATAAAACAAGAAAGTATTATCAGGATTCAGCAGTAACGAGGTTGAGGTAGACAATTATCTCTCTATATTTGCTTAACAACAAAAGATATTGAGAAGGTGAAAAATGGAGAACAGCATCAAAATATGTGCCTTAAGGACTTAAAAATGGACAAGAGTAACCACCTTCAAATGAGGATCAAAAAGCAATCAGATCACTAGAGTAACTTCAAATTTCCTGTTAAAGTGTAAATGATGTCGGAAAGTTAAGGAAACAAAAAAATAGAGCGATATGGTGAGAAAAAGATGTTGTAGGTAAAATATTTCCACCTTGGCTTGAGTACATCACTGGTTGGAAAGAGAGTCATCCACTGAGGGGTAAATGAGTTTGAATCAGCCTGGCAAAGATCCTTTACAGGAGAATAAGAAATTGTCACTGAAAAGTTAAGTAAAATGAGAACCAACTAAGAGTTTTAAATTGCTACTCACCTGTATGCAAACAATAGCAGCTATTCTAACCTTCGAGCTTTGGGCACAATAAGAATCCCGTGCGGAACAGCCACTGTCACTGAATTCAGAATCTGATGATATAACATCAAAACTACCAGAATCATGGTCACAAGACACTTGCTGCTTAGTGTTCAAATCATCCCTCTTGCCACAAGTGGGGTGGCCTATAAGGAGTATTCTTTCTGTTGTTACTTACTCCAGAAATCAATGTAGAAAGCTTGACATGTAACTGCTTATCGTTGTGAACAATATCAGAAAACACCCTTGTTTAAACTTTTATGGCACCCTTGTTTGTTCCTTCCTCTTCCATTTTCACACTTGCTTCCTCCATTTCCACTGGGTTTACTCCTGTAACCTGCAATCAAACTAACCACATTAGAAAACCATTTTCAGTCCTTCAGCCCTGTCTATTGTTTCACTTTACTTTGCTTCCACTCTCATCTATCTCTACCTCACAACCTTTGCCACGCTCCATAACTCCTTTCAGTCCATCCTGCACAAACACGTCATCATAAACTATTAAATTCTTCAACTTTTCAAGCAAATTGCATTCTGAACTGATAGGCTATATACAATAAGGACAATTGAGTCTACATCAGGAACAAGAGGAGACAGTTTAGGGATCGAGAGGCAGGAATAATTTAGCTCAGCTTAGCAAGATCACATTTTCTAATCACTAAAGATTCGCTACACTCAAGTGGATGTATCACCAGCTCAAATTAACTGAATTAATGTCAGATTTGGGGTGTCGGGATGAGAAAGGAAAAAATGTGTGATGTTTTTTGGGCCCATTGCGCAAAGAAGACTCGGTTCGGAAAAATGCTATCAACCTAGATGAAGTAATGACTAAATGTCTGAGCAATCGAAACGAATAAGAGCCAATCCTCTAGTACCTTGCCCTTCGTATCCGGTTCAACAGCTTCTCTGCTTGGTATGGATTTACGGCACAATGGGACGCCAAAAAAAAAGTACACGTGACTACACCGCAGGCACAACCCCAAGAAAAACGAAAGGAGGAAAATATATATTCATACCGGAAGAAATTGTGGCAGCTTGTCACAAAGAGCTAACCTTGGACCAGGGTCCTTGGTACAGAGACCAAGGAAATTTCAGTGCAAAGCTATAGCAGCATATAATGAACGGAGGAAAGTGCCCCGTAGCACGGCAACATTTCGGATGGCGTAACCCCCACCACCCAAGAGCAGTAGGGGAAGAAAAGAAGAATCAATTAGACGATGAAGATAAAGATAGGAAGACGAAGGCGTTGCCGGAGAAAGACGTCGTGAAGAGAATCGACAAAGGAGGAGAAGAAAGTCAACAAATTTGTATGGGCTGCTTTGGTGTAGAAACTATGTGGGCCTCGTTATGAGGTTATGGCCCAACAGAAGGATTGTGTTATCTAATGTGTTAGCTAAAGCCCACATCGATGAGGTGAATGCTTTTGTCTAAGTGTAACTAAGCCTAAAAAGTTGGAGTTGTTATAGCATCATTATCAATAGGCTTTTGAGTTAGCGATTGAGTTAGCCACACAGAGAGTATCACACATAGCAGCGATTGAGTTAGCCACACAGAGAGTATCATCAAAGGCACCTCTCGCTATCACATGAGTATGAATCTCCTTACCGTATTTAACTTGACGTAAACCAGCACAAGCCTTCAAGGCACTAGCAAATGTATAAGTATCAGATGATTCTGATTTTTCATCCAGTCTCATCATCTTGGAAAAGTATATAAGCCCTTCCTTGTAACGGCCAGCGTTAACCAAACCCGATATGATTGTTGTCCAAGTAATGGCATTTCTAAAAAAATTAATTTTTGAAAAGAGTAGTTTTTTTTTTTAATGTTTGGGCTGTTTATTAGTATTTAGGATTAAAAATTATTTTTTAGTGTTTAAAAATAGTTAAAGTTTTGTGGTATTTTTAGGAAAAAATGTATTTTAATAGTATTTTTGAAAAATAAAACTCATAATGGCATTTTTGGAAAAATATTCATTTTAGTGGTATTTAAGTCATCTATGTCAATGCAATTTCTCATCTCATCAACATTAAATAATAACAAGAGTACTAGAGAGTCATTACTTGTAATACCAAAACTTACTTCACAGGAATTCAACTATACAGCTTTCATGTGATTGAAACTTTACAATTATTTTCTTTTAAGCTATTAAAAGCATGGCTCCTATTCCCTTAATCCTTGAAACAAATGAATAAGGGAAGAGAGCTACTCTTTCGCCTCCACATCACTTAGTGGATAAAACCATAACTTACTTGAACATGGATCCAAAGATACAAGTCCCTTGCCACTCCAGTTGCGGTCAGGTGGTTTATTTCGATCTTATCTGCTTCTGCTCCATAGATACCATATGAGTTTTTTTTATCGGCTGTCCTTGTTAGTAAATGAATTACATAAAATGCAGGTGCTTCGATCATCTGCTTGAAGACATGGCTTCCTCAATCCTTCTAATCACAATGCTAAGAGGACTTCCCACTTGGAGCGCTTCAACAGCGGCTCTATGTGCCGCCTTGTGCCACTTGAGCAGATTGTAAGACTGTAGAACAGACCACCTGGCTTGATTTGACATCTGTAAAATTAAACGCACATATTCACAATAGTTAACACTTTGTACACTTGTGCAAGAAGGGTTGAAGCGCGCGACTAGTCACAGCAGATATATGATTTTCACTAGACCTGACCTGAGCCATGGACAACGGTGGTTCCAGAAGGAGTGAGATGCTCCTAAACAGATTTTCATCATTCTCCCCACCCTCAGCCTCACCATAAACTAGTGCTTCAGCTGCAATACCAGCAAAAAGTACCATGCTATACCTAAGAGAAATGGAACCACCATTAGGTTTGTGAATGAGGTACAATTCACAGAAGAAAGAACACCACCATGACTAACAATCACCTATCAAATGAGCTACCGCTAAGTCGTCCCTCAGCAATCTCACCCTCCATCTTTTGATCCCAGAATTGGGTTCCAGCCTACACATGATAATCCATTTATGTACTCAGCCACATTTGTAGCTAAAAGGAGCATAGAATCACGGCACTACAAGATAGAATAGCATAATACATGGCCTTGAACCCCCATTTGCATTGCAACAATCGGATCCAATATCACACCACGGATTGGACAGCCCATGAGGTAAGCTGCACGAAAAAGAAGCTACAGTTGTTACCCACCAAACGACCAATAGATTTCATAAAAATACTACCCATGTAATGATCACCAACTTCATACCAATAAGAAGATGACCCGCTTCATGAACTATGATTCTACGCTTATGTGGAGGCCAGTAGCATGATATCTGGGCTAAACAGGTACCACCAAGAAAAACGGAATCCATATAAGCTAGACCCAAAATGACAGCAAGGTTTGGCCGCACATCAATCTCCTGAGAAAGAAGATAGGAGACTCCACCCAGAAAAGCAGCCAAAGCAATGCTTGAACCACCAGAAAGTCCCCACTTTTTTGGTGAAAGTTTAGTAACTAATATATATATATATATATATATATATATATAAAGAGAGAGACATTTAAATAAGTTTTCATTGCCACACTGGGTAATCAAAAAAGAGTGTCCAGAGAAATTTCAGCTACAGACCTTCCAAGCCAGTTGCAGACTTGAGAACAGTAGGTGTAACCTCTCTTGTTCCCTCCAAAACTGCATCACAGCGAAGCAATACATCATTAATCATGTGAGAATGGGGTTTCCAAAACATTTCAATTAACCAGTCCAAACGCTTACACACAGATTCTGTTTAAAGAGAGAGTGACACGTTGCTAAATATTACTTACGTCCATCTAAACAGAAGTTGATACAATACGCTCGAGCAGAGAAGGCCTAGGAGACCAATTTTATTGCAAAAACCACAAGATGCAATTCAAAAAGACACAAAATTGAAATCTGACTCTCAAGTGCTAAAATATTGAAGGCCCAGAAAATAGAAAAGAGAGAGTACCAATAGAGCTGAATTTGCCGAAGTTGGCCAAAAGACCTCTCTCCTTGAGAAACCTAAATGCACTTCGAACAAGTCTCATATCATCTGCATTCAAACACGCATCTAAAACCTGCCAATCCCTCTCCAATTCAAGGGCTCCCAAACCGCTTAACTTAGCGGTCGTCATCGGGGCGGCAATCGCATCACGCTGTTGATCGTATTCGATAGATTTGAGGAATCTAAGTGCCCCGGCAAGATCCTTTCTCTTCACAGCATCTTCGTATTCCCGCCATTCCCTGAGCGCGCTCGGCCTCAGCACCTCATGCCTTCGGAAGCTACGAAAGGCTAGAGACTGTTTGCGAGGAACAAGAAAGCTACTTTGGCGAGGAAAGAGTGGAGGGAATGGCGATAGAGATCTGAGACATGGTGGAGACGACGGAGGTATAGCCATTCAATTTAGAGGCAGTGAGTAGTAGGGGAAGAAAAGAAGATTCAATTAGACGATGAAGATAAAGAAAGAAAGACGATAAAAAAAAAAAAAAAAATAAAAAAAAAAAAAAAATAAATAAAAAAAAAAAAGGAAGACGAAGGCGTTGCCGGAGAAAGACGTCGTGAAGAGAATCGACAAAGGAGGAGAAGAAAGTCAACAAATTTGTATGGGCTGCTTTGGTGTAGAAACTATGTGGGCCTCGTTATGAGGTTATGGCCCAACAGAAGGATTGTGTTATCTAATGTGTTAGCTAAAGCCGAAGATGCTGCTTTATCTAATGTGTTAGCTAAAGCCGAGTTGACAAACAAAAGTATACGCGTAGGTGAAACCCGAAGATATCTATCTAATTAGTTCCTTCCTTCTTCTTGCTCTGACCGTCAAGCTGCTGCTTTAGCCATGGCTATGGCGGCGTCTATTATCCAATCTTCTCCGCTGTCGCTCAATAGTAACAACGGTACGCTTTCGTTCTCACTCTACTCGCTCGCCGTTATCCTCTGGGTTACGTTTTTTACTCCTAGGGATTTCGCCTATGAGTTATGTAGATTTCAAAATTCGGTGTTGATTGAAACCTTTGTACATGATGATTCCACCAACCTTTTTGACCAAGAGGCTAAACCTAGCTTTTTTTGTTTGATTTAGAAAAGCCGCGGATTGAGGTCAGGGTTCCTAGTTCAGGATCGCTTGGCGGAATCAAAAGCCAAAATAGGGTCTCTCCATTGAGTGCCGTTGGATTGAGCTCAGGCCTCGGAGGTAGAAGGCAATCTCTTTTGATATGCCACTCGGCCATTGTAAGTCACCTTCACCTCAGTTTGTTTCTGGATTTTGGGCTATTTTACTCCATTGAATTGTTCTTTCATTGATTTACATAATCTGTGTTCTCCTGACTGAACTGTATTATTGCAAATTGGTTCAAGACTGAAATAAACATCAGACGTCGTGAGGAATGTTACCATGAATTTGAATTTTATCATCTTGTTCTTCTTTGTCAACTCCCTTGCAGAACGCCAAATGCAGTGAAGGACAAACACAGACCGTTACTCGGGAGTCACCCACAATAACACAGGCTCCTGTCCACTGTAAGCTCTCACTTTCTCTAGTTTTCCTCCATTTTTGCTTTCTTTTAATGAATGGCATGCTAGACTTTAGGGATATGAGGATGTTACCAAATGTGTATCCAAAATTGTGTTTTGAAATTTTTTCCCACCACTTACAAAAAGGGTTTAGCTACAAGTCGGAACAGGTGTTAGCTAATTGCATACTCCTAGAGAACTTCTTAGGTCATCTTTATCTTATCTGAACTAAGTTTGGATGGAGGTAGTCTAAGAGCACTCATTTTGTGTTGGGTTTCAGCTAAGGAGAAATCACCAAGCTTGGATGATGGAGGAGACGGGTTCCCACCACGAGATGACGGAGATGGGGGTGGTGGAGGAGGGGGTGGAGGCAACTGGTCGGGTGGGTTCTTCTTCTTTGGTTTTCTGGCCTTCTTGGGTCTATTGAAGGATAAAGAGGGCGAGGAAGATTATCGAGGGAGCCGTAGGCGATGATAATGTGGGTCCATTGAGTTAGTTTTTTGTTGAGTATCACATTTGGTTGATCTTATTACAGCTACAGGTCTCATTTTGTATCTGTTTTGTTGAGTTGGGGGAGGATGGCTACATATGATATGCGATGTATGAAAGAGACGGTTGATTTAAACAAAACTTCTTACTATATGGTAACTCTTGAAATCCGGGGAAAATAAGACACTGGAAAATAAATAAATTCGAATGAGAAATATATTATATTATATCTTGTGTTCCAAAACAAAAAGAAATTATATCTTAGTATTACATTTCATGTTTGTCGACACCGGTGTTTGATCTTTTGAGTGAACTTCGAAACGAATTTTGGAGAAATCTAGACATCCAGTAAACTATTTATTTAATGACTCAAAGTTTGATAAGTAATCCGTGTTTTCTTTTAATTCACTTTGTCCTCCACTACTATTTTTGTCTATATCACTATTGTAAGCAAAATCCTAAAACACTTCACTTCCAAAAAAAAAAAAAAAAAAAAATCATTAAAATTAACCATATCTCATTCTAAAACGAAAACCCTAGTATATATCACTTGCGAATATTTTGCCAAAACCAATCCGGTTTTTTTGGGTCAGATTTCGAATTTTTCTGTATGAGTTTTTTTGCCGAAACCTTACCTACCAATCATCATTTTAAGAAAATAATTAGATTGTATCTAAAGTCTGATAAGTATCAAAGGCTTGTCTTTAAGATTGTGAAATTTATGCCAAGCAACCCAAAGCGATCCCTTGTCAGCAAACAATAACCAAATGAATCTTAGGCAGAGAGTTTTGTTCCATTCTGAGAATCTCCTAAGACCCAAACCTCCTTCTTTTTTGGGAAAACAGACATTTGCCCATGCCACTTTGGCTCCTTTATACACCTCTACGTTACCAGACCAGAGGAAACGAGCGCAGAGGGCTTCAATCTTTTTTAGGCAACCTTTAGGGAGCATGAAAGTAGAGATCCAGAAGCTAACTGTACCCCCAATAACCGTGGCGAAGAGCTGCATCCTACCCGCATAAGATAAGGATTTCACAGCCCAAGCGCGGAATTTATTAGCCAGTTTGTCAAGGAGAGGGGCATACTCGGATATTCTCAGCTTTCGAGACATAAGAGGGAGACCCAAGTATCGGATTGGAAGCGACCCAACTGGGAATCCAAAACTAGTGAGGGTATTGGATTCCTGTTGGCTCAAACCAGCGTGAAACAGTTGAGTCTTATCTTTATTGACATGAAGGCCTGACCAAGAAGCAAAGTCATCAACCGCCTCATTTATCCCATGTAGAGAGGATGAACCCCCATCAAAGAAAACCATTACATCATCAGCGAACATGAGATGGGATATTGAGAGCTCAGCCGTGTTAGGATGGTAATGGATATAGCCCGCAGCAAAACGCGAATGAAGAAGCTGAGAAAACACCTCCATTGCCAAGACAAAGAGATAGGGAGACATCGGGTCACCTTGCCTAAGGCCCTTAGTGCTCTTGAAATAACCACTGACGCTTCCATTGACAGAGACTGAGAACGTTGGGGTAGAGATGCACACATAAATCCAGTTAACAAAAACCTCAGGGATAGACATTGCTCGCAAAGCCGAAATAATGAAATCCCATCTGACCGAATCAAACGCTTTACGGATATCAACCTTCAGCATACCTCTTGGCTCAATATTATGCCTGTTATAGCCATGGACAATCTCGGTTGCTAAAAGAACATTCTCAGCAAGGAGCCTTCCGGGCAGGAAAGCAGATTGAGAAGGGGAGATGACCTTTGAAAGCAGCTTCTGGAGTCTCGATGCCAACAACTTTGCAATGACTTTGTAAAGGGTATTAAGGCAGGAGATGGGCCGGAAATCAGAAGTTTTTGAAGCATTGGGGATTTTCGGGATGAGTATTAGGGTGGTTGCATTCCATTGCTGAAGCATCACCCCAGACCTGAAAAACTCTTTGATTGCAGCTGTTACTTCAGGACCTACAACACTCCAACATCCTGTGAAGAACTCAGCTGAAAAACCATCAGGGCCGCTGGTTTTGTTCTTTGGGAGATCAAAGAAAGCCTCTTTTATGTCGGAGTCAGAGAATTGACCTTCCAACTCTTTCTTCTGGTCAGGGGAGCATCTGAAAGGCAGTAGCAGCTCCATATCGTTCTGCAGGAGCAGAGAGGGACTAACATCACTCCCTAAGAGATTTGAGAAGAAATCACAGCAATGCTTCTGAATATCCAGGTGAGTATCAAAAATATGACCCTCTTCATCTTGCAGGAAATGAATGGTGTTGAAGACTAGTCTAGACTTCACCATTCTATGGAAGTAAGCAGAGTTGCTGTCCCCGACGCCTAACCAAGTTACTCTAGAACGTTGGTGAAGGAAACTCTCTTCCGCAGCAGTTAGGATCTGCCATTTACGCTCGGCTTCCAGCACAAGGGTAGCATTAGAGGGGGAAGGATCATCAAGGGTAACTCTCTGTCTCTTTAAAACCAACTCATGAGCCTCTTTAACCCTTTTTTCTAAGTTGGAGAAATTGTCTTTACTGAAGGATCTGATCACTGACTTAAGGCCTTTCAATTTCCTCGAGACTTTGAACATATAAGATCCTGTAACATTGATTGAAAACCAACTGTTGCCAACCACATCCAAGAAATTAGGATTTTGAAGCAGGAAGTTAAAAAACTTGAAAGATCTCTTAACTCGCTGTTCTTGCATATCAAGGATCACCTCACACGATGCATGGTCGGAGAAATCTGGTTCACCGAACAGAGCATATGAAGTGGTGAAAATCCGGGACCAGTTCTCATTAACAAGAACCCTATCAAGCTTCTTAGCCACAGGATGAGTCTTGCTCTTATTCCACCAAGTGAAAGAATTACCTTTATAGACTAAGTCCTCCAACTCAGCATCTAAAAGGCAGTCTCTGAAGTCACTCATTCTTTTATCCACGTTTAGCGAAGATGGGCTTGAGTGCTCTGAGGGATCAACAATCTGATTGAAGTCACCTAAGTGGATCCAGGGGGTTGCTGACACAAGCTGAGAGGAACCGAGGTCCACGATTTCCTTCCAAAGGTCAAGCCTTTTATTTACCTCATTTGAAGCGTAGACCACTGAAACCACAATCCACACTTTTGAGTCTGGTAGGAGCACCTTCCAAGTAACCATTTGCAAAGATTTAGACACCACCACCACAGTAACACTTGGATGCCAGACAATCCATATCTCCTCAAAAAACCAGCCCGGGAGAATACCATCCAAAAACTTAACGTTCTTCGGTTGTTTAACATGCGTCTCTATAAGACCTCCAAAAAGTGATTTCTTTATTTTAATCCATTTTTTAAATCCGCTACGATGACTTGGATTATTAAATCCGCGGACGTTCCAACAAAAAAGTTATGTACACATACTTAAAGGTCGGGGTTGAGGCGCCTGCCTCGAGATTCTTTCTGCCTCCTTTTTGATTGCACTCTAACAAATTTGCCTCCCTCATCATCAGAAGATTGGATGTCAGAAGAATCAGCTTCTTCCTCTGAATCAGAAGAGCCTGAAGATCTGTCAAAAGACGATGGGACACTACGGCTACTGGACTCGCCCAATAAGATCTGCTTAGGATTCACGGCCAAGGACGAGTGCGAGGCAGTTGCCAGAGCAGAGAAAGATTTGGAGTTCTTTGTGAGTACTGGAACAGGGGAAGGAGCTGGGGAGATATGCTGGAGAGCAATGGCTTTCCCTTTCCTAGGAGAAGAGGCAGAAGCGGAAGCCACAGGCGCGGAGAGAGGAGTTACAGAGACAGGCGAGACAGAGGCTATAGGTGCAGCATCTGAGGGAGCCGGGACGGCGGGCTTAAGCTTCTTCTGATTCCTGCGCTTCTTTATGCCATCCTTTTTCCCCCGAGGGCAATTTTCCACAGAATGGCTCGTGGAGGAGCAATCAACACAAGTAATGGGGGCTTGCTTACAGTACTTGCGACTGTGACCAATTTCCTTACAAACTTCACATATTGGAGGCATCCAGGGGCTGGAGACTCTAACACGTTTAACATCACCTGACTGGAATCTGACATTAACGCCTTCAGGGAGGGGTTTACGCGGGTCAATGATGGTGAGGACTTTCGCAACTTCAATGTTAGTTTTATTTGCTGTTGAAGGGTGAAGGAACTTAGGGTCACCAACCAATCCAGCAATTCTTTGTAGCCCCTCTTCATGGAAGCAGTTCAAGGGGACATCACGGAGCTCCAGCCAAATAGGAGCGGAGGTGAGTTCGGGTTTTTCCGGGACGATACATGGTTCCCATTTGGCGACAAACATGGTTTGCCCTTCGATTTGCCATAATCTCTGGTTTAGAACCCGGTTTCTGGTAAAAGCGTTTGGAATTCTGAAGAGAAAAGCATTTCCCTCCATCTTTGACACAGCCACATCTCTGTATTGTTTACTCCAAATTCCATTGACGATGTTATGAATCGTTCCTTGAGGGGGAGGGTCGGAGTAGAATTGCCCGAGAATGAAACAGTCCCAAGATTTTCTGTTTCTTTCTATTATTGAATTTGGCATGTCCACACAAGCTTCCCCCGATTCGAGAGTGGAGTGTATACCTTTCTTCTCCAACAGTTTCGCCGATCCTTTGGCGCGATAAACCCAGGAATCAGTGGCTGGTGAAGACGAGCTTTCTGGTTGAACTGTTCTGGCGACCGTAGTTGCTTTGGCAGTAATTTCTGAGCTGAGCACTGGGCGAGCAGGCTGAGACTCTATGGTTTCTGTTTCAGGAGGTGAGACGACCTTTACAGAGGTTGGTTTCTGCAGATCTGGAATCGCTGAGGATTCAGACAAATCTGAGGATGGAACAATGGCCAAGTCTGTCGTAATGACAGTCAATTGGGCATTTGGGCTACTCGACGAGACCAAAACCGGCGACGTTGAGACGGGGGAAACTGGAATTTCAACGACACGCGCTGACGACTGGGGTGGAACCAGGTGCGGAGGGGAGACGGAAGGAGGAGAAGAGGGGGCGGGGGATGGGGGTTTCGGCGGAGGCTGCTTCTGAGGGGGAGATTTTTTGGGGGGTTTTTTCTTCGCCATGAGGAGGCGAGGGCCTGAAGACGACGGCGGATTAGGGTTCCGACGTCGTGAGAGACGTCGACGAACGACGTGAAAAGAGGACACTTTTTCGCCCTTTCCAGAGAGAGAAAAAGTCTTTTTTTTGGAGTGTTGTTTTTCCTAACCAAAATCTTAAAGACAACTGTTTTTGGGGCATCTCGGCGTCGGGTTCTGCTTCTTGGCTGTGGAAATCTTTGCTGAACCTTAGACCTCTAGCAGGGAAGTTTCTTAAAGCTCTTGTGGGCAATGGCGGTAATATTTTTTTCTGGCAAGACTCATGGACTCCTTTTGGTCCTCTCATTCAATTCATTGGTGAGGATGGCCCAAGGTCTCTCTGTGTCCCCTTCTCAGCTAAGGTTGCAGATGTTTGTAATGCCTCGGGCTGGCTGCTCCCGTCGCCTCGATCGGAGAATGCTCTACTCCTCCATGCCTTCCTGACAACAGTCCCCCTGCCAAATCCAGGTTTGCGGCATGATTCTTTCTCTTGGGTTGTTGATGGATTTGATTGTCAGGGCTTCTCCTCTTCACATACATGGGAGTCTCTTAGACCTAGAAAGGATGAGCAAGATTGGGCTGATGTTGTCTGGTTTAAGGGTGCTGTTCCTAAGCATGCTTTTAACATGTGGCTGAGCCACCTCAACAGATTGCCTACCCGGGATCGCTTAGCAGGCTGGGGAATTACGCAAGTGTCTGATTGCTGCATCTGCTCAAATGAAGCAGAATCTAGAGACCACCTCCTTCTAAACTGTGATTTTGCAGCTGTTATATGGAGAGTAGTCTTCTCAAGGCTTAGCCCCTCGCTGCTTACTTGTCGCTCTTGGGCAGAAATGCTCTCTTGGACTCGTCGCTGCTCAAGGAAAGCTCCATCCATTCTAAGGAAGCTGGCAGCTCACACTACTATATTCCACATATGGAAGCAGAGAAATAACGCCTACCACAACTCGCAGTCGATTCCTCCTTTGACAATCTTCAAAAGCATCGATCGCGAAATCAGAAACACCATCACCTCAAGAAGTCATCTAAAACGGTTTGAGAGACTCATGAGTCTTTGGATCCGTTGATTAGGTTTTAAACCAAAGCGTATTGTAATCTTGTTTTTATTTCTTTTTGCCAAGATTACACTTTCTTGTGGATATTAGCTTATGTAATATCTACTCTTTTCATTAATATGAATATTAACAGTTTAGCAAAAAAAAAGTATCAAAGGCTGAGCATTATGGACCTCGTTTAGTTACTTAATGGGATGTAGCCATGTAGGGTATGTGGTTCTATCCTTCTATTTATCTCTGTAATGTTATCGAATTAGATCAAAAACAATGTTGTTATCGTCTTCGTCCTCTATTCTCTCAGCTCTTCCTAATTTCTTCTGTAAATCTACCTTGAATCTTCTAAATATCATCTCATTTTTATACGATTCATTGGTAAGTGATTTTAAGCTCATCAGAGTCTTGATCAAATAAGCTAGAATTGTTTTTAGAGTCTTAATAAAATAAGCAAGAATGTGTAACAGACTCCCCCTAAGCTAAAATGAGCCCAATAAAATATATCAATACCTGTGGCCCATTAGCGGGTTTATGAGTAAAATAGCCTATCCACCCAAGCTGCAGCAAAGAAATGCGCGACGATGATGCTCGGTGTGCTCCAGCTTCCCTCCCGCCTCCGTCACTCTCTCTTTTTTTCTTCTTCTTCCCAGATTGCTTCTTCTCGCCCTCAAGGTCCAACATCTCTCTCTCTCTCTCTCTCTGTCTCTTCAGTTTCTGCAACTATTATCTCTACATTTACTTTCATAAAGTGGAGAATTGTAAATTCAGGTGTTGCCAAAGTGGTTCTTAAAAAGGGCAAGACACAGCTCTTCAAAGACGGAAGTCCGATGGTGTACAGTGGAGCCGTAGACAGGATCATTGGGAAACCGCCTCCTCAGACCGGAGATGTTGTCATTGTCGCTGATGGCACAGAGAATCCCATTGGTTGGGGTTTGTATAACTCTGTTTCTATGTTCTGCGTTCGCCTTATGCAGCTTCAACACGAATCCACCAGGTCTCATTTCTATCCTAATGCAATCAAGTTTCTACACTTCTCGTTTGAGAATCTTTGATCCATCTTCTTGGCTTCTGGTAGAGATCCTTCTTGTGCGTTGAACATTGAGAAGCTTCTCCAAACTAGAATCGCCGAAGCAGTTCAGTTGCGTAAGAGCTTGGGACTTCCCTCGGCTAAAACTAACGCTTATCGTCTTGTGAACAGTGAAGGAGATAGGTATTTTTTTACCGACTGAACTCATTTTAATGCTCATATTCTCGATCTCTGGTCCTATTTTGTTGCTCTGCTACAGATTGTCTGGATTGATTGTGGATGTGTTTGGAGATGTAGCTGTGGTAGCATCCTCCGCAGCTTGGCTTGAAAAGTACAGGAATGAAGTGGAGAGTTGCTTAAGATCAATCGATGGAATTAATCATATAAACTGGAGACCGTCTCTTGATGTTCTTAAAGAAGATGGTTTTGATATCTCAAGTTTGAAACAAACACAATCATCTACTCTCCCGCAGAGATCAATGGTACGGTGGTTGGTGCCTTAATCAGGTCTTTCTCTCCTCTTCAGATGTCTTCATGAATATGTAAGCATTACAGGGGTGTGAGCTGAGTGATGTTCTTTCTTATGCCAGGTCGTGGAAAACGGAATCTCTTACTCAGTTTCGCTAGATGGACAGAAGACAGGGTTCTACACAGATCAACGCGAAAACCGTCACTTCATATCAACTATCTCTGCTGGGAAAAGAGTTCTTGATCTTTGCTGCTATAGTGGTGGATTTGCACTAAATGCAGCGAGAGGAGATGCTACTAACGTCGTCGGTACATTTTTATACCTTCCCTCCTACTGACCCACCTTAACCATTGTCTTCGTAATCTTCTGATCAAAACACTTTCAGGCATTGATTCATCTTTACCTGCTTTGGGGCTCGCTAGAGAGAATGTACTCCTCAACAGTATAAATCCGGAGAAGGTTGTTTTCTTCAAACAAGATTTAACAGAATTCATGAAGGGTGCTCTGTCAAGGGAAGAGACGTGGGACATCGTGATCCTAGACCCTCCTAAGCTAGCTCCGCGGAAAAAGGTGACTTGCCTTCTTTTCTTAAAATATAGTGGATGTCGGATGCTTGTCGTTACATAAATGAGATTGCATCAATGTGGATGGATGCTAGGTTTTGCACAACGCGGCAGGAATGTACAAAAATATCAACTCGTTGGCAATGCGATTGACAAGAAGTGGCGGTCTTATGATGACATGCTCATGTTCAGGTGCGATGACGCAGAGTGGGAAGTTCTTGGGGATTCTTCAGAGCGCTGCAGCAATGGCAGGAAGGAAGATCACTGTTGTGAGGGAGGCAGGAGCTGCGTCTGACCACCCACTCGATCCATCTTACCCTCAAGGCCAATATCTCTCTAATGTTCTGCTTCGGGTGCTTTGATTGCCGAAAGTTGTTGCTACATCAAGTTCATAACTTTTGTCCCTAGTTTGTAACTAATACTATGTATGGTTAGAAAAATTTAGGAGGCAGATTTGGAGACAAAAGTAATATATTTATAACTGTTTGGAACAACAACAACAACAAAGTATTGTGTGGAGATTAAGCTCTCACCAAATTAATCATTTTGCAAGCAAGTTTACAATGTATGTATACATGGATGGATAAGATTTACAAACGCAGATTCCCTCTCCCTCTCCAAGCTTGTTACCGACCTCCAGGATTTCTATTCCAAGACAAGTAGGATGGATCTCCAAGTCGCCTAAAACAAAGAACACATTTATTACTCAGCATGACAACATTGTGGATGTATGCAGGAGAATACTTTATTATTATTATTGGCATATATAACAGTCTTATAACCAGAATTTAGCAGAAATTCAACTCTTGAATGGAAGGATACCATCACGACAACAACTGCATTTGAAGGATGTGCGTACCTGGGTTTCACAAGGTACATGATGGTAAATGCGAGGGCCAAAAAGAAACAAACCCCACCAACTGTCAGATAAGCAATACCGAGGAAATCGTTCTTCCCACCCAGCCAACTCGTAGTAGACAAAACAAGCTTCTTCTTCCCATTGAAACTGTAAGTGTTATAGTTGTTCTTCAGCGTAACATGTATGGTGTCACCCATCTCGAGGTCAGACTCTATCTTTCCATAAAGTTTTCTAAATGTTGGCAATGCTGCGGTTCTCATCCACACTATGAGATCTTCTTGTTCACTGAGCTGCACACATGACAAAAGGAAGAAAGATGTCAGCAGACAATTTAAGCAGCATCCATGTAATATCAATGGCAAAATGAACTAATCTCCAGTATTGAAGGGCTTACAGGTATTTTTGGATCTAGAGTAGCACCACCAGTGAGATTGCCCTTCTGGAAATTCTTGGGGAAGACCTTGTTCCCAAACTTGTGCTCTTTATCACTCTTCCATGCAATACCTTTTTTGTTTACAGCTAGGCTTACATTGTTTCTTGATAATGCGTAGGTGTCATTAAATAGACTCCAAGCAATTAGACCACAGGGCACAATCGGCTGCCCACCCACGTCATCCTCCGGCTTGCATGCACTTATTTGATTCTCGTATTTTGGACTTCTCAACTGTGAATCACTTCGGCTTTTTACATACCTGTTTCATAGACACCATCGGATGAGCAAGAGCTACAAAAACTTGACTAATCTAAGTTACATATACACATCAGTCCATATCCCAGCCTACTCCATGCTATCCGTGTTGATATCCACAAAGAAGCCACACCTTCCATTCTAGGTCTAACACTTAGTCCCGTACCAATACGAAAACTACAACATGCTGAGGCATACTTGCTAACTGGTGTTATATACCTTCGGTGATTCTGGTAGAAGTTCTCAAGCTGGTAATAAACATAGACAGGCTGCTTCATACGCTTTGGCACCTAAGAATGCCAGAGGAGAAAAGAGAGTAAACAACAAATGCAACAGTCGATCAAATCCCAACGAGCAAAAAAAAAGGTTGATGCATAAGGAACTCACTTTAAGATCTCGAGTACAGACTTTATCTCCACCTCCTTGAATGTATGCAATTTTGTTAGTCCTAGCAGGAGCCGGTATGCACTCAGTATCATACCGATCAACAATCTCCACAACCTACAGATTGGAGATGTAAGAATTTGAGATATGCAAGAGAATCTGAGGAGTGGCAATTGTATAAGTCGCACTTACATCCTGGGAAGCGAAAAGGGAAATAACTCCAAGGGGAATAAAGATAACACTGACTATCAAAAATGTCGAAATGACCTGCGGAAAGATGTAAGAAAAAGGAGCATTAGTTGCACTACCTACAGAAACCAGATATCTCTGAAACATCAGTAGAGATTACGAAGAAATCTAACCCAACCAGGGGTGAGAATGGGCTTGCAAGCTGGAAGCTCCTGCTGTGTGAACTTGGAATCTGCAAAAGTTATTTGCACAGATTTTAGCCATGGCTTTGAAGATGGCTGCCTAATCATCTCTAATCATGAAAAGTTTTGCTAAAACAAATTGCGCGGTTGAAGAATGTCGGATACCAAATTAAAATTAAATCAGCGATCACAGTAAAATATCAAATTTAAAGCGGTATAGAGACGCAACTATACGATTAAACAAGCGAGGAGTCCAGGGAAGATTTGATCCAATTCGAATAAGACACAAGAGTCAACGATAAGCCAGATAAAAAATAATCAGAAGAATGTTGACAAGGGATGAAGATAAATTTACACTTGGGTCGCTTCGAATTCTTCCTGGCGGCGGAAGAATCTACCGATCCGGCTGCCCCCGCGCTAGACGACGCCGTATTCGAACTCATGGCGGAGAAGAACGACGATTACTAAGCCAAGCCTTGTGGGAATTATTCCGGAATCTAGGGAGAGAGAGATTGGAGGAAAAAGGGCGAATCTGACAGCGAGAAATCAGGAGGAGAAGTTTAGAATCAGGAGGAAGGAGAAGGGGAAGAGGAAGACGAAGACGAAGATTCGTCGTCGTCCTCAACGGAAGCAGGTAAAAGATCCTCCGGTCATAGTGACGTCAAATGAAATGCCCATTTTATGGGCTTTGCAATGGGCTTAATCTATTTTGTTACGTTATCAAATTTCTGGGTTCGATTTTCGGATTCTAGTAATGTTTTTTTTCAAATTTGGACCGTTATATTACTGAAAAAATAATATTAGCACATCTTTAAATTCATCTCTTTATTTTGACTTTCTCAAAACTATAAATAAAATTTAATATCAATATCCAGAAACTTCTTTTAAATTCAATTAATTTTGATATTTTCTTTTTGGTAGAAAATTAATTTTGATATTTTTATACCCGTCTTAAATATGTGGACCTAATTTAATATAAGAGAATTCTCTATAGATACCATAAGAATAGGTACTTTTCCAAAAATACTATTCTAAATTTTATTTTTCAAAAATATCATTAAAATAAAGTATTTTCAAAAATACCATAAAACAAAAACTTAAATTTTTATCATTCAAAACTAATTTCTAAATCTTAAACATTAAATCCTACCCCTAAAAATTATACCCTAAATGTAAATAGTCAACCCAAACATAAACAAAACTACATCTTCAAAATGTAACTTTTTATGTTTATGGTATTTATTAAAACATAAAACTTTTGTGGTATTTTTAGAAGAAAAAATAAATTGTGGTATTTTTGGGAAAAAAAACAAAACTTAAAAGATGGTATCCAATGAAAAGATTTTCATTAATACCATGATTTTATGTTTTGTGGCTTTGTGCCATAAATAACATAACCCCAGTTTCATTAACCCAAATGATCAGATAAAAGGTTGTCGGATTCTCGTCATACTGCCGGTCTCTTGTCGCTGGTACACCATTATTTCAATTTGTGAACTCGCTGTTTCGTTTTGTCTCATCACCTTGCTTGGATTCGAGACATTACATATTCGAGCTTCATCTCATCTCGCCTTAGTCACTATCTTCTCAATTCACCAGGAGATATGATATACCTTGCCTCACTTCGTCTAATGTTGACATAGTTTGGTCGTCTTTTAGGGTGTTTTCAATTTATGGTTTTGAAAGCTTTTCAATGTTTTCCTTTTTCATCAAACTAAGTGGATCTTTTGCTATAACTTGGATCGATTGATTGAATTATTGCAGTGATGGAAGAAGGTTTATGGTCGATGTACGGAGAATTGGAGTTAGCATCTTATGGTTTAAGTAAGGAATCAATGGTATTTTATCTCTATGTTGGTTATTCTATCACTCTTTTTTCGCTAAAGTGCAAATATCATATAAAATGAAGAGATGGTTTTACAACCTAATGCATTGAGTTCTTGGTAAAAAAAGGAAAACAAGAACCACAATAAGCACCCTAGGATACAACAAAGGTAAGTCACGCCAGCCAACGGCTCATAAGCTTTCTGAAATGCTTTTTAAGTCTTCTTGTCGTGATGGAGTTCTTGATTTCCCGGTCAATTCCTTTGAAAATCACAGATAGGAGAATGTGAGTTTGGTTAAGCAGGACGTTGTTTCTCTGTTTCCAAATGGCGTGGATCACCAAGTGGACGACCAGCTTTCTCAAAGTAGGCGGGGATCTCCTATTCTCTACACGAGTCCAGCTTAAGAGATCAGACCATGTAGGAAGGGAAATGGATGGTAGTTGCAACCTGTCTTTGACTTTTTTCCAAATGAACAAAGCAAAATCACAGTGAAGCAGCAGATGGTCTCTTGTTTCCTGGTGAAGGGAGCAGAGGTCGCATATTGTGTTGATATTCATTCCCCAGGTTGATAGCCTGGCTTTAGTGGGGAGGCGGTTCAAGTTTGATGTCCACATGTTGAAGGAGAGTCTCGGCGTGGCTCCTTTGAACCAGACTGAGCCATACCAGTCCACCGGAGAGGCTCTAGGTCTGACGGCCTCCCAAGTACTAGCCGAAGAGAAGCCAATACAGATTTTGTCATCAACCACCTAATGATACGAATCATTCTCCACGGATTGTACCACGGATTCAAAGTATTCGATCACTCTTGTTCTCGGTCCTATACTTGGTGTGCATTATATCTCATGTAAGTATCTTTTACTACAATGTTGATCATAGCAAACTTTGAATCCCATAGTTTTGATTTTAACTTTTGAGTCATATGGTGCATAGTAATGATAATAACGAAACGTTTGTATATAGGGTTCATAAAAGAAAAATTTCTACTATATTGTATTGTCTTGCACTTCGTTGTTGGTGTGTGGAAGATGATTATTTTTCTATCTATAATGTTATAGAGAAGAAAGAAACTCCCTTGGGCAAGGTGTATCAGATCTAAAGTACGTATCCAACACTAAACCAGTCGAGTGCAAAAAGAGTATATTCTTAAGTTTTCAACTGAAATTGCAGTAGATTCTGATGTTTTCTACTGAAATTTCAGTATATTATTTGATGTGGTTTTCCTTCTTAATGTAACGATTAAGTCTTTCTAAACTAGTTTACTATAGTAGATTTTCTTCTTTGTATAACTTGTGATGCTAGTTTTGTTGGATACATTGGGGATGCTAGAGTTTGGCTATATGCTATATTTTCTAATTGTAGCTTTTTGGTTACTCTACTTGACTTGGTCGTTTTAATGTTACATAGTAATTTTAGTATAAGTGTCTTTGTGATGAGTCCTAAAACTCGATGTTCTTGAAGTATTTAAATTGTTTCACATAATGCCATGTTACTTTTATTGATTCTACTTAAAATGTTTTGGTTTGAACTCCAATGAGCCACTTATACCATGTTATTACTCTTATCACTTGTTGGATTGTTTATGTGTCGAGTTTTAAAACTCAAGAATAATTCTTGAAAATACATGAAGACTTTCATCACCAAATTGTAGTCTTTTTCTAATGAAGAAGATTGAATGTCCTCGTTGGTGATTGAACATTTCTCCAAACAACGTGATGTAACTGTAGATGACACACAAGATGAAAGTTGGCTTTTGACATATTTAAGGGGTGTGTTAACATAGAAATATGTTTCATTTTATTTTATCTATTGTTTAGACATTTAGTTTGCTTGTGAAACATGTTTAAACTCTTTTGGTACTTGTATGATGTTAACAACTGTTAAGGTAATTATGATTGAGATTGCTATATGTTCTCTTAAATTCCTTAAAATTTCAGGAAGGCTTTCGTGTAATTTAGAGTACTTGGAGGAATCCCCTAACTAAGTTGATATCATTAAGTAAACAATCGAGTATGAAATTTTCAAAGACAATCTTCGCTAAAACCTTATAGACGTTACATTCTCATCTACGTTACATTCTCATCTACTTCACTAAGTGATCCTCGTCTTTTCGAGTCAATTGCAAAATCTCAGCCTCCTTTATCATTTTGTTTTCAATCTCACAAAAGGAGTAGGACCTAACAATATTCATGGAATTTCAAACAATCACAGCTTAAGATACACAAATGTAACCCAAATCAAATATCTAGGACTGGTACACACTAATCAAACTTGAAATCACCTTGAAAATCCAAAGCAATATATCTTTACAATTGATCATAATCGATTAACTTTATCAAAGTTGGTTCATTCTTCATCAAAGCAACGCTTAAGCAGAATCTGAAATTGTAAGAATAATTATGAAATCAACGACGTTGAGCTACGCAGAGATCGGCAACGTTGGAACACAATTAGCTGAACATAGTCGATTGAGCAAAATCGATTCACTTCTCAAGGAGAAATATGAAACTGACGACGTCGAAGAAGAAGAAGAAGATGAAGACAAATGACGCCGTACCTAGATCGCATAAGCTTCATCAGACGATAGATGACGATAGAGGAGATCGAAGAGAAGTCGATGACGAGATTGCAAAACCTATATTCATTTTAAGTTTATAACATATGGAAAAAATAGTATTTCTATTGAATAATTAGTGCTATTAGTGAAAAAAAGAAAAGTATATTTTATGGTATTTAAAGGTATTTCTCTAAGTATATATATATTTTAATTAACTTTCCATTAAACAAACACTGATTACAGAGTAGAAGTAGCTGCGAAACGAGAAAAAGGACAAGAGCTTACCTACTCACCTAACCACAAACAAGATTAAGGCTGAAAAACCTGAAACCAAGTAGACAACAACGAAACAGTAGGAGGAGTATAGATATGGGCTCTTGAGAGAGGGTCTAATTTGGTCCTTATGGAATTTTTAATATCCACAATGAGCGGTGCAGGGGGACGAGAAGTCTGAGAGCATCATCAATGGGCAATCCTTAAAAATGAATCTTATAATATATTTAGTAATTTAATTGAGTAAAGTGATGTTAAGAAGTTGAATTAAGTTTATATGTTTTTATGCAAGATCATTGGTGGGTTCTTAACTAGTGGATCTTAGGATTAAAATTTTAATTTTTTTAATTATTATCGAAACAATTAACCACACCAAAAAAAAAACTGACGTAGCAATTATCGGATTTAATCAACCTTAGTTTATCAAAAAATCATACCTTACAATACATACACACACTCAAATTGTTGCTTAATTACCCTAATTAAAGCCTTAACAACGAATATTCCCTTTCCCCCAAATCACGAAACCCTAATTTCCCAACTAGCAAGAACCCTTATTTGTTAAAACTTAAAATCAGTTCAATTCAAACAATCAGAAGCAAATACATACCTTGTAATGCCGAATGGTACTCCCAACACTCCGATTTCGAACAACCGAAGCCGATTCCGAATCGATTTGGTGTACATAACCCGATTTGGATTTGCTTTGCTCGTCGATTAGGTCAACTTCATCATCTACCGGAAACGATGGCCGGAGATGATTGATTCCGGCCACATCGTCCGTTTCGAGAAGAATCAAAGAAATCTCTTAGAGAGAGAGAGAAGAAAAATGAAGAAAAGGAAAAAAAATTTCATTTATATATTTATAGTCACACCCAATTATACTCTGCCACGTAATCGCCTCTTCCACCCCATTTTTTTCTTTATATAACATACGATTCTTAGTGTATTAAGTGTATTTTGATTTAGATTTAAATGTTAACTAGATTCGGACCCGCACGTACGTGCGGAATTGATTTCAAAAACTAAGTTTGCTATCATGTTTGCAACATATTACGTACATGTGATGTTATGTTTATAAATGTAATTATATTAGGAATATTATTCAAATTCATAATCTGAATTCGTACCAGTTCAATATTTATTGTAATTTATTCAGTTTAGAAAGAAAAAAAGATAGGATTTGGTTTTGTTATCAACTACATTAAAAAAAAAAAGTAAAAAAGGTGGTTTGTTTATTTTAGGACAGGAACCCGTCTCGTCTCGTTCTTTCCTAGATATGTCATGTTTTCCCATCTTATAACCATGGTTTTAATAATAATTTATCTATTTGAGATCGTGAATTTTAGTCCAACAAATGAAAATAGGTCAATGATTGAGACTTATTTGTAGATATATTTATTTCGTATAACATTTATAACATAAACATATATTGGTCTGTTTTTATTAAGTTTATGAATGTTTGAAATAATAATCGCTTCACAATAAACTTTGAATCGACAGGATAGCTAATCCAGATTGAATGTGAACCAGATTAGTAATCAGCTTAACTTCCGTTAAACCCGTGAACTATCAAACCGGATGAAAACAAAGGAAAAAAACGTCCCTTCCTAGATAACCTAAATATATTTGTCAAGCGAGTCAAACTCGTCTGCTATGTATGCTACGCAACAAATTAAAATAATTTTAACATGTAAAAGATCCATTATGCATAATCTACATTAGTAAATGGTAAGTCCGTTTATGTTTTGCTTGAATTCGCGTTATCCTAAATTTTTGTCTCTTATTTTATGAAAATAATTTAGATAATGATTTTTATTTTTCGAATTACTGTTTTTCTTTCCGAACATGTTATCTCATGTAGTCGAATTAATAAATAGTAGGTCCACATCTGTCCTGCTTGAATTTACGTTACCCAAAATTCTCGTTACTCCAAATTTTCCTCTTTTATTTTATTAGGAATAGTTTAGATAATGGTTTTAATTTTCTAAATTATACATTTCCTTTATGTAACCGTTATTTCATATCCTAATATTTACAATAAAAAGGAAAGTTGAAATTAAATTAAGCTATTAAAATTTCATGTTTCCGTATCATCCAGTTATTTGATATTTGAAAGTTGAAACTGAATTAACTATCCAAATATCCACAATTTTGTTTCCTCAGTTTTATTGTCTCCATCTAATAGTTATAGTATGTACTAATTATATGTAATGTTAATTTTATCATTTTCGGTTAATACAGTATAACCAAAAAAATAAGAAAATAAATTAAAAAAAAATCTGAATCTATCATGTTTTCTTTATGTTGTTTGTTTTTAATACTATTTTCTGTCTACACATTCTGAAATTAAATCTGCCAAAAATCTTGTTAGTTTTGGAAATTATTGAGTTTTGAAATTTTGAACTTAATGATTAGTATCTATGATATAAATTGATTTGTTATATATAAACACAAAATCATGTTACCTATCTTTAAGTGTGGTAAATGGTATGGCGTTTTTTTAATTGCTTTGTTATATTAGTTATGGAGAGTAGTAATTTTGGTATTTAGATTTTGTTTATGATTTCCTTTACAATTTTTTAATTTTGAAACGTTTTTTAAAATATTACAAAGTATGTAATTAATTTTTTTATATTAGTTATGATTAATACTAATTGTGAGGGATGGAGATCTTGTTTCTTTTTTATAATTTTAATAATTAAATCTATTTCCTAAATAATTAATAAGAAATTGTATGGATTCTCAAAGTTGCGTTCTTGTAATAGGATTTTCTAAATTATTAAACGCTAAACGCCCCATAAGGAATGTTTGATTAGAAATTTATTTTCTGTTAAAATGACACTATATTTGTTTTTTTTTTTCAAGAGATCTTGAAATATATTATGATTTTCTAAATTATTTAATTCTAATTGCACCATAAGAAATGTTTGGTACAAAGATATTTTCTGTTAAAATGATATTATATTGTTTCCTTTTTAAGAGATTCTTTTTTAATATATTTACTAGATTCGGACCCGCGCTACAGCGCGGGGGAAAATTGTCTGGTTTTGTTTTTTTTTTTTCTTTCAAATGTCGATTGTAAAATTTGATGTTTTATTTTAAGTATGTAATTGTGTTGGGTTGGAAAATTTAACGTTTAAAATAGAATATGATAGCGTGGTTCCCGTATGAGCTTAATTTTCCGATGTTTTGAAAATGGCATTTGGGGATAAAAGATTGTTGGTGTTATACAATTGAAACATTTATTAAGTTAATGTGGGTTTAATAAAGTTTATATACTCAAGTTAGTAACTAATTGTATGTAATATTTATAACATTATTAAGCTAAACTGTTATTTTGCTAAGTAATATTGATGAAGTATGTGTTTATATTTCTAAATTGAACCTTTAGTAGGTTTGTATCATCATGTTGACAACAATTTATATTTTTGTTCATGTTTACTTTTTTTTACCAATATTAACGATGGCTTCTCAAATCCTTATTACGGAAACACTAAGACTATCTCCAAAGAGGGATCCTTAAGTCAAAATTAGAATTTATGTTGATTTAAAATAAATGTAAATGTAATTAAATGATAAAGAGCGCTCCTTATTAAAAGATTTTAAAGAGCGGTTGCTAAAGGACGTGGCAAAATAATATTGGTTGTGGCAAACATACATTTTTTTCTTTCTCTGTCTCTCTCTTCTCTCGCATTCCTCTCTTTTTCTTTCTCTTTCTTTATTTTTCTCTCTCTCTTTTATTTAATTGTAATTTATAATAAAATATTATTATACACATTTTTTAAGGGTTCAAGGTTGGAGATGCCCTAATAAATTAATATTGCCTAAATCCACATTTTATAATATAAAAGTTTAGGTTTTGTTGACAATTATGAAGCCTTTTTGTTTTCCATAATAAGAACAATTAATAATAACTGTGGGCTTTTGGCCCATTACTGAATTTTAGTGGATGATGTTTACCCAATTTATTTATTTTTTTCAATCAAAATTGTCTTGTAGTCAGATTTTGTCGTTATTGAAATCGAAATTTAGGAAAATCTTGGTTCGTAATTCTAGGAGATACGAAAAAGTTGTTATATTATTCACTTAGTTACTATATCATACTCAATGCTGTTGAAATTACGCTTTAATGCGTAATAATTATTGAAGGAAAGATATTATGAATATTGTTAGGTAAAGTTCTTGGAATATTCTGTTTTTTGGTATATTGAAAACGCACGAGACAGAGAAGTCGCTAGTATAACTATCTAAGGCCAAGAAGAAGGCCCAAAACATTATTAGCTTTTAATGTCCGATTAATATAGCAATAACTTCCGTTCAAATTTTATTGAGAAGATCCGATTTGGAAGTCGGATTTTTTTTTTAAAACCGACCCGAGAGAGTATTTGTACTTCTCTTTTACTATAGTAGGGATTTTCTGTTAAAATTATTTATTTTGCTGTCATTAATTCTGTTTGGTTATAGGTTTAGGATTACATAAAATGTTATTTTTATTTTTAATTGTGTTTGGCTTTCAAGATAAATAATGCTTTCCTTTTAATAGTATAGATACACTAAGATTTAGAGTAAGGACTGACTGAGAATGAAATCTACAATTCCTCTCCTTCCAAATAGAGTAAATGGAAGCTTGAAAAAGTAGTTTGAGGATTAAAGCGATATTAGTGTTCTGGCTGGGGTCTTTCATCCATCTAAGCCTATGTTCAAAGAGACGGGGAGGAAAAACATGAGCTTTAGATGAGAAAAAAGACCATACCTCATTAGAGAAGGCACAATCAAAAATAGATGCTAAAGCGATTCATCATGAGTATTATAGAGGAGGTAATTGGGCGGAACTAGGAGACCCGACCTCAATAGTTTATCTCTAGTATGAAGACGTTAACAAGCAGCCACCCAAGTGAGAAAAGGCATGTTTGGGGATATTCCCTTTAAACCAGACATAATGATGCCAATCAACCTCCGGGCCAGGAGGGTTCAAAAACGCCCAAGTGTCCGCTGTGGAGAATTTCGAGGAAGGATGACTGTCCCCAATTTTCCAAAGAAACTGGTCATCCTCGAGAGAGGGATTAATAATATCAGGAGACGGGGGAGGCAGTGTTTTAAAAGTGATGGTTGACTAAATAACATAACGAATGAGGTGAAGCCTTCCAGCAAAAGATAATTTTTTGACTGACCAAGCGTGAAACCTCCTTCAGATTTTATCTAATAACGGTTGATAATCTTGTCTCACTAGCTTTTTGGAAGTCAATGGAACACCGAAGTAACGGACAGGGAAGGAACCACATCTAATACCAGCCCTTTCAGAAATACCATGAAGATCCTGAATATTCCCACCATCAGTAAACAGAGCCGTTTTATCTTTATTGAGCCCCAGCCCAGAAGTGATCCTGAATTGATCAAGAATCTGAAGAATACCCTCTACGGAAGATTCAGAACCATCAAAAAAGATTAGCACATCGTCAGCAAAGCTAAGGTGGGTAACAAGGGGATAGAACTCCTTTTTCAAGCTGTTTAAAAAGCACATCCATGGCTAAAACAAACTGCAAATAAGAAATAGGGTAACCTTGTCTCAACCCCTTTTTACCTGGAAAGAAACCCAACAGTTCTCCATTAAAAGCAATGTTGAATGAAGTTGTTGAAATGCATTCCAGAATCCAGTTCATGAACAGAGCAGGAAGCTCTATCGCTTTGAGGACGTTGATTAAAAATTCCCAATTCAAGCTGTTATAATTTAGTAATTTAATTTGTTGATCTGAGATCCAAAAAAAATCCAAAAGATTTTTCAGTTCACTTGGTAGGCCAGATTTAAAGTTTATAACTGGACTAGTGATATGCAAATCAATGAATTAAATGATGTCGATTACATATGTGTAATGTGTTACTTCCGTTTTCCCTCATATGAAAAAACCAACTCTAACGAGCACGTATAGTAATTAGTACCATGCACTACAAAAACATAAGGAAAAAAAATTAATAGAATCCAATTTTTTTGTGGTAGAAAGAGTAACTCCACAAATACCCACCCTTTGCATCAGCCAAACCAATAATTTAGAAGAAAAAAAAAAAGAGAGATATATATAAGTAACATACCATATATATGATATATAATATAAGTTGAGAAAAGAAATGGATGATGTAATATAATAAGATATGGATTTTTCAAAGGGAAGCGGGGAAATTAGTGGAAGAAGAGGAAAAGATCTCGTCAAGTGTCCCGTTCATAGAGTCTCTGCATTGAAATTCTTGTTGGATTGACGACATAATATCTGCTTCGTTCATAGAGAGTTGAGGGAAATCTTGGAGTTGAAGAGGAGGATGGTAGGGAAGCTGGTGCTGATGATCATGAGGGTAGTTTGAGAAAAGATGATCATGATCGTGGAGAAGAGAGGATGAGAAATGAAGGGCAAAAAGAGATGAGCTGTTTGCTTCGTCTACAAGGACCCCTTGAGTGAGCTCTGATGAAGATGTCTCTGCGGATGCTCTCTTCAGGCTCTCGTCTTCGATATAATTACCATCATCTTTTCTCCACTTCTTCTCCTCTTTTTCTTCCTCATCTTTTCCCACACTAGTGCTCTCTTCTTCTTCTCCTCCTTTTCTCTTTGGAATTTGTATGTTCTTCTTAAACACTCGGCACAATGCATACGACTCCTGCTTAACGTACGTTACATCATAATTAGATTAATTATATCTTAATAATTATTAATTAGTTTGTGCATGTGAAAAAAAAAAAAAATTTACCTTCAAGGAGGAGGAAGGGGCGTGCGTGAGACGATATTCATGCATCACCCAATTAGTACGAAGGCCATGAGGAGCCCTTCCTCTATAATAAACCAGCGTCTTCTTCATTCCCATCTTCATCTTCTTTGATTCTACAGTACGGTCTTTCCCTGTGGCCTTCCAGTAACCTGCTCCGGTAGCACGGTTCGTCCTCGACCCATTCGGATACTTCTTATCCCTTGTGCTATAAAAGTACCATTCCATGTCGTTACCCGGCAAAAATGACTTTTCTGTTCCCCATATTATCAGATTAAATATGGTTACTAGCTAATTCGATTAAACAAAACCCATCATCAATATCATATATATATTGCATCATGTCAAGTGAATATATGTGTAATTATAACGCTAGAGGTTGATATATAAACAAGCTGAATGAACCATATATATATATATATATATATATAAATTATAATTAGAGAGAGAGAGAGAGAGGGAGAGAGAGAGTTTTGGATGGTACCAGGCAAGTCCCATGGCTCGCATTTATAGAGATCAACTTCTGGGATGATCTCAAGATCAATGGCTCGGCCGTTGACCTTCCTATCGAGATAGTACGCAACGAGCTCTTCATCTGTGGGATGAAACCTGAATCCTGGAGGCAAACTCATAGGGGCCATTCAAAGTAGTAGATGTGGTAGAAATGAAGTGAGAGATGAAAGAGACTATAGTGGGTAGGGAGGATGTTCGTACAATATATGAAATTAAGGAGACTATATATATATAATTGAAAAGAGAAAGCGAGACACCGTAGGAGGTATATGATATGGGAATGTGTAAAAGTATGCCATGGGATTGGCATCTTCTGAGATTAATATTTTGTCTTACTTTGGGTTTGCTTTTTGGTCAGTGTTTGTCATAATACTCATCACATTTATTTTTGAACCAGTATTAAAACAAATATTGAACTCTAGCTTTTGAAGATTCTGCTGCAAGTGTGAAAACCCTAGAGGGGAAAAGGTTAACAAGGAGGCTCCATTTTCACAAGATCTCACATATATATATATATGTATGCATTCATGGATGTGTATGTATGTTACGCGTTCAATCTTTTTATAATAATTTGTTTAGTTAACATAGCTTTAAACCAAAAATGAAGGCTTTCAATGTTTAGGGGGACCCTTCTCTCATCTCAAACCAAATCTACCTGGCGACACCTAAACACTCTCGTCTTTTCCTTCTTTTCTTTTCGGTTTGACAGTTTGTTGTAATATTTTATGTTGTTATTATTGGTCTTGATAGATATTGAATTCATCACAAAAAAAAAAAAAAAAAAAGAAAAAAAAAAGAAGAAGGGGGAATAAAAAAGCAGAGGCATCTAAGTCGACTTTGGCTTTATAGTGTTGGGAGGCTTCTTTAGTCCCTTTTACATATGGATTAAAGACGTTGTTCGACTCTTTTACATCATTACTCCCACACAATCTTTGACTCTCTTTCTATCGGCTCTTCAATTTTACTTACTCACGGTCAAATCTATTTTGCCTCGACTCTCTCGGCCTCGATCCCAAAAAAAACAATTTTTTAAATATACTATATGACATCTTCACTTCATGTATATATGTAACTCTATCGATCTAGCTACTCTCATATACACAATTTTCATTCTACTCAATGAAGTAACCAAACGTTTATTCAAGGAAATGAGCTATACTAAGGGTGTAAACAAGTTGCGACGACATTCTCTTTTTTTTTTTCTTTTTTTTTCTGTAAGAAAGAATAACAATGACATTTTTAGGTTAGCTTTAAGATGTGGTCACCAATAGCTTGGGAAAGAGAGCGAGAAAAAAAGAAGAAGAAGAAACTGAAAGATGCTTTTAACAGTTTCACTTGCGATATCAACTGCCATGCCCCAATGTTTCACCACTTTTTTTTTTTTTTTTGGTCACAAATCGAGTCAAGTCTCTATGAACAAAATTAAATAATTAATGTCTGACAATTAGTAACGTCGATGTGTATACATAATTTGCATAGCAAATACGAAAGGCAAGTAATGTGGATTGTTTAATTAATAAAGACCACGAGAGGAAGCTAAGCTAACATGCAAGCTTACTAAAGACATGCAACCTTTGACACGATCTATATAAGGGGAATCGAATATAGCTCTCTATATTAAGCATCTAAAAATCTATTTACCCTTTATATTTTCATTTGCCATGTATATCTCTATAAGTAATCAGTTTTTAAATATATTTTTTTCAAGCTTATATTAAAAAAATCTAGCGTAGCAAAATAGAACCAACATGTACAATTAAATGAAGTTTAAAACCTTAAGTGTGACATTGCTAAGATAATACACCATTTTTTTGTTTGTTTCTCTCAAATTCGGTTAAATGATCATACATCACCATCATCCATCAACATCAACATTAACATTAGCATCAACATCAATCACAGTTCTTCTAAAAGACGAGAAGAAAGAGAGAGAAGAAGAGTCTTCCTAAGAAAAAAAGTAAGCGTAGTATCTGATTCCCTACATGTCGGATCCAAATACTAATCTTTTTCTTCATCTAATTTTTTTTTTTAGTTTTTGATCGAAGGCAAAAAAAGAAAAACCTTTAAATAAATAAACACACAAGATCGAATCCCTGTGTCTCCCTTAGTTTGGAGAGATTCTTCATGCTTTCATCATGTTTTTCACACATCTCAATAGCAGAATGAAAATGACATATTAAAAAAAAACTTAGCATTGCCTTTTGCTTTTCTCCATGGCTCCATGCATTAAATCTCGTTTTTACCCCTGTTAAAGCGGTCACACTCATCATCGTTACCTCTTTTTAAAAAAAAATTAAATACTACTAATTCCCTAAACTATACTCTACTCTCATTTATCGAACAGGACCACCACCTCGTGATTATCATTCATTTGGGAGATTGATTCATTATTCAATTAGCCAAAGCAGATCTTAATTACTACTAGTCAGTTGTAAGATTTTGAATGATTACTTTACTGTTATCAAAGCTTAACTGACTACTACAGTATTACTTTTATTTTAATCACTGCGGCCGAGGAGGGTATATATATATACAAAAAAAAAAAAAAAAATACTCATGGAATGGATGGTTTATAATTGCAAAATAAGGCCCATATAGAAGTGGGCTTTTGGAAGAGTGTGGCCCAAGAGTGCTGTTTTCATCTCTCTTTCATGGCGGAGCAGAGCTGATCCGTTCACACTAAAAAAACCACTACTATATTCAATTTCACTCGCCCCCCATCAGATCATATCTCTTCGGGGTCAGGCAAAAGATGGAATTCGAGAAGATCAAGGTGGCCAACCCCGTTGTTGAAATGGATGGTAAGTGTTGTTCGAACAATTCAATTGACTCAAATCCCGTTGTTATTCTGATTGATTGATTTGCTTAGATCGGAGTACATGTGTTCGTCTCTGTTCCGGGAACGCGTATAGTATCGATTTTGCGTGTGTGTGTTTGTTCATATAAAGTTCTAGTTCCTGGAAATTCTTAATTTTCTGTGCACAACGCAGGAGACGAAATGACTCGAGTTATCTGGAAATTCATCAAAGACAAGGTAAAAATCTATAAACCATTTTTTAAAAATCTTGAGAGCACAGTTTCAAATTGTTTTTTTAATTAACCTCTGAGAACCTTACAGCTTATTTTCCCTTTCCTGGAGCTGGATATCAAATACTTTGATCTTGGACTGCCTACCCGCGATTCCACTGATGATAAGGTTACTATAGAGAGTGCTGAAGCTACTCTAAAGTATAACGTGGCTATTAAGTGTGCAACAATTACTCCGGGTATGTCTTTGCATCCTTGAACCTTTGCAACTTTTCATTAATGAGGTGTGCTTATTCTAATTTACTAACAACAGTCTGCTTTCGGAAATTACTATTCGACAACAGATGAAGCTCGTGTTAGGGAGTTCGGATTAAAGAAAATGTGGAGGAGTCCTAACGGAACTATAAGGAACATTTTAAACGGTCAGTTTTATTCTCCTAAAACTTAGGCAATTCGTTCTTCAATTTACAAAGCTCTAAGATCATTTTTGTATTTTTGCAGGTACTGTTTTCAGGGAACCTATCATTTGCAGAAACATCCCTCGTATTGTTTCAGGTTTGTCCACGGCTGCTGTTTTGTATGGGTCGCTAGACCCCTTTTCTGTACCTGCACCATGTAGAGCAAAACAAATCCCTCTGCTTTCCTTTCTACAGGATGGACGAAGCCAATCTGTATCGGAAGGCATGCTTTTGGTGATCAGTACAGAGCCACTGATATCATTGTTAATGAGCCAGGGAAACTGAAAATGGTTTTTGGTAAATCTTCTCCTTCTCTTATTTGATATTGTAACTGAAAGCATGATTGGTGAATGCGTACCTTTTTAGTTAGAGGTAAATCCGAGCACATGTTTTCTTCAGTTGATTCCCTACGTCGGGTACAGCTGCCTCATTAGACTACACACTGTTAGAGAAGCTATATATGGAGCTAACACATAAATTAAGTGAACTCACAACTACCACGAATTGTTGAAAGTTGAGGACCTGACTAATCCATCAACTCAATTTTCAATGAATAATATAATGGAGGGACCGTTCTGTATGAGTTTACCTACCTGTGGAAGTGTATTCATTCACTCATTCACTTTAGAAATCATATCTTACGTTTGCAGAGCCAAGTGGATCTTCTCAGAAAACAGAATTCGAAGTCTTCAATTTCACTGGTGGAGGTGTTGCTTTAGCCATGTATAACACTGATGAGGTAATTATTATTGAAAGAGTCCTCTCCTTCGTGTATAATGCACTTGCATAGCATATAGTTGATATGGTGGCCCTATTTGGTCATGAACAGTCTATTCGTGCATTTGCCGAGTCCTCAATGTACACAGCTTATCAGAAAAAGTGGCCACTTTACCTCTCTACAAAAAACACCATCCTCAAAACATACGATGGAAGGTGTGAATTTTCCTTCATTTTTCGAAAATTCACTGAAAGATCTAGTCATGCTGCCCTGAGAATACCCTTTTCAAAATTTTTTAAGATTCAAGGATATATTCCAAGAGGTTTATGAAATTAATTGGAGATCCAAGTATGAAGCTGCAGGGATATGGTAAGATGTGTATGTTATAAGCTCATTCTATTTCAGCTCACCACGCAAACTTGTTAACAAAGTTAATTAAATTCAGGTATGAGCATCGTTTGATAGATGATATGGTTGCGTATGCCATGAAGAGCGAGGGGGGTTACGTCTGGGCGTGCAAGAACTATGATGGAGATGTACAGAGCGATTTCTTAGCCCAAGGTTTTTTCCCTTAAACTTGAGATCTTTATAGGGACTGAAATCTTTGGCCTCCTAGTTAAATGCAATTTTGGTCTTGGATCATGGTTCTTTTCTTTTAACTTTTGATCTTAGTGGGGACAGGAATTTCGATCTTAATTCTCATGAAACAATGTTTCTGCTCCCGGCTGCAGGTTATGGATCTCTGGGGATGATGACATCGGTGTTGGTATGAAATGATACCGGCCTCGGCCAAAGTTTTTGGTCTTTATCATGCTAACATGTTTCCTGCGTATCTTGCTATTTGCTATATGAAATTTGAGAAATATTACAGGTTTGTCCAGATGGAAAGACCATTGAAGCAGAAGCAGCTCATGGAACAGTTACCCGCCACTACAGAGTTCACCAAAAAGGCGGTGAAACAAGCACCAACAGCATAGCCTCAATATTTGCTTGGTCCAGAGGCCTTGCCCACAGGTAGCCGATTTCCACTGTGTTTGAACATTTTCAGACCTGGTAGTGCTTGATGCTACTCCTGGAGAACATCCAATCGCGTGCTTGGAAGTGGCAAAAAATACAGTAGTTAGTTAGTCTATCCGGGATTGTTTGTAGTAAGATGTCCTTTCTTGTCGCTTTATAAGATTTCATTGAACATATAAACCATTAGGTTTTAGTTGGTCCATAAAAAAAAACCATTTAGGTTTTCTGCCATACCTTAGCCTTAAGTTGACTTGAAACTTGAAAGTCTCTGAAAACTGGTTGAGCTCATTTTAAAAGATGTTTGGTATGTGATGTTACCAGGGCAAAGCTGGACAGCAATGCCGGACTGTTGAGCTTTACTGAGAAACTAGAAGCAGCTTGCATGAGCACAGTGGAGTCTGGCAAAATGACCAAGGATCTAGCCCTTCTGATCCACGGACCCAAGTAAGACCATAACCACAGGAGAGAGTTGTGGTTGATGGACCTAGTAAAAGGTTTGGAAAGATTGGATAGTAAGTTTTTTTTTTTTTTTTTTTTTTTTTTGTCTACAATGAACAGGGTTAGGAGGGATCAGTATGTGAATACAGAAGAGTTCATTGATGCGGTGGCATGGGAGCTGAGAAGAAGACTGTTAGGCAACTCCAAACTGTGAGAAGAAGAATGAATGTAAATCTGAAAAGCGTGATGTTTGATCTGATGCCGTCTAGTAGCATACATTATTATTACGTGGAGAAGAACTCAACCTTGAAAAAGGGCAAAATAAAGAGAGAAAGAAAATATTGTACATGGGTAAAATTTCCTAAGCCTAGAATCGTAATAAAAATGCATCTGTTTAGCTTTCTTTCTCTTGGGTTGAATTCTGTAAAATCATAAATGGCTTTGTAACTATCTTTTGCCTCTCTTCTTCTTTTGTATTATTATCTATCTATCTAATATCTATCTAATATCTATCATACAAGGAAGAAGAGTGTGGTAAACAAAATGAATGGTTGAGCTTTAAAAATTAAGGAATGCCTTGTTCCTTGGGTCCTTTGAGAGAGGACTATGCTGTGGGTTTAATAAGAAGACGACGGAGGAGATGATGATGATGTTGCTAACAACCGCTCCCGTTTTCACCTCTTGTCCCCAGCTTCTCCTCCGCCATGAATCGATCGGAAACGTTCATCGGAAGAAAGTTCTCCGTTTCAGAACCATCTCCTCTTCCTCTTTGTTGCCGCAACCGTCAGTTCGTTCGGATAAGGCATCGGAGTTGAAGACTCTGTGGAAGAAATTCTACAAAGTCGCGTCGCCTTATTGGTTTTCCGAGGACAAAGATCAAGCCAGGCTTCGTCTCGCCGCCGTCTTCGCCCTAACTCTCGCCACCACCGGCATTAGCGTCGGCTTCAATTTCCTCGGCCGTGATTTCTACAATTCTCTTGCCAGTATGAATCATTCTCTTCTTCAACTCTCTCTCTCCCTCTCCTCCTCTTCTGTTAATTATAATTCGTTTCCCTGTGTTCGTTCAAAAAGACAAAGACCAAGAGCAATTCACGAAGCAGCTGCTCTATTACCTCTGTGCTTTCGCCGGCGGAATTCCGGTGAGCTTCCACACCCTCCTCCGTTAAACATTAAAAGAAGCCAAGCCATCATCGTCTTCTCTTTTCTTGGATTTTGCAGTTCTTTGTGCTCAGGGATTTTACGAAAGAGACTTTATCACTGCGATGGAGATCATGGATGACCAAGTATTACCTGCAGCGCTACCTTAAAGACCAAACCTTTTACAAGATCCAGTCTCAGTCTATGATTGACAATCCTGATCAGCGCATTGTTGACGATTTGAGTTCCTTTACTGGAACTGCCTTGTCTTTCTCTTTGACGCTCGTCAATGCCACCATAGACCTCATCTCTTTTAGCAACATCCTCTTCACCATTTATCCTCCTCTCTTCCTGGTTCTCTTGCTCTACTCCTTTGGCGGAACAGCCATCAGCGTCTTTCTTGGCAAGGTATATTTACTTTTCTTCCTTAGCATATGTAACCGAGCTGCTGAATCAGACATATCATCTTGTTTCGAAACTTAGAAATCTGGTCCAGTGTCTTGCCAGACATATCAGTGATTCTCTCAATTCTGCTTCCGTTTCAAATTTTGGCTTTCAACCCTTTGTCTTACAATTCTCTGTAGCAGTTCATTTTTTTTTGGGTTAAATCTGTAGCAGTTTATGTACACATCGTATAAAATATTATTGCAATCATATTAAGCCTACGAAATTACTAGATCCCCTTGGTCACTTTTTTCTCTTCCTGTTCCATGTTGTCCTGTGATTTTCATCAACATTCCCTCTTGAGTTCAGGGACTAGTGAATCTCAACTTTCTACAAGAAAAGAAAGAGGCTGACTTTCGTTACAGCCTTGTACGAGTGAGGGAAAATGCTGAATCAATTGCTTTCTACGGAGGCGAACAGAATGAAATGCAGCTTCTGCTTCAGCGTTTCAGAAGTGCTTTTGATAATTTAACGGTAAAAAATTACTTCCCCCTCAGTGAAACTCAATCTTTCTTATCCCTAGATTGGACAATGAGTCATTCTTTTTTCACCTGCAGGAACTGCTGATAGCATCTAGAAACCTAGAATTCTTCACTGATGGATATCGCTACCTCATTCAGATTCTTCCAGTTGCTGTTGTTGCCCCGATGTATTTCTCTGGGAAGATTGAGTTTGGTGTCATTAACCAGTCAGTGTCAGCATTCAATCATATCCTTGGAGACTTTTCGCTCGTGGTTTACCAGTTTCAAGCTATCAGTTCTTTTTCTGCTGTCATTGATCGACTAGGTAGATTGATCATGAATTCTGTATATATATACTACTTGTTGCATACAGATTGCACATGCATTCTACACGAGACCTTAGTCTATTAGAACATTAGTGCAGTATGCTCCTCTCTATTATTTCTGTTATCTTATGGTGAAAATAGATAGTTAAATAGTGGGATGTTCTTTACATTGAAATGTGTAGTTGTAGTAGTAGAAGTTATTTTCCTGTGTGTTATGGGCCTCTTTATATAGATAACAGTCTAGACTGTATGGTAGTAGCTTTGTGTTATAATATCTAAGAGTAAAGACCCCAAAAACATGTGTCTGTAACAGTTGAGATTGTTATGGGCAGTTAGCGATGGTTCTAGTTTTCTCATGACAGGCCAGATGAAAAGACAGCTGTTCTTTGTCCTGTTTGATATTGTGTCTAAATCATTCCTTATGTACAATTTAATCACAAAGTTCCATTATTCTACAATCAACTTTGATGGCTAAACGCGAACCTGCATTTGCTGTAGCTTGTGGGATTCTCCTTTTACACATTTAACCATATCTAGCCTTCTTACAATACAGGTGAATTTGATGATCTTTTGGATAACAACATCTTCAGAGATCCCTCTGACACTGTGGACGAGATTGAGCTGACGTATCAGAGTAAGAGGGATTCTTCACTGCCGGACTCTAATGGTTCAATCAATTCCCAGCCGAACCAAAAGCGACTGGAGATCGAGGAGCTTACTCTTCAGACACCAACAAATGGAACCACATTGGTTCACAACTTATCTGTAGATATTTATGACAAGGATCATCTACTGGTTAGTTCACTTTGACTATTTGTGTTTGAAGTATGTGACTTGTAGATGGTAAATTACTTATAAATGCCATGTAACAGATAATGGGTCCTAGTGGGAGTGGTAAAACTTCCCTGCTAAGAGCAATGGCTGGTCTCTGGAGGTCAGGGAAAGGAAAAATCACGTTCTACCTCGATTTTGAGGATGATTTTACACAGGATAAATCTAACACTCAGGAAAATTCAGGGAAAAGAAATTCTGGAGACGTATTGTTCCTTCCACAAAGGCCTTATATGGTTCTGGGAACTCTGCGTCAGCAATTGCTTTATCCTGCTTGGAGTGCAAATGCGGAGGAGGCTACACCTGGTGGCAGTAAAATAGACGGTACGAATTTTAAAATTTTGGCTAGTAACACCGCTTCTTTTACCTCTTGCAGTTAAATTTCAGGTTATGCAAGCAGATTATATAACCCAGCCAATCGACAGGCTCAAACTTAAAGAAAAAATGTTTGATTGTGTCAGGTTCACCACCTCTCTTGATGAGAGACGACGGAAATGAAGAGTGTAACAAGCCGACTACAGATGATCTGATGCGGACTCTAGAGAAGGTATGTCTTGGACATATAGCTGATCGCTTTGGTGGTCTTGATTCAATACACGAGTGGTCTAGTGTTCTCTCACTTGGTGAGCAGCAGCGCCTCGCCTTTGCACGGTTATTGCTGTCTCAGCCGAAGCTGGCGCTCCTGGATGAATCTACTAGTGCTTTAGATGAAGCTAATGAGGTATTTCTTGCTTTCTCCTCTCACTTTTAAAAGAGTAAAGAGCTAGCGAAGAGATGAAACTCAATTTTTATTAGAAAATTTAGAATACAAATCCTCTCCCCAAACAAGAGACGTCATTCTTGCACCTCAGATATACTGATTGACCCAAATACCCTACTGCTCTTGCCGTAGCTTATTTAAATAGGAAAACACCGTTTGGTCCTTGAATCTCTCAGAATATGCGATATCAATCAGTCCTAGAATACCTTGTTTTCTCACTTTCCTTCTTACATATGTGATCCAAGGTTCCCTGCTTGAACTTGGCGAATTATGATACATAATGTTTATTTATTCATCATTAAGGTTGAGGCATTCATTCCTATTGATGTGCAGGCACTCCTGTACCAGCAGATCCAGTCAGCTGACATTACATATATAAGCATTGGCCACCGCCGGACTTTAACCAAATTCCATAACAAGATCTTAAAAATCTCAACGGCAGACCCGAAGAGCGAGGAACGTAACTGGAAAATAGAGGACGTGGATGCCAAAGATTCTTTGTACGGTCCACTGAATCAATAGGAGGTGGCAAGTGAAAGCGGATCAAAACCTGATTGATTACATAGGCAGAAAAGGTAAATACAACTGGTGTCATGGTGTAGATGATAGGAGAGAGGCCAGTTCTTGAAACATATAAGAAACATGTTGAAGTCGAAAACACCCTTTTTGTATATAATCTGCCAGTCGAGACGATGACTCAAAACCAACAAAAAAAAAAAAAACAGGTTGATACAGATACGTACACAACATAGGCACGAGTGCACCAAAGGTCTGGTCTGAATATCAAAGGCCGATTAATAAATACTCCCATAGATATAAGATGAGCTAAAGTTCAAATTTCAGCAAGAAATCTAACGGGACAATTCCAGCTGGTTGTAGTTGTATATCTTCATCTCCTCTCTGCTTGCTTGCTTTTAGAACACTAGCAAACCATTTATGTATACAAATTCAGATAATAAGTGGTGGGCTTTAAATAGGCCCGTTTGAGAAAGCCCGATAGAATGAGAAAAGAAAAGGTAACGAATGACTGAGTCGAGTCAGTCGTTCAAAGTTCAAAGTCAGGCGAGTCGAGTCGAAAGAGCGCAAGGATGGTGACGAAGGAATCCATTGAAGTGATAGCTCAGAGCATTGGACTCTCCACTCTTTCTCCGGACGTCTCTGCTGCTCTTGCTCCCGATGTAGAGTACCGTGTCCGAGAGGTCATGCAGGTATATATATATATATGTGAATATCACTTCGCTTGCCCTCTAATCTCTACTTCCCCTCTTTTAACTTGTTGCATCTGCAGGAAGCTATCAAGTGCATGCGCCATGCTCGCCGCACCACATTGATGGCTCATGATGTCGATTCTGCTCTTCATTTCAGGAATTTGGAGGTTTCCTTGCCTTGTCTTGTCTTTGTCTTCTCCTGATTTCATACCTGATTTTGACCTTTTTTTTTTGTTTTTTTTAATGATCTGCTCTAGCCTACCTCCGGCTCCAAAAGTATGCGGTTCAAGAGAGCTCCTGAGAACAGGGAGCTCTACTTCTTCGATGACAAAGATGTCGAGCTCAAGAATGTGAGCTTCATTGAGGCATCAAGATCGTGAAATGTAGTTTGTCAGCTTCCTTCCTTTATGGTTTTGGTCCCTCGTGCAGGTTATCGAAGCTCCTCTACCAAATGCACCTCCTGATGCATCCATTACCTCTCATTGGTTGACAATTGATGGTATTCAACCTTCCATTCCACAGAATTCTCCTCTCCAAGGTATCTTTTGTTTATTCTTTTATGGAACAGTTTTTGCATCACCTCCTTCTCCTCAAATCCGTCCTTCCTGAAAATTTCGTAGCCGTATCTGACCTGAAGCGATCCGAATATAAGGACGATGTGTTGGCTGCTAGACAGGTGCTCTCTAAGGAGCTTCAGGTAATTTACTATGTTTGATCCTGCAACGCTTTTTCTTTTCTCTCGCTCTTTGAGGCTATATAACCCTCTTTACTTTGATGCAGAACTACTTTGACAAAGTTACCGAGTGGGCTTTGACTCAATCTGGCTCCTCCCTCTTTAGACAAGCACTCTCTAGCTTGGAAATTGACCCTGGGCTACACCCATTAGTTCCCTTTTTCACTTCTTTTATTGCTGAAGAGGTTGCCTTTTTAATCGAACATTTCAAGTCTCTAGTTTATCCTCATTCCACCACATTTTTTTACTACTTATGTGTTTCCAATTTCACCAGATTGTGAAGAACATGGATAATTATCCAGTCTTGTTGGCTTTGATGCGTCTTGCTAAAAGCCTCCTTCATAACCCTCAAGTACATATTGAACCATATGTAAGTTTTGTGGCTATATCCTGCAGCTCTAGTTGGTGGCGTGCACACTTTTTTTTTTTTTGTTTCTCTACTCAGCCTTGTCCTTGTTCTGTTGACATCACCTTCTTGTATTCTGTTCAGCTGAATCAGTTGATGCCGTCTATTATCACTTGCCTCATTGCCAAACGCTTAGGAAGAAGGTTATCCGATAACCACTGGGACTTAAGAAACTTTACTGCCAGCACACTTGCTTCAACGTGCAAAAGGTTAATTTTACATTCTTGCTTTGTGATTTCATGAATCTTGTAGAACCATATAAATGCTGTGGCCTAGAGGATTTATTTGGCATATTTCATCCTTGGAAATTGGGTAATGCTTACTGTTACCTTACTCTATAAATTAGGCAGCACAAAATGATAATCATCTGATATTTAGCATGAACTGCAATCACATTAGTGAGAACCTTCTTACAGGTTTGGACATGTTTATCACAACTTGTTGCCACGTGTTACAAGATCACTGCTTCATACCTTTTTGGACCCAACCAAGTCACTGCCACAACACTATGGGGCAATTCAAGGAATGGTTGCCCTTGGGCTTAATATGGTATTTGTTCTTGATGCTTGATTATCATAAGGAAGAGTGGTACATTAGGATGTGAGTCTAGAATTTCCCACAACAAAGCATAAGTTTAAAATTAATAGAAGCATGATCTGATATCCTCGCTGAAGTTGTTAAACCTGCAATTACATCGTAATCTTTTGGTGGTAGCTAAATAAGTTTAGAGAGTCATCTCTAACCCTAGGATATATCCTTTGGTCGTCCATAAACATTTACCATGCTTTACTCCTTTTTCTAGGTTCGCTTTCTTGTTCTCCCAAACCTAGGGCCGTATTTGCTGCTTCTGTTACCAGAAATGGTACCTGAGAAGCAGAAGGAGGAAGCGAAGAGGCATGGGGCTTGGCTTGTTTATGGAGCGTTGATGGTGAGTATGCTTTCAGTTTGATACATGAATTAAATAACTTGTTTGCTTTTAATCTCGTTTGGCAATTCAGGCAGCAGAGGAGATAATCATTTTAACCGTCCCACAGGTCGCAGCGGGTCGATGCCTATATGAACGGCTTAAAACATCTGAGACACTACTGTCTCCTCCAACTAGCTCTGTCTGGAAGATAAATGGAAAGCTCACCAATGCCAGGCAAAGTATAATTTCTAATCTCATCCTTTTTTGTGTTCCAAACATGGAGATACATATACGTTCTTGAATATTTTTTTCCTTGGGCCAAGGTAAACGCAAAGCAAGTAGTGACAACTTAACTCATCAACCACCACTGAAGAAGATAGCAGGAGGGGGAATTATACCAATGAGCTCCACACAGATGCAGGTGAACGGAACCACAACAATCCCACAGCAGTCGCTAATTGGAAGGGGCATTGCTCTGAGGACTTCAGCTCCTCTGGACACTACCGTGGACAACTACCTCTTTCCTCTTTTTGAGTATTTTGGTGAGAGCATGCTTATGTTCACCCCCAAACATGAACTTAGTTTCTTCTTGTAACAAATTATTCACATGCAAGTGTTTGTACCACAAATAATTCATATATCATCAGTGGATATTTTGGATAGCATTTTCATGTGAAACATATATAACAATTGCATATATAGAAGATATAGTGAATGTAGAGAGAATAAAGTGTTAAAGAGTGGGGAAAGGAAGAGCACCATGCTGCGACAAGAACAATGTGAAGAGAGAGCCACGAAGCCCTCAAGAAGATCTCGTTCTCATCACCTTTATTCAAAAATATGGCCATCACAACTGGATATCTCTTCCCAAGCTTGCTGGTTAGTGTTTATTCATGCATGTTTCAGTATACCATATAGTTTTCAGTAACTAATTAAGAGAAACAATGAATGATATATAGGATCAATGAGATGTGGGAAGAATTGCCAACTGAGATGGATAAACTATCTGAGACCGGACTTGAAGCGAGGCAACTTTAGCGAAGAGGAGGAATATGCTATCATTCACTACTATCAAAAATTTGGAAACAGGCTTGTACTCATATATCGCTACTATACCTACTCATCTAACCTCCTTATAACATATACCTACTCATATATGTGATTGATATATGTGATTAGTTGGTCAAAGATCGAGTCCTTCTTGCCTGGAAGAACTGACAATGAGATCAAGAACGTTTGGAACACTCATCTCAAGAAACGACTCAGTACTCCATCTTCTTCTTCACCCATCTGTAGCACTCATAACCAAAGCACAAAAGCAGATCAAGACAAGAACTGTGAAAGGAGCTCACGAAGAATCGCATTCAAGGTTAAATGACAGCCAAGACTCAGCTACTTCGTCTCATCCCCAAGGCAAGTGTAGCACACAAAAGCAGAGCTTCATGAGGTTAATGAAGCTCAACGAGATCCACTTCCTGTTTGACCATGATGACTTTGATGATATAACCTCCGAGTTTGTTCAGAATAACGAAATGTTATTTCCTCTAGATTCTCTTCTTCATAACCACCAAACGTACATTTCAACCACGGGCGGAGTGGCTCGGAAGGTAACCACATCGCAATCATTTTATCATCGTCAACCGGAAATCCCATGTGGATTTAAGGACACAAGAAGTATGTCTATGAATGCATGACCAGTGTTTTCTCTACCTTTAGTTGTTGAGTATATTACCATGTTACATGGACGTCTGAAGTCTGAACCGATGCATCATATCATCAACAGTAACATAAGGCACAAAAAAGATTGTACAAATCTGAAATATACGTTTATCAAAAGATCAATCTGATTTATCCTAAATCTCTATACACGTTTTAGAGACTGAGACCGAACAGAAAAAAATGAAAAAAAACAAGAAAACCATTGAACTTAATACTAGAAAGAAGGAAAAGAATGCACAAACCTTTGATTCCAAAAAAAGTCAGGCTCGTGCAACTTCTCCTTCCGGCCCGGGTGATATGCAGCCCACAAGGTCCAATGGGCTTCTTCGAAAGTCAGAAGTAGGTCTACGCGCGCGCGACCCGTGCATATGTCACGCCAGTTGTTCACGCGCACGTCACGTGTTCTTTGCTCAACGAAACCGTCCGATTAAGAAATTTCTGGAATAACACAAAAGATGCACCCAGTGAAAGGCGTACAGGTGGCAGTCAACCTCAAAACTTCCACTTTTTCGACACGTGTCGACTGGGGGGGGGGGGGGGGGGAGGAGGGCCCGTAAGATACACCACCATAAAGAAACGCTCGATAAAAAGCTCTAGCCAGCTCCGGACTCGAATCCATTTTCTTCTTAGGGTTTATCACGAGGTCTCTCACTCACCACTGCCGGTATACACGTCTGTCTTTGATTCCATACTTTTTTTCTTCAAATTTTGCTTCTCTTGGTCCTTTAGCTTTTGGTTTGTGAATCATGGATCGTGCTCTGCTTGGTTTGTGAGTCCAGCTCCAGCATATCTGAGCTGAATTCGGGCATGCATGCGCTTCTTTTTTTTCTTCTGGAAATTTTAAGAGTTTTGGTTCAAAATCACCCCTCGACTTTTGATTAATTGACAATCTTACTTACATTTGATATAAACAGAGTTAGCAATGGAGCAGCCAGAAGAGGGTCATCAAGCCCAACAGGGAATGATGGATTATGTACCTCCTCCTCATACTTACCAGAGTAACGCGGCGTCACATATGGCATTCCAACAAGCTCACCACAACCACCAGCTTCAGATGTTCTGGGCTAACCAAATGCAAGAGATCGAGCAGACCACTGACTTCAAGAACCACACCCTTCCCCTCGCCCGCATCAAGAAGATCATGAAAGCTGATGAAGATGTGAGGATGATCTCAGCGGAGGCTCCTGTGATTTTCGCCAAGGCCTGTGAGATGTTCATACTCGAGCTCACGCTGCGTGCTTGGATCCACACCGAGGAGAACAAGAGGAGGACCTTGCAGAAGAACGACATTGCCGCTGCCATTTCCAGGACCGACGTGTTTGATTTCTTAGTTGACATAATCCCCAGGGACGAGCTCAAAGAAGAAGGCTTAGGGGTGACAAAAGGGACCGTCCCATCTCTGGTGGGTTCTCCACCATACTATTACTTGCAGCAACAGGGGATGATCCCCCACTGGCCCCAGGAGCAACACCATGATGACTCTTAGAAAACTTTTCTTCTTTCGTTTGCTTGTATCGTAGAATGGTTAGCTCTGCTCTGCTGCCAACCATTACTACTGTGTTCTGTAATGACATATTATTAATTTCCCGGGGATGTTCTACTGTCGTCTATATCTAATTATCTATGGCAATGCAATTTCTCTTCAGGACTTCAACTATACAGCTTTCATGTGATTGAAACTTTACAATTATTTTCTTTTAAGCTATTAAAAGCATGGCTCCTATTCCCTTAATCCTTGAAACACAAATGAATAAGGCAAGAGAGCTATATTAAGGTAAACGCAAAGCAAGTAGTGGCAACTTAACTCATCAACCACCGTGGACAACTATCTCTTTCCTCTTTTTGAGTATTTTGATGAGAGCATGCTTATGTTCACCCCCAAACATGAACTCAGTTTCTTCTAGTAACAAATTATTCACATGCAGTTTTGTACCACAAAATAATTCATATATAATCAGTGGAAATATTTTGGATAGCATTTTCATGTGAAGGATAACTGTAACTTGGCTTAGATTACACATATACACTGCCCTTTACGTGTTACTCTCCGTCTCCATCTCCATCGCCATTGTTAGTTGTAAAGAATGGTGTCAGAAAGTTTTTGTCCAACGCGCTGAATGACGTAGTGCTGCAAAATTTTGTTAAGTCACACCCAAGAAATGCAAAGAACGCTTTATACAGTACTCAGGAAAATGTCATTCTCTTTTTCTTACGTTTTGTGAAACTCCTTCAGTTTCATCTTGAACCTGCTTCCAGATGATGATGTATCCTCGTCAGATGAAGCCCCAATGCTAAAAGGAGGAGGGACATACCGATGATCGCTCTCTTCAAAGCCCTGACCATGTATCTAGGTACGTTAGATAAATACATACACAAATTTAGTTCAAATGTATTAGATTAGATCGTCGAGAGTTTACTTCAGACATGGAGTCATCAAGATCATCACCTACAACTTCCAAAGCTTCCAACATTTTACCTGTCGAACCTCCTATTAGTAAAACCTGAAATATTACTGCACGGATAAGAAACAAAGCCTATGTTTCTCTAAGATTCTTAAAGCCTTGTGTATACGACCACTGCAAATGAAGAACTCAAGAACATATATACTATTCATGGAGAGAATACAAAACTGACCGTGACAACAACGATGGTTGTGGTTGCAGTAAAGATGATTTGACCGTGACCCTCAGGTAGGTCATGAAGTGATTGAAGTGCAAGCGCAAATGCCATTGCCCCTCGAAGGCCTATAGACATGCCAATATGTGTACAACTTTTAATAGTGTATAGACATAATAATGGGCACAGGAGACAAGAACAAAAGCTATAAACTCATCTCACCACTATACCAAAGGGCTTTTTGGTGATTCATAGGTATCTTCTGGTTATCCTGTCTAAATAGGTTGACCAAATATGCACATCCAAATACATTGACAGCCCTGCGTGAGAAAAACATTGCAGAATATATAGGTAAATCTCAATGGAAAACCATGGTGATAATGAAGTGATCATCCAGGATACAAAAGCATTCGTAAGGGATTTAGTCACCTAGCCACGCCAATAAACAACTGATGCCAGTCATGAAATGCAGAAGCAAAAAGTAAAGTCAAGGATTAACAACACTAGCTAACACTGCATACAATTACTGAAGATCAGCTTAAAAGGATACAATAGAGAAAAGGATAAACCCAACATGGGACCAGCTATGCTGCTCCATGGCAATATCAAATCCCATGTAAATGAACCTAGAAAAGCATTAAACAAATTTAATATTAACCCAACAGTGTTAGAAGCTTAAAATTTCTCATCTAATAATGGGATGCTATCGTTCTTGACTCACGTGAAAGTTTCTGCCAGAGAGGATATCAAGTGAAAAAAAGAAGATACGAAACTCTGTGAAGCTTCTGAGAGATTTGAGAAAGTGTAGCGCTTCATAACCTACAGTCGCACTCAATTAGGATGCCTAAATATGTCTTTGCAAGATATTGGCATCAACTAAGATGTAAAAACTACAGTGAGTCGGCTATTACAATTCCTGTGAAGAGTATAGACACAATGCCGGAGAGACCAACACCTTCTGCAAGCATGTATCTGCAGCACAGCCAAAATACATAAGAGGAAGAAGTGTTCTACCAATAAATACAAAGAAACAGGACAAGGAGAGTTGATTTGTCTACTTACGAAAAATAAGGGAAAAGGACAAAGAGACAACACTCCAAGTTCTGTAGACTGGGGTAGAAAAACCGAAAAAGCAGACACATTACAAGACGTTCTGATTATCAATTAAAAAAGAAATAGTATAGACAGAGTTAAGAAAACATGTGGCACTTACTTCTCCGTATCCAATCCTGCATACTTGAAGAGGTGTTCTGAGTTAAGGTTTTACAATACATTTAGCCATGTAACATCTAATAAACAAAAAGAGGAATCGCGGAAGGATATTAAAGCTGAAGTAAATCCAACCCCAACCCCTGCAGAACAATATTAGGACTGTTAGTATATTTAACCAATATATGAGGTCAGCGAAGAGCTCAGTTAGAAGTAATTGTCTTCAACCACTGGCAGAACTATTTTTTCTGGGAGAAAAGAGAGGAGAGTACATTCTGATTCATGTAATGTAAAGGGAAAACATGTCTTATATATAGAAAGAGAAAATAGGTCTTACATATATAGATGTATGTAAATGTTAAGGACTTAAAAACAAAGATTCCCTGATCCAAATGGTAAATAATATGACCGTTTTAAATTCATTGTTTATTTTGGTTGAATGATTGTCACAAAGATACCTAGTCTTTAGTTGATTGTTTCACTAATAGTGCTCTAGTTTGGTACGAGGAACTTATATGAGTTAAGAAGACTAATATTGTATAAAATCTGTGATGAAGGGTCAGAACGGAATCAGGGAAAACAGACCTGCAGACATTGAGCCAGCAAAAGTCTCAAGAAACCTAATCACCACCATGAGAAAATGTTCCCCAGACGAGGACTGGCGGTTAAGTAAGGACATTGTTCTGCATCGAAAGTTTTTCCATAGTACTTTAATACTTTGCTTAAAAGGTATCTAACGGGAAAATATCATGTGGTTTACAGTCTTACAGACCTGTACAATGATATTGCCATCTACGAGCAACAACATATACATGAAACACAAAAACCCATTCGATGGTGTTAGTGTTGAGCGTTTCTGGTTTGCATAGATACGTAAAAGGAAGAGCTCAATATCACAGCAGATAAGTAAACACTCACAGCATCATTCAAAACTGATTCTCCAAAGACCAAAGCATACAGGTTAACGTCGGTGCCCACATCCTGCAATCAAGTATACAATAAATTTTAATCAAAATGCAAGGCATCATTTTAGGAAAGTACATATTGTCATTAAGAATACTCGTATATCCTCTGGCGGCATCATCACATATTGCACTTAGGGATAAAATTGATAGTAACAAGGAAAGCAGATGCACCTGGAATATAGACAGTACAGTGACAGGGTCCGTAGCTGATATAAGTGCACCAAACATAAGACACTCCACAAATGGAAGTTTATACATGAGATACATAGAGCCGCCAAGATAACTGCAAAAGGCGGGAAAACCATATAAGGGTATACAAGAAAAATATAATCGAAGAAAGAAGAGGGTTTATGATCCCTACACTAGACCACCAGTGACAACTGAAGCGATAAAAGTTCCGATGATAGCAAAGGTAACAATGGCTCCAAAGTTAGAAAAGAAGGGTTTCTGCAACAGGGAAAGATAAATTAGGAGAAGCCGTTATTAAGTTTTCAATACAATAGTAAGCAGAGCAAATAATGTAAAGGAAGAAAGAAAGATAAGTACTTACAGGTTGAAGACTGAAACCTGACTGGGTTCAAACAAATGAATGATGTCAAGGAAAATGACATTTATACATAGCAAAGGAGCAAATTCGAGGGAGGATCAAATGCAGATATAGTTTGAAGGCAAAGGATATAATATGATGGGAGGCAACAGAAACAAGAAGAAGAACTCCTCATGGAAATTAAACCACGTCCTGATACAGAGCAGAAAGAACAAAGTGTAAGCGAGGAAACGATAAAAGGTAAAACTCAGGAAGCTCGAGGAGGAGGAGGAGGAGAGGGGCAAAACCTAATGCTAGCCTCAGTATCGGAGATATTAGCAAGTACACCGACGATTAAACCTGAAATTACGATGGAAGAAGAAGCTTGGGTGGGGGAAATCAAAGTGTAGAGAAGAAGAGAGAGAGAGGGAAAGGATTACCCTACCAATGAGAAGCGAACCGCTGGCTTCAGGAATATAGTGGAATCGGTGACGGCGGAGGACATGGCCGAGAACGAAAGAAAGAACGAGCATCATAATCTGAAGCAGTATACCAACGCCGGCGGCTTGCTGCTGCTTAACCTGTCCCTGAGGATCGTGCCCCGCCGGAGAAATCGGCAGTTCCTCCATTGAGACTGAATATGAAATTGAGATGGACGACCTTCAGACTTGGGGGAGAATGTCGAGCTTTTTCGAACAAGAGTCAAACAGTCAAACGCCGTCGTTTCATCAGTCACCATTTCCTCTCTTTGCGTTTTTAAATATGCAAATTTCTTTCTTAATCTCATTTTCAAAATCTCTATATTAATAAAAGAGAAGTACAAAATAGAATACGGGTCGGGTCAAAATTAAAAAATTAAACTGATTTTAACAATTGGATATTTCAAAGTTGGATATTAATTTGGGTTTGGATACATACATCGGATATTTTCCATATCTAATTTTAAGATTATATTATCTCCATAACTAATTTTATGATTTCCTAATATTTCTCTAACTAATCAATTATTATTCTTCTTTAAATTTAATTTGATAGTATTTTTAATTTATGATATTATGCTATATAATAAAAATATTTAATAAAAATTAATATTTTTTTGCTTATGTTGCAATTTGAATTTTTTCAATACTCAACTACACTCGGTTAAATATTTTGGACAATGATTTAAAATCAGTATACGTATGATCAATATTAAAACCATTGTTACATGAGCATATTTAAAAGTTTCAAAAATTTCAAAATATTATAATTAAAAGATTCAAATATATATAAAAATTTAGAATTGAAATTATTAAAAATATTTTATTGAAGATATAGATGTAATTTTGGAGACATAATTTTTATTGATAAAATATATTATATATCAAACTATGTAAATTTTAGATAGTTTTCAGATAGTTTGTTAAAATCACAATTATAATGGTAAAGCAAGTTATGAATAATGTTTTTTACAAAATGAATTTTGTTACGGGTTGGTCCTTCAAAAGATACATTGTAAGTATGTAATTTTTACATATATTTCTACTTCTACTACAAAATGGTCAAATTGAATAATTTTTCGATACATATTATTTCGTGCCGTTCATTTTTCACTGTTTTTAGTTGAATCCAAACTCAATGTATTATTATTTACTCGCTTTTTCGTTTTATTATTTTATTTAAATTTATTATACAAATATATGATTCACCGTAATCGACTGCATTGCAATAAAATTAAAATATAATATATTGTAATTCGTTAAAAGTTATATATATGTAATTATTTCCCCCGCGCTGTAGCGCGGGTCCGAATCTAGTTCATATATATAATCCATGATAATTTTTCTTTTCCTTAAACCAGATTTATTTAATAGCTTTTTCAGTTTAGTTAGGATAAACATAATTTTTTGTTATTTCAGTTTTCATTTTTTCAGTATATTGGTTAACGCGGTTACACAAGTCACAAGTGTAAACCATTGTTAATTTTATATCATGTGGTGAATAAGATAAAAAAAATGATTATGCCCGCTTCGTAAACTTAAAATCGATTTTTTTCTCTTTTAAATCTCTAGTTTCTAAAATGATTTCAAGAGTACTAAAATCGGTTTTGAATTTATAACGGATATAAAATCTTTTTTTTTCCTATGCTAGCGTGATGATCAACTTAGCATATAATTTTATGTTATTTATATGGTTGTTTGAGGTTGTTCTACTTATTAGCAACCTAGGATTGGGTACATATACCAAAATATTATGTTACTTGTTTTGTATCTATAAAACAAAAATTTGGGAGAAATGAAGAGATTGGTAAACCAACCAAAAACCAATAAGAAACAGAACGTAAGCTATATTGGTTAACCCTGTCGAATTATGCATTTATATAATAGAAAGAATCAGCAAGTGGAATGATTGGAGTAGAGAAACAATCAAGAAAAGCCTAAATAATGCAAAGCTTAGCATGAGAGTCAAGCAAGTACAAGCTTAGAAGCACATCATATCATCACACGGCACCAATCCAACCTTTACACTACGTACTAGTACTAGTACTACAAATAGGCTTCGAAATTATACAAACAAACACAAAAAACCTCACACCTCTCCAATAACATTTAGTTCGTTAACAAAAGCATACGCTCAAAATGGCTGCCCACGTTGACTTCTTCCCCTTTTACCCACCACCGTCCCATCAACATCCTCTCCCTTCTCCATTTCCACCCCCACCGTATCATCTTCCCCCTCCTTCCCACATTGTCCCTCCACCGCCACCATCTTCTCATCCCCATCACCCACCGCCACCTCCTTCCCACTTTTCTCCTCCACCACCACCTCATCCCCATTTCCCGCCGCCACCATATCCTCGTCCCCATCACCCACCGCCTCCACCTCACGTTCTTCCACCACCACCACCGCCACCACCGGGTCATCATCATGTTATCATTGTGGTTGTTATCTCTCTAGGCAGTTTGTTTTTTCTTGCATTCCTCGCTGCCGCCCTCTTCTGCTATCTCAAGAAAAGAAGAATGTCTTCTACAAAGACTGAGATTATCAAGTTTGATGAGCACCTCAAAGTCCAAGAAGTCACAGTGCCAGGACCCCATGGCGAACCAACGAGAATGGTAATGCTCGAGGAAGACATTCATTTGGTAGAGGATATTCACAAGACTGAAAATCTTAGCCGAGCTACTCACCTCAGCTCAACTGGAGGACATGCCATTGATGTATCAGACCCCAATCATCACTTTATTGAGCACAAGGCCTAAATCAAAAGAGATGCGATGGGCCAAAATGTAACCAAGCATTTATTCTCACCATCTTAATAATAAATAACAACTTCTTTCAATTTGGACTCAAAGCTTGCAATCCTAAGCTTGATTACTGTGCTTTAAATTTCTCCCGGTTGCTAGGTTCCAAAAATATGCGTATCTCCGTCCAGTCAAAACAAATTCCATGCTAGTATGCAACAGGCTACAGCACATACAAATAAATAGTCTACACTGTCTATGCCGTTCCTTCATCTTGCTTCATGAATTCCACTTTGACAATCAGTAGACACTAAAGATTTATGATCAATGATTTTGTTTTGTCGCTTTTTAATGTCGATTCCTAGTTTACTATGTTTGACATTTTTCCATTTAGCTTACATTTTCACACGTTTCTCAATAAATTATGAAAACAAACGTTTTCAGTCTTGAAAGCAGCTCTGGCGTGGCTTCTCCCCCAAATTCACAACGTCAACTTTTGCGGGCACATGCACTATAATCATCGAGTATCGGACCACAAATACAGAAGGGTGTAGAGAGATAGAAACAGAGTTATTGCAGGAAAACTGAATAGAAGACAGCATCATGGATTAAACATGGGCATAACCAATCAGACACCAAACAATCACGGCATGTGTTTGACACTTATCATCTGTATTAACATAAAGCAAAAGTTCCTATATGAGATAGTCCAAATGTTACAGACCATAAACTTCTTGTACCCTCTAAAACACAGGATAATGAATTGCGACAAGAAGCAAATGCCCAATTTAGCTCAGGAGTTTCCTAAGTGGGGGAAAACGAGGGCATTTTCTTCAGCGGCTTATCTCTCTCATATCTCGTACAAAAACTTCTCAAACAGTTTCATGTGTTCAGATTGGAGGGCAATGGCCACGGATAAGCTGCCATCATTTGTAGGACTTGGTAGCACAAAAGACAAACCCTCGTATGGAATTCCACCAGGTCCCATAAATATGGGACGACCCCAACCAAAGTCTGCATCATAGATGGGTAATCTGGCCCAGCTTGTGATTCCCAAATTTGGGCATTTGTAGGTATGTGCACCTCGGACAAGTGCTGACAGATCAGGCTGCATCTCAAGGTAGTCAAGAGCAGACCTCAGATAGTTATCGTCCATGCGAGCTATAACATCATGAATCATCCCTGCAGCAAACCATGTTGGCTTTGATAGAAGATCCCCTGCAACGGTCAATGGTGTGGCAGTGAATATCACATTGCCAAAGTAACCAGGGGGCAGCTGCGGGCGAAGTCTGGACCTTCCATCAACTGCAACGTACAGCTTGGTCTCTTGGTCGTCTGGAAGTCCGCGCGCCTTGCCCACTGATCTCCAGACGTGGCCAGCCAACATCTCGTATGAGCTGTAGCTTATGGTGTTCCCATCCTCCTTGGATTTGGCCTTGAGAGCAACAAGCTGGTCGCGTGATAATTTGAAAATAGAGACGGTAGCATCATCAGGGGAGCCTGGTTTGGACGGGATCCTCATACTGGGGGCAGGCTGATATTCGACATGATGAAAAGCAGGCTGAGGGGGGTCCCTAGCGCGGAGGAGGGTACGGTCAATGAAGGGTGGAATGGTAAGGTCAAGACCACGGGCCATATCAGACCATGTATTGATAAAATGGAGACCAGAGAAACCATCAGCCACGTGATGTTGCATGCCAACCCCAAGGGAAGCTCCCCCACATTTAAAGAAGGTCACCTACATCAAGGAACCAGGATCAAGCTCTAAGCTAAGCTATAAATTAAAGAAAGACAAAAGTAGAAAATTGAAAGCCATCAATTTCTGCCTAACTAGTTACGAAGTGTAGTAGTTAATAATTAAGGTTGAGAGCTAGCCAGCCAAGTCTTTATTAAATTCACAAAGACAAAATCTCTCACAAAGGGAAAGATTAATGAACCTGCAAGACGAGGAGCGGGAAAGTGTGGACGCCGGCGGAGTAATCAACTTGGGGAATAAGCTGGCGGAGAGTGAGGGTGGGAGCAAAGTCGCCAAAATCGTCGATGACAGAGGGAGTATCGGCGACGACGAAGAGGACACCGGCGGCGTTGCAATCGAGCTCGATACGACCATCATCGTCTCTCTTCAAGCGACCAGCCATGGGGTAAAAGGGGACGAGGGCCTTGGAAAGAGCGTCCTTGAGGAGCTGAGGGTCAAAGAAATTGGAGGCGCCGGTGGGTCTGTAGAAGTAGACACTAGGGGTGTGAAACCTAGGGATGATGAGGTCAACGTTGGAGTTCCAAAGGTTAGTGATTGGGGTCTCGGCGGCAGGCCGGACCATGGTGGAATCTCGGATGTTAATTATCATAGTTGGTTTTTTTTTTTTTTACAAGATCAAACGCAAACAAGTTTTTATGTTTTGAATTTGATCTGAGAAATTGTGTGACAAGGGGAGGAGGGGTAGATATAATAAGTGGGTGTGGTGAGCAAAAAAAAAAAAAAAAAAAAAAAAGCGAAAGGTCGCAATCCTTCACCTACCGCCCCCCGTCCCCGCCTACTCCATCGATCTGTCAACCAACTCAAGAGTGCAAATGCGGCAGCTTCTTCTCTATTGGTCCATCTCATCACTCTGTCCCACTCCTCTTTCCGGGGGTTGGTAAACCCGCCCCGGTTACCTCCTCACCCTCTCTATCCTTTACGCTTAGGCCCAATTCACAATGGGCTCACTTCTTTAGATTTTTTTAATTGTCATATCCTGGGCCTTTCCAATGGGCATAGGCCTTTGATTTGTAGTTGCCGTTTCTATTGTCTTCTTATCCATTACATTACATTACAGGTTTTTATTTTGTCTCAAAAAAACCCGTTATGTTTCGTACCCAAGCAAACTAATGTCTATCATCAAGACTACTACTATAGTCGACAAAAAAAAAAAAAGACTACTTCTATCATAGATTTTTATATAATAATTCGATCAAGAGGCGGAAAAATAATATAATTTGGTAAATATTAATACAATAAGCAGATGAACCACTATTTTATAGTCAACTCAAGTTATGTATATGAAGGAGATAAACATTAGTGATATTACTTTTGTATTCGTTAGAAAAGTATGTACGTAACCAAGAATGCTTTAAAAACATGGTCAAACATATAGCATTATGACTTTGTCTATTTGACGTCCTTGTCCTAAATAATCATAACTCTCTATCGGTAATGGTCGTTTATAATATTAATGTTAGCGATTGGATTGCATCAGGCGTATAATATAATATCGTTGTCGTTGTGAATATTTTATACAAAGTGGAAGGAACACACGTAAGTATTTTTGCTATTTGGTTGAAAAATGAGGCAACTGGCTGATGTCATACCACCATATATACGGTTCGATTAATCAAACTTTGTTTATATATTCGGACATAAACACTTTATTAGTAACCTAATTCATTAGTTTAATGAATAGTAAAATGAACTACTGGTTATAATTGATTAAACGAGTAACGACGACGTCTAAAATGAAATGGCCAAGGCCGCGTCGTTTCCGTTCCGACACCTTTCTTTATTTGATAACTAAAAAAGAAAGACTGTGATAAAAGCTTACCCACATGGCAAAATTATCAATTAAAAAATAAAAATTAGGCTGTTAAATTCTAAAGTAAAAATCATATATTAATATATACATATATATATATTTTATATCGCATAACACAATTAACAAACAACAAATGGGAAATGGCTAGTTGGTTTACTACTCTGGATCCATCTCTCACATCTTCCTCTTTTGGTCATCGACGATGCCGAGATTAAGACGGTCCCAAAATCTCTCCCTCCTAGTTTGGTTTGTGTTCATGTCAGCTCTTTTTCATGTGGTTCGACCACAGAACCGAACCAGAGCCACTACTGACCCCGACGAAGGTCCTCCAAACTTTGCTAATTTCGTTTTAGATCATCATCAGTTCATTAAGCCTTTCTTTTTTGGTTGTTGTTGCATATATTTTGATACATATAAGTTCGAAAGAGATGTTTTTTTTGGGTGTGTTTATGACATATTTATTTATTATTGGTTTCTCCTTTTCTGGTTGAATTCAGAAGAATATATATATATATATATATATATATATATATTTTGAAATTAAAGTTAAACAAACTCTGCCATCAATTTTCAAAATTGGAAACGATTCAGCTCGGGCGTTGAACAATATCTTTCGGACGTGGAAGATAACGGCGACGAAGGACTGGAACATAAGCGGCGAACTATGCAGCGGAGCCGCCATAGACGACAGTGTCAGCATCGACAATTTAGCTTTCAATCCTCTCATCAAATGCGACTGCACTTTTGTCGATTCCACTATCTGCCGCATCGTGTCTCTGTACGTTTCTTTTCCCTCTCTCACTCACTGCCTTCCACCTGTTCGACGTATCGCCTCACTCACAAATGACTTTTGTGTGTCTCGCGCAGGAGAGCTAACGGTATGGATGTTGCGGGACCAATTCCTGATGACCTCTGGACTCTTGTTTACATCTCAAATCTGTATGATTTTTCGCACTGCTTCACCTAGCTACTTAAAACAAGTATTGCATTGGAACACACTCACCCGCTCATTTTTTTTTCTTTTCTAATTATTGCAGGAACCTACATCAGAATTTCTTGAGTGGTCCTCTGTCTCCTGGCATTGGAAATCTGACTCAAATGCAGTGGATGTAAGGCACTGATACAGGCTTGTAAATTTATGCATATGTGAGACCAATTTGCTTTTCTTTTCTTATTGTTGCGTGCGTAAATATTCTTTTTAACTCAGGACTTTTGGGGCCAATGCATTGTCCGGACCAGTTCCCAAAGAAATTGGACTGCTTACTGATTTAAGATCATTGTAAGAGGACTTCTTTCTCACCAAGGATATGATCACATTTTCAACTGCTTCTTTACTTTCCGCCCGATAGATTCTGATCATTTTATTACTTTTCTTTTTTGAGTTCAGAGCGATTGATATGAATAATTTCTCTGGTTCTCTACCACCTGAGATTGGCGATTGCAAGAGGCTAGTGAAAATGTAAGTGTATGCAATTCTTGCTTATCGTATTTCATGTGGTGATGTTTAGTACTGATTGCATCTACACTCCATTATAATCTCACTTCTCATCAAATGTTTTACAAATAGACAATGTCCATACACTGCAGTGCTTCCAGTTTATTTATTTCTCATATTTATGACAGATACATTGGAAGTTCAGGACTTAGTGGTGAAATTCCTTCATCATTTGCTAATTTGGTGAACTTGGAAGAAGCGTAAGAGTTACATCTTATTCTAATCTCCTCTGTTGTTTTTGTATCTTGCTACTCATTTAGAAACATAAAGCATATTCTTAATTGTTCAGAAGTTTTGGATTGACTTCTTTTTTCATTTGGTTTCAGTTGGATTAATGATATCCAACTTACAGGTCAGATACCAGATTTTATAGGAAGTTGGACCAAACTTACTACCCTGTGAGAAATTTTATATTGCAGCTCTTCAATTATTCAGTCTTATTTCTTTGTTTTAAAGCTATCGCTTATCAACCTATAGAGTATCGCTTAATAATCAACACCTGATGGTATATATACCACACTATATACTGAAACGTGCTTTTCTGCAGGAGAATTCTGGGGACTAGTTTGAGTGGTCCAATTCCATCTACATTTGCGAACTTAACTTCATTGACAGAATTGTAAGGGCTGAATATATGTTATTTTCTCCTTCACTTTTCAACTTGCGCTTTGTCTCGATGCCAACTGAAATCCTAAATGCAGGAGACTAGGTGAAATAAGTAATAGCAACTCTTCTCTTCAATTCATCCGAGAAATGAAATCTATAAGTGTCCTGTAAGGAATTCTATTCAGCTTTTGCCTTATGATCTTCCAAACTCCTTTTGCTGTTCACTTTCCTCTGTATCTTGACATATTTTTTAAATATCATGCAGAGTATTAAGGAACAATAATCTCACAGGCACAATACCATCCGATATTGGAGATTACTTGTGGCTACGACAACTGTAAGTCTGAGACAAGATGACACAAAGTTTTGTTTCTGGATCTTAAGATGCTTCAAAAAGTTATCATATGTCTTCTTTGTTACTAAACTGAGATTATATACTTTCTAAAACAAAGCACATATGCCTTTAATAATTGATTCTTTCTTTCTTCTCCAGTGATTTGAGTTTTAACAAGCTAACTGGGCAAATTCCAGCTTCGCTTTTCAACTCAAGACAGCTTACTCACTTGTAAGAATATATTTATTTTCCCCATCAGATGCTCTTATTCAAGATTCACAGACTAAGTGAACAGAAATATCATAACTTTCATTCAGGTTTCTTGGAAATAACAAGCTAAATGGATCCTTACCGGCTCAAAAGAGTTCATCTCTTAGTAATATGTGAGTAACAAATATATGTATAGGAATGTTTCTCTCTCTCGGTACTATGTATTGAAAACTTGTCCATATAAATTCAAAGTGCTTTACTTGCAGAGATGTGTCATACAATGATTTAGCAGGGGATCTTCCTTCTTGGGTTCGCCTACCAAACATGCAACTGTAAGTTCGAGAACAACGTGCTTATATATCATGGCACACAATACATTGTTTTGCTTTGTTGAAAATAATTTTTTTTTTTTTTTGTGTTGTGTGTGCGTTATTTTGCAGTAACCTGATTGCCAACCACTTCACCTTGGGAGGTTCTAACAGAAGGTGACTTAATGAATCTTGTGCTGCCTGAAGCTCTACGTTATTTCTATTTCACAAGCATACAACTGTTAACCAACATGCCATATTCCTCATTTTAGTACCTTTTGTTTTTTCTATAAGGGCTTTCCCCGGACTGAACTGCCTCCAGAAGAATTTCCGCTGCAATCGAGGAAAAGGAGTATGTAAGTGCATCTAAATTGTTATTCAGTTTTAGCATTGCGAATATTAGGATGCATATATATTAAAAAACATGTTGGTTAAGATACCTCTCTTTTAATGGGTGTCCAGATTTCAACTTTTTCGTCAATTGTGGAGGCCGGGATATCAGGTCTAATGGTGGAGCTATGTATGAAAAGGACGAGGGGGCACTTGGACCATCTACATTTTTCGTAAGTAAAACACAGAGATGGGCAGTCAGCAATGTAGGACTATTTACTGGGAGTAACAGTAATCAATACATAGATCATTCAGCTACACCATTTGCGAACACTTCAGACTCAGAGCTTTTCCAATCAGCAAGACTCTCTGCATCTTCTTTAAGGTATTACGGACTGGGGCTAGAAAATGGAGGCTATAGTATAACAGTTCAGTTTGCTGAGATACAAATACAAGGTTCTAATACCTGGAAAAGTCTTGGAAGGCGAGTTTTCGACATTTATGTCCAGGTCTCTACTATTACATTGAGCTTCCGCCCATATTCTTACAGAACATTAATTTTCTTCTTGCCAGTGGATTAGTTATTTTGTTTTTGTGAAGTTAAAAAATGATCATTTTGTTATCTCAAAAGTAATGAGAATATGAAATATGTCTGTAGTAGTTTTTTTGAACTAGAGAGGTCCTTGATAAGCCATGGCATACAAGAGATCATTTCTATTAAAGTATCTGGTACAAGGTGCAGCACAGATTTCGTTCAAGCAGGGGTGAAAACTTAAGATGCAACGTTTTAAGGCTCAACTCTTCATGAACTATATTCTTCTGTCAATGGTTTCTGACCTCTGATTTCCTTTTGTTTTCAGGGAAAACTTGTTGAAAAGGATTTTGACATGCAGAGAGCATCTAACAGCTCTAGTATCCGAGTAATTCAAAGAGTTTATAAAGCAAATGTATCTGAAAATTACCTTGAAATTCATCTTTTCTGGGCTGGAAAAGGGACATGCTGTATTCCGGCTCAAGGCACTTATGGGCCGTTAGTCTCAGCTATCAGTGCCACTCCAGGTATACACCAGAAACTTTCATGATATTTGTGGAGTCCTATATCTTTTCTAACTACCATCTTTTCCTTTCTGCAGATTTCATACCCACTGTAAAAAATAAGTTGCCCTCGAAATCCAAGAAAAAAATTGGTATCATTATAGGGGTCATTGTAGGAGCAGGAATGTTAAGTATCTTGGTGATTGCTATCATCTTATTCATCCGTAGGAAAAGAAAAAGGGCAGCTGATGAAGAAGGTAAATAGAAAGGCTTAGCTGTGGCGGTATTATTAAAGTCTAATCGTGAACAACTGTAACCTTCTAAGTGGTTCTTATTAATTAATTACTCTTATGCAGTGCTACACAGTCTGCACATAAGGCCCTACACCTTTAGTTACTCAGAACTCAAAACTGCAACTCAAGATTTTGATCCTTCCAACAAGCTTGGGGAGGGAGGATTTGGACCAGTTTTTAAGGTAAGATCCTACACAGAATGTGATGAGACACCTATAGGGAGAGCAGCGTACTAGAAGGTTTAAAAAAAAAAAAATCATTGGCTATTTTCTAATAATATGCATCGGTTCAGGGAAAACTGAATGACGGAAGAGAGATAGCCGTAAAGCAATTGTCAGTTGCATCCAGGCAAGGAAAGGGTCAGTTTGTTGCGGAGATTGCCACTATATCAGCTGTTCAGCATCGCAACCTTGTAAAACTGTATGGATGCTGTATTGAGGGAAATCAGCGCATGCTTGTATATGAATATCTCTCAAACAACAGTCTAGATCAAGCTCTTTTTGGTATGCTCATGACGTTTAAATGTGTCATCCTTGTAAATATTTAAAAACTGCTGTTAGCTTACACGTTACATGATTTTGGCAGAGGATAAGAGTTTGCAGCTTGGCTGGTCACAACGTTTTGAGATATGCTTGGGAGTAGCAAAAGGTTTAGCATATATGCATGAAGAGTCAAATCCCCGTATAGTGCATAGGGATGTGAAGGCAAGCAATATTCTTCTAGACTCGGATCTGGTCCCGAAACTCTCTGATTTTGGGTTGGCCAAACTTTATGATGATAAGAAGACGCACATAAGTACCCGAGTTGCAGGGACAATGTAAATATCTTGAAAACTTCACATTCAACATGGTTTTGTCACAAGGGTTAAAACTTATAGTTATTGAATGTTATAATGCAGTGGATATCTATCACCAGAGTACGTGATGCTTGGACATCTAACAGAGAAGACAGATGTGTTTGCCTTTGGTATTGTGGCTCTGGAAGTTGTAAGCGGAAGGCCTAACTCTTCTCCAGAATTGGATGATGACAAACAGTACCTTCTCGAATGGGTATCTTTCTAACTAGCTAGCAACTAGTGGCCAAAAAACAGGTTCCATATTACCAAATTTGGTGAATAATAATTGAAGTAATTTGGTTTGCGCAGGCATGGAGCCTACATCAAGAGCAGCGTGACTTGGAAATAGTGGATCCGGATCTAACATCATTTGACGAGGAAGAAGTGAAACGTCTAGTAGGAGTTGCGTTCTTGTGCACACAAACAGATCATGCAATTCGGCCAACAATGTCCCGAGTGGTGGGTATGTTGACAGGCGATGTGGAGATAACAGAAGCCAATGCGAAGCCAGGGTACGTCTCTGAGAGAACATTCGAGAATGCCATGAGCTTCATGAGTGGTTCAACGAGCTCGAGCTGGATATTGCCTGAAACTCCAAAGGATCCTTCCAAGTCTCAAGTCGAAGGTGGACGACGACATGAAACTTGAAAACTTGTGGTTTCTGTTACATTTGGTTTATAAAGCTTACATTGTAAAAATGTCAATACGACCAGACCAGACCAACGGCAGACCTTGTCTGACCAAAATTAAGTAATTTGAAATTACATGAGATGCGACTGTTTCTCCTGAAAATGTCTTTGGTCCCGTTTTTAAACATTATAATTCCTTTAAGACCATCGTTGGATTTTAGCGTCAAGGTCCAAAGGTATCGTAACGCCGCCGACGTTGTTGAAAAAACCTCCGTTGACCCGGAAACGCACCCTCGGTTCCACACGCGTGCAATCCACATGCTTTGATCCTTAAAAAGAAGATGCAGCGCGTGACTAACACGGTTTCCTGTCTCGCGAAGGAGGGATTAGTGTGTTGGTTAGACCATTAATTAAAGAGATTCAAATCAAGTAAAATTGCAAAAATCTCTTCAAACACCATTTTTGAATCATTAAGTAAAAACTCCTCCTCCGTCTACTTTTGGCGGCTCTCCCTCTCTCATCATCTTCGCCGTCTAAATTTTTGGTTGCCGACGATGCTCAGGCTACGGAGCTCTCCGCGTCTACTTCTCGCCATCTGGTTCTTATGTAATTTTGGTTCGGTGCAAGTAATTCTAGCCCAAAACCGAACCGGAGCCACCACTCATCCCGACGAAGGTCTGTCTTCTTCTTGACAAGTTCAAACTCATATCGATCGAATTGAAGGCTGTAGGCTAGATCTTCTGATCCTAATTTTGATAAAACCGATGTCTTATTATTTACATATTATAATATTTCTATTTTAATCATTTTTGTTTTTATGTAATCATCGTCATAATAATAATTGACCGTTACAGCTCGAGCTTTGAACTCCATCTTCGCGGCTTGGAGGATCCGGGCGCCGAGGGAATGGAACATCAGTGGCGAACTTTGCTCCGGCGCCGCCATTGACGATAGTGTCCTCGACAACAACCCTGCCTACAATCCTCTCATCAAATGCGACTGCACTTTCGAAAACTCCACCATCTGCCGCATCACCAACATGTACGCCTCTTTATTCCTTTTTGTGCACCCCATGTGCTCGACGCATTCTCCCACTGGGGATTGACTTTTTTTTTTTTCTCTCTCTGGGTGAAGCCAAGTGGTAACCTTTTATGCTTCAGTATATGTCAAGTCTCAAACTCTTCTCCTTGTTGTTTTGGCAGCAAGGTGTATGCGAAGGAAGTTGTAGGGACTATACCTGAAGAGCTCTGGACTTTGAAATACCTCACGAATCTGTATGGTTTCTTTTATTAACACTTCTTGATTCTATATACTAGCTACCAAAATAACATCCACATCCAGCAACATCTTATTATACCGCACAAACAATCTTTAAGAATGGACCTTAAAATCACATCTTTCTCCTTCTTTCAGGAACTTGGGTCAAAATGTTCTCACAGGCTCTCTGCCTCCAGCGATTGGAAATTTGACTCGAATGCAATGGATGTAAAGCCTCTGAAACCTTCTTTGTTTTATCCTTGTGGTAATTTTCTACCTTCTCAGTTAATAATTTTCTACTATCAAATTTTTAACGCACAGGACTTTTGGGATCAATGCGTTGTCTGGCCCTGTTCCTAAGGAAATTGGTTTGCTTACAGATTTAAGATTACTGTAAGCCCAGGTTGCTTCTTCATTTTTTAAATATAATTGTGTCTTCACACTGCTTCTGAAAGATCTTGACGGTTCCTTCTACATATATATATATATATATTTTTTTTTTTCTTGCAGTAGTATTAGTTCAAATAACTTTTCCGGTTCTATACCTGATGAGATCGGAAATTGTGCAAAACTTCAGCAAATGTGAGTATATATTTCTAGTCGACAAGTGTTTATGTATTTATTCCCTGGTTATAATTTAGACAGGAAATGTTAACCTCAGAAATCATTTAGTGTTTTACCGACCACAAAATTCTTGTGTCATTAATTTGTAAATAATTTCTTCCATATATTGCAGATACATAGATAGTTCTGGGCTCAGCGGGAGAATACCTTTATCATTTGCTAATCTTGTGGACCTGGAACAAGCGTAAGATATATCGAATATAAACTTCATTGTTGGTGTTCTAAAGTTTGTAAACTATTTATTACTTTACATTTTACTCTTGCCATTGGGTGATTTCTAATCTTAATGTTCTATCAGTTGGCTTGCGGATCTGGAAGTTACAGGTCAGATACCAGACTTTATAGGAAAATGGACCAAACTTACTACCTTGTAAGAAGAATTCATTTATTTTGGATTTGTTCCATTGATCGTGTTTTTTTATATATATTTTTAATCAATTTTTCTCTTAGTAGAATTTTTTCCATTACATCGTAAATTTGAAATTCAATGAATGATACATGTTTTACTGCAGGAGAATTCTAGGAACTGGTTTGAGTGGTCCAATACCATCGTCATTTTCCAACTTAACTTCTTTGACAGAACTGTATGTGATGCATTGTGTCAAGAACTTTTATTGTTTACGGTTTTTCTATCGTTCCCTTTCTCCACATATTCATATTCTATTTGTAGGAGGCTTGGTGATATATCCAATGGAAGCTCATCGCTTGAATTCATCAAAGACATGAAATCTCTTAGTATATTGTAAGACAGCTTTATTTCAACTTCTACTCCAATTCATTATTAGATTAATGTACTGCTGAATGGTTTCCTCCTCCTCCTTGAATTTAATATTGATGGTATATGTCGTAGAGTATTGAGGAACAGTAATCTTACTGGGACAATACCGTCGAAGATTGGAGAATACTCAAGTTTGCAACAAGTGTAAGTACATATGTTAATGTGTTTCGTCAAATGCTCTTGAAGCGCTTTTCTAAAAAGAGTGAGATGATTAGTGAAAGTCACGGAACTATACGAAATGATATTAAAGTGCTGGTATTAGAATTTTGTAGTTCTTCTTCATTAGCGTGCAATTCATGTTTGTTTTCCAGTGATTTGAGCTTCAACAAACTACATGGACCAATACCAGCTCCACTTTTCAACTTAAGTAGACTTACTCACTTGTAAGATGATAAGATGATATGTTTTCTGCTTCTTTTGAATCTTTATGTATAACTACCCAGATATTGGTGAAACAAATTTGTTGTCTTCATATCAGGTTTCTGGGAAACAACACGTTCAATGGTTCCTTGCCCACTCAAAAGACCCAGTCATTGAGCTATATGTGAGTAACAAAATCCATTAAAAAGCAAACGTATCACCTATTGTTGTGGAGTGATTGTTAAGAGATCCTCCTGAATATGGGCTCTGATCTAATTTGAATAAGGTTCCACTCTTGGTGACACGGAGACTTGCCAAGATGATCAAGAAACTGTTTTGGAATTTAATTAATTTTTCCTTTTCTTACAGAGATGTGTCATATAATGATTTGTCTGGAAGTCTTCCTTCATGGGCCAGCTTACCAAACTTGAAACTGTAAGTAAACAAAACACTATAAAGTTTCACCATCTCAGAAACGTTTCCCTGTTTACATTCATTAGGGCTTCACATCCAGCAAAAAGCTCCTATTATTTATTAATTATAATCATATGCTAGGGAATTAATAAACAAAACTGTATGTTATCTGTGCAGCAACCTTATTGCTAACAACTTCACATTGGAAGGTCTTAACAACGGGTGATTTTCTTAAATATGTTCTTTCTGATGCTTGAAATTCTAGTATGTTTTTCGTTATCTATAAATGACTTATCATTTCTTTCTTAAATCTCCTTTTTATGGTTAAAAGGGTTTTACCAGGACTTAGTTGCCTGCAGAAGAACTTCCCCTGCAATCGAGGCAAAGGAATCTGTAAGTATAACAAACACATGGACAATGCTTGTATGTACTCTTGAAAAAAAGATTTGTTGAAAGACTTACGCTATTGACTGGTGAATAGATTCTGACTTTTCGATAAACTGCGGAGGCCCAGAGATAAGGTCTGTTAGCGGAGCAGTATTTGAGAGGGAGGATGAGGATCTTGGACCAGCTTCATTTGCCATTAGTGATGGTCAGAGATGGGCAGCCAGTAGTGTAGGACTTTTTGCTGGAAGTAGCAGTAATATATACAAAGCTACTTCACAATCACAATTTGTCAACACTTTGGACTCAGAGCTTTTTCAGTCAGCAAGACTTTCTGCATCTTCCCTTAGGTATTATGGGTTGGGGCTAGAAAATGGAGGTTATACGGTAAACCTTCAGTTTGCTGAAATACAAATTCTAGGTTCAACTTCTAACACTTGGAAAGGGTTAGGAAGACGACGTTTTGACATTTATGTCCAGGTCTGCACTACTTGATCAAGCTTTCCGCTTTACAAGCGATATTTTCCCATATTTGGTGGTCAATTCTAAGATCTAGCCCCATTTTTCCAGGGTAGACTTGTTGAAAAGGATTTTGATGTGCGTAGAACAGCTGGTGACTCAACAGTTCGAGCAGTTCAGAAACAATATAAGGCAAATGTATCAGAAAATCACCTCGAGATTCATCTTTTTTGGGCTGGGAAAGGGACATGTTGTATTCCTATCCAAGGGGCTTACGGACCATTAATATCAGCCGTCAGTGCAACACCAGGTAACACAAATGGCAAATTCTTTCTTCTTCCTGATTTTCACCAGCTCCAGATGCTAGCTAGTGCCTAAGTGTTACATATTCATGTTCAGATTTCACACCAACTGTGGGTAATAGGCCACCATCACGGGGAAATAACAGGACTGGTCTTATTGTGGGTGTCATTGTTGGCGTTGGAGTTTTGAGCATCTTTGCAGGTGTGGCTATCTTCATCATCCGAAAAAAAAGAAGACAGTACACAGATGATGAAGGTATAGATGTAATAAGAACATAAACAAGCCCTTGAGCAGAATAATTTGGGTCTTCTAACTAAAAATTAAAACTTGCATATCGCAATTGGTTGATTTCCTAGAACTGAAACTTTTTCTTGCAGAGATACTTAGTATGGACGTAAAGCCTTTCACCTTTACTTACTCGGAACTTAAAAGTGCAACTCAAGATTTTGATCCTTCAAACAAGCTTGGAGAGGGGGGATTTGGGCCTGTTTATAAGGTAAGTCCCATACCGAAATGGATGAAATATCTGTTTGTTGTTCAAAATACGAGGGTAGAAGAGTATATGTAATACCTTTTGTTTTGGATAACACATTCAACAGGGGAAACTGAATGATGGAAGAGAGGTAGCAGTGAAGCTATTGTCGGTGGGATCCCGGCAAGGAAAGGGGCAATTTGTTGCAGAAATTGTAGCAATCTCTGCAGTTCAACATCGCAATTTAGTAAAGCTTTATGGGTGCTGCTATGAAGGAGATCATCGTTTGCTCGTATATGAATACCTTCCTAACGGAAGTCTTGATCAGGCTCTATTTGGTACGCACAGAACATAGTTTATTGATCCATCCTTCTGCCAGGCTTATAGCACTCATTATGTAGTTGTAATTGGTTTTGAATGTTGCAGGGGAGAAGACTTTACATCTTGATTGGTCAACCCGTTATGAGATATGTCTGGGAGTAGCTAGAGGTCTAGTCTATCTCCACGAGGAGGCGAGGCTTCGCATAGTACACAGAGATGTGAAAGCCAGCAACATTTTGCTTGATTCGAAATTGGTCCCGAAAGTTTCTGATTTTGGGCTCGCAAAACTATACGATGACAAGAAAACCCATATAAGTACCCGAGTAGCTGGGACGATGTATATATCCTAAAACCCTGACAACATAGGCTGTAATTTTGGTTTTCTTATAACACATTTCCGTGCTGTTGTTGTACCAATGCAGTGGATATCTTGCACCAGAGTATGCCATGCGTGGACATCTAACAGAGAAAATAGATGTGTATGCCTTTGGTGTTGTGGCTCTTGAGCTAGTGAGTGGAAGGCCAAACTCTGATGAGAACTTGGAGGATGAAAAAAGATATCTTCTTGAATGGGTACGTCGTTACCTGTTCTAATTTAATGGTCTGTTTCAGTACTTATTGGTAATAAACATAACTTTAACGTAAAATCTGGTTGTGCCCTTTAGCAAACTCTTGATATATTTTTTTTCCTTGTTTACAGGCGTGGAATCTACACGAGAAAAGTCGTGAAGTTGAACTTATTGATCATGAGCTGACTGAATTCAACATGGAAGAAGTCAAACGCATGATTGGCATAGCTCTACTGTGCACACAGACATCTCATGCCTTGAGACCACCCATGTCACGAGTGGTGGCCATGCTTTCAGGAGATGTTGAGGTCAGTGATGTCAAGTCAAAGCCAGGCTACCTAACCGACTGGAGATTTGATGACACTACAGGCTCCTCTCTCAGCGGCTTTCAAACTAAAGACACGGGGGTTTCTGAATCCTTCACGAGCTTTGTGGCGCCTGGATCCGAGGGGAACAACGACTCTAAGCCAATGCTTGGAGCCCATATTAATGAAGGGAGATGACAAAGACCCTTCTCTGTCTATAGAGATGTTTGTGAATATGAGGATCATTTCATGATTACAGATTTCATGTTAATTTAACAATAATAAAATTTAGGCTCGGTGAGTTTGGCTTGATCTTTAAGCGGTGTGATGCGCCGCGCACTATTGATGTCCTTAACAAAATCAATGCCGTTCCCTTCACTAGCTACTTCTTATTTACATTGTAATGTGTTGGAATTCGAAGACCACTTGGTTCCACGAGCTCGAACCACTCATGATATGTGTGGTTTTTATATTTTTGTGTATGATCTCACATGATAAAAGAATCTAACCGGGAAATGGTGCAGGTAATTTGACTTATATGATGATGAGCTGACTGAATATAACATGGAAGAAGCAAAGCGCACGATTTGGCGCTGCTCTGCTGTGCACACAGACATCTCATGCCTTGAGACCACCAATGTCATGAGTGTCTCCGAAATATCATCCAGAGAGCCAAGATCAACGAGGGAAGATGTCATCCTCTGCGATTGTTGGCTATAGAGATGTTTGTATATGGAAGATAGCTATACTGACTTTTGAATCATAATAATAATTTAGTAGCTCTAAGTTCGAGATATTTTAAAAACAGGTCGTAATGGGCCTCGCATTGCTCATGTCCGATCCTTAACCAAATCAATGCAGTCTCTGCAGGTTGAAGGTGAGTGACTCTTCAAATTACTAGCTAGCCACTTCTTACTTGTTGTTATTTCTGCAAGTCTTAACTTAATTAGGTACTCTTCACTAGCCACTTAATAATCAAATGGCTTCCACACTCTCATGTCCAAGGTTGCGGTTCCACAAAGGATCCCCAGCCAAAAGATGTTGTTGAATAATTGATTAAGGACAACAACAAAAATAGATTCAAGAAAACACCTCAACGTTTAGCCATGCATGCATGCACGATTCTCATTCATTTCAGTACGTATTCAACTAATAGAAGTATAGAACTTTGCTTGTATAAGTCGAAACTCTTTACTAGAGAAATATATATCACTTTCATTTAATATATTATAAGTAACATGTTTAGTAGCTCTAGTTAAGTTATAGTGGTCGTGATGGGCCTCTCATGCACTATTTATGTCGAGAAGATAAAGCTGATAACTGACTCTTAACTATAAATCCCACTTGTTCCTTGATTTGTAATCATGTGTTTTATAATGTTTGTCTTGGGCACTCGAAATAAACTAGTGATAATTAAGATAGCTTTAATGAGTGTGTCGGTTCCACGAGCATGGCACTTTGCCAATAATCCATTCAAGACGTCCTAAGTTGAAAATTAATGGACGACGACTTTTAAACTCGAAATCTCGTTTGTAGACAATCTTAATTACACTGATGATCAAATTGCATATACATTTATATATATTGGCTGTGATTGGTGTGTCCACAAGTGGGTAGATCATAGCATAGTAAGTCTTCTCTCATAGCATAGTAAGTCTTCTCTCATAGTAAGAGTCTTCTCTCATAGTGTGGATAGAAACTTTTAGCTAGAAAAGAAAGCGACAGTTTAAAGTATATGTGGTGTGGTGATGAAGAAAGAAAATTCCCCACTCTATAAGTTATATGAAACATATCAACCCTAGCCAACGTCTATCTCTACAAAAAGCAGAAGACAAAAATGTATCTCTTCATATAGTCTTGTATTTTGAACCAAAAGTTTTTAGAACCTCTCTCCCAAACTGTCTCTTTAGTCTTGTCCGTTGTTGAGATGCAGATCAGGCTACCGAGTTCTCCGTTTCTGCTCCTAACCGTATGGCTCTTGTGTTGTTCCGGTTTGTTTCACGTGGTTGTTCGAGCCCAAACCCGAACCGGACCAACTACTCATCCGGATGAAGGTCTGTCTGTCTTACAAACACTTACAAAAGTTCAAATCACCATTCACCAATTTGTAATTATGAACCCCATTTAATTTACTCTAATTAAACATATAAAAAGCTGTTTGTCAAAAACAAACAAAAAAAATGCTTAACAGATTTTTACGTGTTAGTTTTCCGGTAATACTAGGATATATTATATACCACCGCGAGTATGTTTTAAAATTGTTTTAGACTTAGTAATCATTTAATTAGATATACATAATACATTCATTGATATAGTATGCAAAAATACAATAACATTTTAGTTTTGATTTTTCTTAGAATCATTGATGTATAAGATTTTGCTTTCTACACAATAAAGAGGCTGTTATAATAATATATGGTTTTAACTAATAGTAGTTGTTTAGTTTAAGACTTCAAGCGTAAATAATATTATGAAAGGGATCATAATAATAATAATAAGTAACCGTTACAGCGCGAGCTTTGAACTCCATCTTCGCGGCTTGGAAGATCCCGGCGCCGAAAGAATGGAACATCAGCGGCGAACTTTGCTCCGGCGCCGCCATCGACACCGGTGTCCTCGACACCGACCCTGCCTACAATCCTCTCATCAAGTGCATCTGTACTTTTGAAATGTCCACAATCTGCCGCATAAACAACATGTACGCCTTCTTCATCTCCCCTTTTATTTTGTGTGCACCCCATGTGTTCGACACATTCTCCCACTGAATGCTTCATTCTCATATTTTTGTCGATGTTATTTCTCTTGACAGCAAGGTTTATGCGTTAGATGTTGTTGGACCTATACCTCAGGAGCTCTGGACTTTGAAATACCTCACCAATCTGTATAGATCCATACAAACGCCCCCTTACCCATTATTATTTTTATATATATTCACATGTTAGTATATATATGTGCGGAGACTCTAACTGACCCAAATGGTCAATTCAAAATCACATATTTCAGGAACCTAGCTCAGAATTTTCTCACAGGCTCACTGCCTCCTGCTATTGGAAATCTGACTCGAATGCAGTGGATGTAAAAACCCTTCTTCTTCTTCTTTTTTTGAGGATTCGTTTTCTACATGTTCAGTTTCACAAATTCCTTGTCTCTCACGCTCACATATAGGACTTTTGGGATCAATGCCTTGTCTGGCCCTCTTCCTAAGGAAATCGGTTTGCTTGATGATTTAAGATTACTGTAAGCTTTGTAATTGTTTGTATTGGCAAATCTCTTCACACTGCTTTTGATAGTTCCTTATACCTATATACTATTTTCTTTCTTTTTTTTCTGCAGTAGTATTGGTTCAAATAACTTTTCAGGTTCTATACCAGCAGAGATTGGGAATTGTAAGAAACTAGAGCAAATGTGAGTCTATCTGTCAATTCTTTAAGTGCTTATGTATCTATATTTCCTGTCTATAATTTATATATGAAAACTTAAGTTCTTGGATTAGTTAGCTAGTGTTTGCCAACCACAAAAGTCTTGCGCAATCAGTTAGTTTTAAGAATTTCCTAAATCTTTTGCAGATACATGGACAGTTCTGGACTCAGCGGGAGAATACCTTCATCATTTGCTAATTTTGTGGAGCTGCAACAAGCGTAAGATATATTAACTTCTAATATAAGTTTTATCCTTGTAGCTATTATTTTGTGATCTATATGTATTATTATACATTTTAGTTTTTTGCCTTGGGGTGATTGTTAGCTGTTACCTTAATTTTGTACCAGTTGGATTATGGATCTGGAACTTACAGGTCGGATACCAGACTTTATAGGAAAGTGGACTAAACTTACTACCTTGTAAGAAGATTTCCATTTTTACGGAGTTATATATTGGACTTGTTCCATTGCTCTTGTATATATCATATATGTATATTTTCTATACTGTAACTGCAGGAGAATTATCGGAACCGGTTTGAGTGGTCCAATACCGTCGTCATTTTCCAACCTAACTTCTTTGGAAGAACTGTATGTGTAGAATTGTTGTCAGAATCTTATTATATTTTTCTCTTTCTTTCTTTTCTTCCACATATTCATATTCAATATGTAGGAGGCTTGGTGATATATCCAATGGAGGCTCTTCTCTTGATTTCATCAAAGACATGAAGTCTTTAAGTGTACTGTAAGGCAGCTTTGATTCAATTTCTGCTCCAATTCTTGATCAGATTAATGTACCATTGAACTGTTTCTCGCTCCTCTGTGTATTTAGCAATTATGATATATGTTGCAGAGTACTAAGAAACAACAATCTCACTGGGACAATACCGTCTACGATTGGAGGCTACTCAAGTTTGAAACAAGTGTAAGTACATATCTCATTTGTATCTGTTCTGAAAGCTGTCTCAGGATCGTTTGTGTAAAAAACACTGAGATGATTTGTGAAAGGCACTGAGATAATTTCGTTTTCTTCCTCATAATGTTTTACCGCTCAATTCATGTTTGTATTCCAGTGATTTGAGCTTCAACAAACTACAAGGACCAATTCCGGCTTCACTTTTCAACTTAAGTCAACTTACTCACTTGTAAGATGATATGTTGTCTGTTTCTTTTGGGTCTTTATGTACAATCATCCGGATAATTTTTATAACAAATTTTTGTTGTTTTCATATTAGGTTTCTGGGAAATAATACGTTACATGGCTCCTTACCCAATCAAAAGGGGCAGTCTCTGAGCACTGTGTGAGTAACGAAATCCTTTATAATTTCATCTTTAAAAATCTTGGACGGGTTGTTAACAGATCCTCCTGGTATAGACTCGAGTTCGTAAACTGTTTACTGGACACTTACTTAAGTCGAATAAGGTTCCACTCTTGGTGACGCAGATAGCTTGCCAAGATAATAGCAAAACTATTCTTAGACATATGATATATTTGGTAGATCTTAATTATCATTTTTTTTATGCTTACAGAGATGTGTCATACAATGATTTGTCGGGAAATCTTCCTTCATGGGTCAGCTTACCAAACATGAAACTGTCAGTAAACAAATACAATAGTTTTTCCCAACTTATATGCACAACGTTTTTACTATCTCAGAAATGTTCCCACATGCATAGCCTTCTTCATATCCAGCAAGAACCTTCCATTTTGCTGGAAATATTTGTTATCTCACTTGTTTGGGAATAACAAGCTGAAGTTTATGTTATATGTGCAGCAATCTAGTTGCTAACAACTTCACATTGGAAGGTCTTGACAACAGGTAATTATTTAATATGTCCTTGTTGGTGCATGGATCCCAATACGTTTCTATTTTCTATTTTTCGTTTCCTGCAAAAGGATGCAAATATAAACGACTTATCATATATTTCTTATATAAAAAAATTATTTCTGTTTAAAAGAGTTTTATCAGGACTAAATTGCCTGCAGAAGAACTTCCCCTGCAATCGAGGCAAAGGAATCTGTAAGTGTAACAAAAGGATATCCTCATAAATTTTGTTCTCCATGTGGAGTAAGCAAACATATGGACAGTGTATGACTTTCGCTATTGACTGGTGTCTAGATTTTAACTTTTCAATCAACTGCGGAGGCCCAGAGAAAAGGTCTGTTAGTGGAGCACTATTTGAGAAAGAGGACGCAGATCTTGGACCAGCTTCGTTTATCGTGAGTGCTGCTAAGAGATGGGCAGCCAGTAGTGTAGGAAATTTTGCCGGAAGTAGCAATAATACATACATAGTTAATTCACAAGCACAATTTACCAACACTATGGACTCAGAGCTTTTTCAGTCAGCAAGACTTTCTGCATCTTCCCTTAGGTATTATGGGTTGGGGCTAGAAAATGGAGGCTACACTGTAAAACTTCAGTTTGCTGAAATACAAATTGAAGGTTCTAAAACTTGGAAAGGTATCGGAAGAAGACGTTTTGACATTTATGTCCAGGTCTGCACCACTTGATCGAGCTTTCTGCTTTACAATTTAACTTTTTGGTTCTGTTGAATTCTAAGATGTAGCTTCGTTTTTCCAGGGAAGACTTGTTGAAAAGGATTTTGATGTACGCAGAACAGCTGGTGGCTCTTCTGTTCGAGCAGTTCAGAGAGAATATAAAACAAATGTATCAGGAAATCATCTCGAAATCCATCTTTTCTGGGCTGGAAAAGGAACATGCTGTATTCCTATCCAAGGGGCTTATGGGCCACTAATATCAGCTGTCAGCGCAACACCAGGTAACTCCATCTTTCTTTTCCCTTGATTTTCACTATCTGCTGATGCTAGTTAGTGCTCAACTGTCACATATTCCTGTTCAGATTTCACACCAACTGTGGGTAATAGGCCACCGTCAAAGGGAAAGAACAGGACTGGTACTATTGTGGGGGTCATTGTTGGCGTTGGAATTTTGAGCATCTTTGCGGGTGTGGTTATCTTCATTATTCGAAAAAGAAGAAAGCCATACACGGATGATGAAGGTATATATGTAATAAGAGCATAAACAAGCCCTTGAGCTGAATAATTTTAGCTCTCTGATTAAAAATTAACGTTGAATATCATCTCTTATACTGGTTAATATTAAGTAATGAACTGATTCTGGCAGAGATACTTAGTATGGACGTAAAGCCATACACCTTTACTTACTCAGAACTTAAAAGTGCAACACAAGATTTCAATCCCTCAAACAAGCTTGGTGAAGGAGGGTTTGGGGCTGTATATAAGGTAAGTCTCTAACAGAAACAAACGAAATAGCTGTATATTTTTCTGAGACTAGAAAAGAAGGATATATGTAATACCTCTGAATATATTTTGTTTCGAATAACACATTCAACAGGGAAACCTCAATGATGGAAGAGAGGTCGCGGTGAAGCAGTTGTCAGTTGGATCACGACAAGGGAAGGGACAATTTGTTGCAGAAATTGTAGCAATTTCTGCAGTTCTACATCGTAACCTAGTAAAACTTTACGGATGCTGCTTTGAAGGAGATCATCGTTTGCTCGTATATGAGTATCTCCCTGAGGGAAGTCTCGATCAGGCATTATTTGGTAATGAACAGAAACATGACTTATCTATCACTACTTCTGTCAAGCGAAAGTACTCATTATGCTATTGGGTTGGATGTTGCAGGTGATAAGACTTTACATCTTGATTGGCCAACCCGTTATGAGATATGTCTAGGAGTGGCCAGAGGTCTAGTTTATCTCCATGAGGAGGCGAGTGTTCGCATAATACACAGAGATGTGAAGGCCAGCAATATTTTACTTGACTCTGAACTGGTTCCAAAAGTTTCTGATTTTGGGCTTGCAAAACTATATGATGACAAGAAAACCCATATTAGTACCCGAGTGGCAGGGACGATGTAAGTAATCCATAGACCCTGAACTTTGGGTTTCCACACAATTATGTATGTATAGCACATGTTAGTTGTAATCAATGCAGTGGATATCTTGCGCCAGAGTATGCCATGCGTGGACATCTGACAGAGAAAACAGATGTGTATGCCTTTGGTGTTGTGGCTCTTGAGCTAGTGAGTGGAAGGAAAAACTCTGATGAAAACCTGGAGGAGGGAAAAAAATATCTTCTTGAATGGGTACGTTTTTAACTTTTGATATGGGGGAAGTTGGAGAAAGACATGAATGGCAAAAGCCGATAAAATCCTCGTGTGTTTCTTGTATGCAGGCATGGAATCTACACGAGAAAAGCCGTGACATTGAACTAATTGATGATGAGCTAAAGGAATACAACATGGAAGAAGTGAAACGCATGATTGGCATTGCTCTGCTTTGCACTCAGTCATCTCATGCGTTGAGACCACCAATGTCACGAGTGGTAGCCATGTTGACAGGAGATGCTGAGGTCAATGATGCCACCTCTAAGCCAGGCTACCTAACCGACTGTACATTTGATGACACCACAAGCTCATCTTTCAGCAACTTCCAAACCAAAGAGACTAGCTTCTCCACGAGCTTTATAGCGCCTCGCCCCGGGATGTCACATAGTGACTGCGAATCTAAGCCAATGGTTGGGTTCAAGATCAAGGAGGGAAGATGAAAATGTGTCCTATATAATTGCTATAGTCTATAGATTTCTAACATGGAAGATGACAATTTTCTTCTATATTATATGTATTGGAGAAACAGATTTCACTTTCATTCAATAATAATATTTTAGTAGCTCTGAGTTCTTTTTGATGTCACGACAAGCTTCTCAACGAGCTTAGTGACGGCTGTCCCCAGAGACAACGACTCTAAGCCAATACTAGGATTCAACATCAAGGACGGGGGATGACAAAGAACCTTCTCTGTAACTATGGTGGCTATAGGGATCGATGTTTATATGGAAGATGGCAATTTTCTTGTTTGACTGAAGAAAAAGAACTCAAGTTGATGGGACAAAAACCATACTTTTAGTAGATGTGAGTTCATCTTGAAACAGTCTCCGTTTCTTCTGCACCTTACCGTCTAGTTTTCCTGTATTTCCGGTTCGGTTTCAACTTGCCCACTTATTTATAGTCTAAATGTAGGAGTCTTGGGGATAATATCCAATGGAAGCTCGTCTCTTGAATTCATCAAAGACATCAAATCGCTAACTATATTGTAAGGCAGCTTTGATTCAACTTCTACTCCAATCCATCATCAGATTAATGTACAGTTGGACTGTTTCTCTCTCTCTCTCTCTCTCTCTCTGTACTTTACACAGGGAAAATGCTTTACATCTTGAATTGAGATATGTGTGGGAGTAGCCAGAGGTCTAGTTTATCTCTAGGAAGAGGCGAGTGTTCAAACTTCAAATAGTACACATGGATGTTGAGGCCACTAAAATTATACCATGACAAGAAAACATTGAAGAAGCAATTAAATTGATGATGAGCTAAGTCATATGAATACAACATGGAAGAAGTGAAACGCATGATTGGCATTAATAGCTCTGCTTTGCACGCAGCCATCTCATTCATTTAGACCTCCAAGTGGTGGGCATGCTTTCAGGATATATTGAAGTCAGTGATGCCACCTCTAACTGTAAGCACCGATATTGTAGATTTGATGAAACAACAAACTCCTCTTACAAGTTACAACGGCTTTCAAACCAATGACACAAGCTACTCCACGAGCTTTGTGACCCCTAACGACTCTAAGCCAATGCTTGGACTCAACATCAAGGAGGAAAGATGATTGAATAGCCTATAGATAGATCATAGATACAATGTTACACACCAATGCTTCTTGGATACATAACCAAAGCACTTATTTGAGAAACAGATTTCACTTCAACTCTATAAAATAAATAATTTCTTTAAGCGGTCACGATGGGCCGAGCATTTTAATTGGGCTATACAGTATAAGCTAAGCTAAATCAACTAACACACCGTGAAGCCCATTTAATTTGTTCAAAGCAGCGCCATCAACAAATCGTATTAAACCCTGAAACCCTAGTTTCGTTCGTTGTATATTATCTTTCGCTCAGTAGGTTTTAGGGTTTTAGTTTCTTCTCCTCCAAAAATGGCGATGTATGTTAACTACGAATCTTCTTCAGGCTATGCCCTCTTCGAGGTGCACGGACTAGATGAGATCGGACAGAACACTGAGGCCGTCCGGACCTCCGTTTCTGACCTCAGTCGCTTTGGTCGCGTAGTTCAGCTCACAGCGTTTCACCCCTTCGAGTCTGCTCTCGATGCTCTCAACCAAATAAACGCCGTCTCCGAAGGTGACTCTTCGTTACCCACTTCGCCCTTGTTTTGTATGTTTCATGTGTTGTGTTGAGTTTATATATTGCTTGGTCTTCGATGTAGAGCTAGAACAGAGACTTTCACTTAGTTGTTGGTTCAGCTGAAAAAGTATCTCATTAGATTTAAAACCTCATACTTCAAAGTATTGTAGAAAGAGCTTCAATTTAGGGTTGATTCGTACTTATTGCGTTTCTGATTTTGTTTCATTGTTTTGATTATATCATTGATCTTTGGAATTGGATTTATCTGATATTGGTAGGTGTTATGACTGACGAGCTTAGAAGTTTCCTGGAGTTGAATCTTCCTAAAGTCAAGGAGGGAAAGAAACCCAAGTTCAGCTTAGGATTGGCTGAGCCTAAACTCGGTTCACATATCTTTGAAGCCACTAAAATCCCATGCCAGAGCAATGAGTTCGTACTTGAGCTTCTCAGAGGTGTACGCCAGCATTTTGATAGGTTCATCAAGGACCTCAAGGTGTGCTATACTTCTTTGTATTCAGGATTTCTTTGTCTTTTTGCTTGTTACATATTGTTTGTGATCTCATTAAACATTTTCTATTTATGTAGCCTGGTGATCTTGAAAAATCTCAGCTTGGATTAGCTCACAGCTACAGCAGAGCCAAAGTGAAGTTTAATGTTAACCGAGTGGATAACATGGTTATTCAAGCTATTTTCCTGCTTGACACCCTTGACAAGGATATTAATTCCTTTGCCATGAGAGTCAGGTTTGTTTTGTGTTTTCCCCTTCCAGATACTGTGTTGCAATTTACCTTGAGAAATTTTGGTAGCTGAAACTGATACAATGTTCTTGCAGGGAATGGTACTCGTGGCACTTTCCCGAGCTAGTGAAGATTGTTAATGACAACTATCTTTACGCCCGTGTTTCAAAGATGATTGATGACAAGTCAAAGTTGACGGAAGACCACATCCCAATGCTTACTGAAGTCTTAGGAGATGAAGATAAGGCTAAGGAGGTCGTCGAAGCTGGAAAAGCTTCTATGGGTATATTTCTTGGCCTGTGTTCTCTGATACTCATAATAAATGAGTGTCTCTAATATCTCTTGTTCTAAGACAGTTATTTTCTTACCTATTGACAGGCCAGGATTTATCACCAGTTGACTTGATCAATGTACAGTCCTTTGCCCAGAGAGTTATGGATCTTGCTGACTACAGGAAGAAGCTCTATGATTATCTTGTTGCTAAAATGAGCGACATTGCCCCTAATTTGGCAGCTTTGATTGGAGAAATGGTTGGTGCTCGTTTGATTTCTCATGCTGGAAGTCTGACTAACCTTGCTAAATGCCCATCATCCACCCTCCAGATTCTTGGAGCTGAGAAGGCCCTTTTCAGGTGCAATATCTGGGCCCTGTCTTTTATAATTTTCTCACGTTTTCTTTTAGTGTTGTCTATGACGTGAATTGTTGTGGTGTTTCAGGGCACTTAAAACACGTGGAAACACTCCCAAGTATGGGTTGATTTTCCATTCTTCCTTCATTGGCCGAGCCTCAGCTAAGAACAAAGGACGTATCGCTCGTTTTCTTGCTAACAAGTGCTCTATTGCATCCCGAATTGATTGTTTTGCTGGTAAAATTCTCCCTGTAAAGAGCTTTAGGTTATGAAATATGCTGTAGTGTTTTTAAATTATGTGCCCTGATGTCCTTCCCAGATGGTGCAACTACTGCCTTTGGTGAGAAGCTTCGTGAACAAGTTGAGGAAAGGCTAGAATTTTATGACAAAGGTGTTGCCCCACGCAAGAATGTGGATGTTATGAAGGAGGTCATAGATAATTTGCAAAAGAATGGTATATTCTTGTAGCCTTTCTGTTGCTGTAAACAGAGTTGTCTTATTGTGGTCGACTCACTTTTTGATCTGTTGCTGGTTTTAGATGATGAAGGGAAGGAACCGGTGGAGGCGAAGAAAAGCAAGAAGAAGAAGGCAAAGGGGGAAGAAGAAGAAGAAGAGGTGGTGGCAATGGATGAGGACAAGTCAGAGAAAAAGAAGAAGAAAGAGAAGAGGAAGATGGAGACAGCAGAGGAGAATGAGAAATCAGAGAAGAAGAAGAAAAAGAAAAGCAAATCTGGAGGAGATGAGGAGACTGATGATGGCCACAGCACCAAGAAGAAGAAGAAGAAGTCTAAGAGCGCAGAGTAGGGATGCAAAACATAACAAACCCTGTATTGTATTTTTATTTTTGAGCAATGTCGTTTTCTTAGCGAACTTTGGATCATTTTTTGTTTTGGTTTGGAAACGATGCAAGATTTGGTAACATGATGTTTAGGTTTCACGATTTTGTTATCTTTGTTGTTACACACTTACAAATCCTGCAATCACATGATATATCATGTGCACTGTTTTTTCTTAACTACTAAACTCTCGTATTCGTTATTTTCCAAATATCCAAGCTCTTTATGATCGATGTTGTTGTCTCATAGTCCCTCGCTGATTAATATCATCACGTTGCAGTTGTTGTTCTGCTTTACACGATTATTTTGTTTGTCGCCTGTCACGGGAGTTGTCCGTTGTTCGTTTGACTATTACCAGCTACTATTTTTTTTATAAATTCTAATTAAGTTATGAGGATTTCTATTTATAGATTTATGTTTGTATGTATACGTATATTTACAAAATTAAGATATGGATACGTATATATATTCTAAAGTATCAATGTCAAAACTATATTAGAGAAAAAATGTTTGAAATAACAAGTTAATTTAAAATATAAATACTAAAAGATATATACGAAAACACTCAAACCAAAAAAAAATAGGAATTGTATTTTTCGTTTTAATTTTTGTGTTTTCAAGAGTTTCTGTTTTCAAAACCAAACGATTTTCGATAAGAGTTTTCATGCTATTTAGAATAAGAGTAGTCTAATATAATTTTTAAAAATAATTAATTACATTTTTAAAAACAATAAAACATCCAAATTTCGTACCATAATTCATAAAATCCCAATACAATATCAGCCAAAAACTGTTACAAAAAATAATAAAAAAAAATATCAGCCAAAAAGACATTACATATATTTTCAGATTATAAACTTATTTGTATTCATATATTATTTGTTTCTTTTTAGAGAAAAAAAAAAAAATGAAACTTTGTTTGTTGTGTCTGGAAAAAAACGTGGTGGAATGAAAAGAAATTACACGTGTAAAGTGAAGCCCTAATTAACACTTCTTCTTCCTGAAACTATCGCCGCTTCCTTTTTTTTTTTTACAGACATAGTCGCTGGTCGGCTACCTGACGACGCTGGAATACAACAATAAGTTTTTTCAGTGAGAGTGGTTGCTTATCTTAGAATGACATCAGATAGTGGTTTAGGTCATAAGCTCAAGAAAAGGCTGAAGCTTTCATCACTTAGCTCTAATTCTTGTAAAGGAAGGAGTAGATCTACTAGTCAACGCTGCAGTGATGATGACACAAACTCCGGGAAGACTAGGGTATCGTTTTTGAAGAAGAGGGTCAACTCCAATAACCATGTGAAGGAAATCCCACGCACGATGTGGGCTGCCTCAAAGAGAAACCAAGAGTCTACCTGTAGTAATGATGCTGCAACAAGAACAAAGTCACCGAGGGGAGATGATCCTACTCGAAAGAAGAGAGATGAATTGGGTAATAATGCAGACGTGAGACCAAGTAAAAGCTCGAAACAAACAGATAAGAGAGTCGAGGGGGATGGTTCAGATAGTCAGGAGGATAAACCAAGGAAGAGAAAGAGGATACGACTAGATCCCTATGATACCTCTAATAAAAGGATTGATGATGATGTCCTTCTTGATGGTTAGTTTTGCCGTGTGCTTCTGAGTATGTGACTGTTACATCCCATTGTTGCTGCTTTGCTAACATGCTCTGTTTCTTTTCCTTTGTTGAGAAGGCCATAGAGTAACCAACAACAAGAAGGCTGTGAATAGTGTTGTAGAAATGTCGAAAAATGCTCAGTTTCGGGCAATTCAGCCCAGTCATTCGATCCTTTCATATGTGGAAGAAAATGTAATTTACATATATGTAATATGCATGTTTTTAATTTACTATGGCTCTCTGGTAACATTCATTTTACCGGCAGCTGTTGGGGCGTAGGCGATTAATTGAGCTCAAGAGGGCCGGCTACAACACTGAGCTTCCTGCTCCCTTAGATAATATTCCTCAGTCAACCAGCACAGAGAGAGAACGTATAGAAGAAACTGTATGTCCTTCTATTCTTACCTCAAGAAAGATAATAATAAGCCTTCCCTTCTAAGCTAATGTTGCAAGCAATTGCCCTTTTGCAGGTATTCAGGAATAAATTGGAATTCTTTGCTGCTGCAAATGTTTCATCTTCATTTCCACCTCCTGATGTGCCTGAGATTGCATTTGCAGGTACCAGCATCATACAAATATTCACAAGAATTCCTCTTCTTTTGAGTTTCAGAGTACTTTATTTAATATTACTCAACGTAAATTAAATATTGAACTCTTACCAGGAAGGTCAAATGTTGGCAAATCGTCTCTGCTAAATGCTCTTACCAGACAATGGGGTGTTGTAAGAACATCTGACAAACCAGGACTGACCCAGGTATTCCCCTGTCTCTGAGAATTGCCTGCTGCTTGTATGGGCTTACATGTTTTCTGTAATAACTAAGGGATTATCAAGTGCAGACTATCAATTTCTTCGATCTTGGTCCCAAGGTTCGACTTGTTGATTTACCAGGCTATGGCTTTGCCTTTGCAAAAGATGAAGTTAAGGAAGCATGGGAAGATCTTGTGAGCATCTTCCCCCTGGCTATTATGTCTTGTTTCCTTGCTCAATTCTTTTGTGTATTACTAAACAGGTTAATGATCCCTATCTGTTTTAATATTTGAGCAATGCAGGTAAAGGAATATGTTTCAACAAGAACTAGTCTTAAACGGGTGTGCCTCCTTGTTGACACCAAATGGGGTATGAAGCCAAGAGATCAGGAACTTATTAATCTGATGGAGAGGTAAAGTCATTGATGCTGCTCTTAGTTCTTTTTGCTTATGTCATGTAGTTAAATGTCCTTACAGCCGAAAACTGAACTGCAGATCCAATACAAAGTATCAGATAGTCTTAACCAAGACAGATGTGGTGTTTCCCATTGATGTGGCACGTCGGGCAATGCAGATCGAAGAGGTTTTAGTTATTATACTCCAAGTGAATATAGTGAAGGCGATGGATTAAAAAAGAAAAAATCTTGGTCATGTTCTTACTAATATCAACATCTATTTTTCTTATAAAAAAATGCAGAGGTTGAAAGCAAACAGATCAATTGTCCAGCCTCTGGTATGTCTGGATATGGCTTACCTAGTTTGTTGTTTACTTGTCTATGGCTGCAGAAAAAGATGAGTCAAATGGTTAACGTTTGATAATTGCAGATGATGGTGAGCTCAAGGTCAGGAGCAGGCATAGGAAGTTTGAGAACTGCTCTTGCTAAAATTGCTAAGTTTGCAAAGTTCTAGTCCATCTATATCTAGTTTCTCAAAACAAGAAAACAATTCCCAAAGCCAGTCAGGTTTGTCTCTTATATACTACATAGTAACTAGTAATAATGATCAATCAATATCAAATTTAAAGAGAATGACTTGAGTTGTCGTTTTCTTACTTTGGTTGTTTAACAGAGACAGAGAATCATACCTTTGTATGGCAAAAGAAAGGGGTACATGGAGATATATGTGTTGTGGAAGAGAAAGGACAAATCAAAATGTTGAGATAAGGAAGAGATGGTGATGATGTTGATCCGACTAAGTTAGTGAAGACTGTCAACAAAACCGCGTACTGTCTCTCTGTACCATATAATAGAATCTTGTCTTGAGTACTAAATCTCTCAATAAAGTGGAAGTCTTACGTTTATGTTCTTGTTCGTCCTGTAATGTAATCATCTAGAGAATATGCAATTGAAGTTCTCACTCAGCTCACAGCTTTGCCATTTGTGTTTCTGTAAACGACTTTATATCACTGAAGGATTCCTTTATTTTCACAAACGAAAAAGATGTAAGAATGTCCACTAGCTATATTACTGGGTCATGAACCTTAAGCCATCTCTACCAAATTCCATGTTTACATTTTCCCTCTCATTTCAGCTCATTTTCCTTTTTCTTTGTTTTGTTATGTTCATTACTCGTCGGTAAAAGCTAGGTCTATCATTATTTATATATAAACACTGTTTTGCACTTGTAGCTAGCTATGTTAATAACCCCATAGTTTGTTAGAAAAAGACATATCTTTATATAAAATATAATCTTTGATCAATGTATATTGGTTTTTAAATTGTTGTAGCAACATAACGGATCTAGTGTCAAAAAGAAGACAAAGCTATTTTGAAGGCTTCCAAACAGAACTTGTCGCCATCATGAGTATCTTCAGCGGCCGTCATGCAATTGCAAGGGTAGGTGGGGAGAGTGGGAATTACAATTTATGAGTTAATAAAAGCTACAAGCAAATACTATAGAATATTAGTAAAATAAATGAGACATTAATAACTGATTAGGAAGACAGAACGAGAGAGAGAGAGAGACGTACTGATACTATTGAGTATTGAGTATTGACGTTTCGTTTTCCCACCCAAAAAAAATACAGTAAATAGAAGAAGAGGCTTTTGGTATTTCAACCAAATAAAAAAAGAGGCTTTTGGTATTATTTTTATTAAAACTTTTGAGGAAGAAGGAAGCTACTCTTTGCATATAAATATGTCCGTCCATAGAGACTAGTGAGAGGCTCATTTCTTCTTCCTTATCTTTTTCAAAAACCCTAGCTTATAACCATTTCCCTAACAGTACTGACACTATGGCCAACGATGCAGCAAGGTGTGCTTTTGTTACCACCAACGAAGATACAAATCTTGTTATTCTCTTCGATAAACATGACACTGTCTTGTCTTTGAAAGGTTTACATATATCTGTTCTCTTATCTTTATATGTAGTGATCTCTTTCTTTCATTTTTTCAATATCTTGGTTTTGTATTAAAAACTCATGCATGTAATGCTTTTTTTGTTTTGTTTTACACAGACAAGATCAGCAAACAGCACCAAGAGTGTTTCCCAATTGTTGGGAAAATCGCCGTTTCTGTAGTGAAGGTAAATCATTGTTTTTTTTTTCTTAGTATCTTTTTTTCAAAAATGCCAACAAATCAAAAAACACAACAATAACAACAACTTAGTGAAGGATCTTGTGGTTTTGTTTTTTTTGTTCTTAGGTTAACTTGGTAAATGAGCTATATCATTTGCCGGACTCGATGTTTTTGAGTCAGGCTTTTGAAGCTATCAGTAACACGGACGACTCGTTTCTATCTGTGGATGTCATGCGTGTTGAGGACAAGGCCGGTGAGTTGCTGATTGAAACTGCCGCTGCTCCAACTCTTGAATCTTTGAATACCCATGTGTTTAGATGTTACTAGCTTTGGTAGATTCTCATTTAGTTTTAATGTATGTACCCTTTGATTAGCTCCAACTGCTACAGAGAATCTTCCAAGTGATGAAATGTACCAAGCTACTGTTGCTGAGAACCAAGCTCCCCTAGGTCGTCTTGATGCTACTTCTGAACCAATGCATATCGGTAAATTAGTTTCACTTGTTTTGTTGAATGAAAATACATTGTTCCCTTCTCTGGTATAATAACAGTGGTGTTTCCTATAATAATGTGTAGATGCTGAGATTGGTGGCAAGGACAATGTTGATAAAGCTGAAGGTGAGGAGGTTAAGTTTGTGAAGCGTAAGAAGAAGACGATGAAAGCCAAGGCACAAGCTATAGAAGTTGCCCAAGTTGCTTCTAGCTCACAAATCGTTGAGTCTGCCGCTGAAGATATCGAAGAAGGTACACCGGAAAATTTGGACAATCTTGTGAAGAAAATTGTGGAGGAGGCTTAAGTATTTGTCAGCTGACATAAACTAAACGTTTTGCTCTACTGCTATGATATGCTATGAGCATTATCATTTTATCGCTTTTTCATTTCTCTATGCTACTGAACATTGCTGCTGTTTCCAAGTTTAAACAACTTATTTCCTTTTCCTATTGATCATGAGTGGTTTTTTTTTTTTTTTTTAAATCTTGATTTCATCTACCCTACGCATCATATTTTAAAAAGTAGAAAATTAATATTATAAGATTTTAAATTTTTAAAAAAATATTACACAATTTTTACAATTTGAGTTTTGAAACTAGAGATTAACCAAAACTAGATATCATCACTTTCACTAGTGTTTTCGAAAATATAATCCGGATTTTCCCGGAAAAAAAGAAGAGAATAATTTAATCGATAGTTGCGTTGGGCCTGAGGGAAATGTTTAATGGGCTACATATAACCCACCAACCCGACAATAGTCCCTGATGGCGGGATTATGAATTTGGCATTTTTATTTTATTAAAATGGGTAATAATCAAATTAATTAATGAATTATTAAACAGGTACATACGATACAACTATGATATATTAAAAAAAAAAAAAAAAAAACGATACAACTCAACTCGCCATTGAAATCGAATCGAAGAAGAAGGAAGATTGTAATCCAGAGCCCAGAGGTCATATTATTTGACGCTTCACTGTTCGTTCACTCACCATTATTACGATTTGCTCCTTCTTCCTTCTCTCTGGATCTCTGCTTCTAGAGAATCTCTCGTCTCGTCGGCAGTTTATTAAATCTACGGAGTATATGGCATCGGTGGCGACGGCGACAAGTAAGGTGGAGAAGGGGCACCAGCTATACAGAGACGGCAAGTACAAGGAGGCGCTTCTCTTCTATACGGAGGCTCTTACAGCTGCTAAGCCCAAACCCCAGAAGATCGCTCTTCACAGCAACCGCGCCGCTTGTTATTTGAAATTACACGACTTCAACAAGGTTTCATAATTTTCTTGGATCTTCTCCTTGTCTACAAATGTTCCAATTCGAGCTTGTTTACTGTGAAATGAATTCAAAAGCTAACTAATAACAACGTGGATGCTAGATAGAAGAAAGGCAATGACTTTTGAAATTGTCAAGTTTGTTTACGGATTTGTTATATCTTGTGGTTTTGGTCTTCTTCAGGCAGCAGAAGAATGCACTTGTGTGCTCGAGCTTGATCAGAAACACAGCGGAGCGTTGATGCTGAGGGCTCAGACACTAGTCACCCTTAAACAATACCAATCTGCTCTTTTTGATGTCACCAGGCTTCTGGAGTTGAACCCTGATTCTGAGGTTTATCACAACCTCGAGGCTCGCTTGAGGACTCAGTTGGTATATATATATATATATACTCTCTTCATTCTTGCTTTACTTTATATATGAGATACTTCTTCTGGCTCAGTTGGGTTTTGATTTTAAAAAGCGTGTTTTGTGTTTCTTGGTCAAGGAAAGTCCCTTGCTCCTATTCCTGAATCTGAACAAGAGTTTGAAGAAGACGAAGAGGAGAGTGACCTTGAACAAGACACAGAAGAGAAGAAATATAGACAAGTTGAGCTGGGTGTCCATGAGATTAGAGATGAGAGGTTTGACCCGGTGGCAGTTGCCATCAGAAAAGATCTAGAGACTACAACTATACACAGTGGGGATGTTGTTGCACCTAAAACACCAGAGGTTAGAGAACAGATCAGCAAGGAAGTGCCTTTGTCTGGAAAGCAGCAGTCTAATGCATGGCAAGCCATACCGAAGCCTAAGGGTCATTCCACACTCGATTACGCCCGTTGGGATTCAGTTGAAGATGATTCCAGCGAAGAGGAAGACGATGAAGACAGCGATGGCAGTGATGAGTCTCCACCCCAGTACAGATTCCGTGTAAAAACCGTTGGGGTGCGTCCTGTGAAATGAAAATACTGTAGATAGGAAGAACATGGGATGGTTTCTTTCATCCTGATATGTTGCATATTCTTGCACAGAAGAGCTCTGAAAAATGCACTAGAGACAAGGGGCACCAAAGCAGGCTAGTCATGTTTTATATTGCTTCATCTGCAATTGGCTTCACCGGTCACCATATGTCAGTGTGCTGTGTCTATTTATACATTTTCGGAAATAAACCATACAAGTTTAGATCAGAGATACACTATATAGAAGACCATTTTCAAATAAAATGGTGTGCTGTTCTATTTTTTTAATGAATCTTTCTTTGCCTCACAGACTCTACAATTCCTACTTATTGTCATCGTGGAGATACATTATTATTGATTCAGAACTGAAAAGAAATGGAACTGGAACTTCATTAATTAGTTTGTCAGAAAAGACACATCCCCGCCAAAGCTTTGTATTCATGACAGTAGCAAAAATAGATTGGATTCGCTAATATGAATTGGTCCATGCCATTTACCTATTCCTTCTCCCATCTCTCCCATTTCCACTGTCTCTCTCCCTCTCTCTCTTGCCGTCCATTTACAATGAACTTGGAAGACTGATTACCACCTGCACAGTCCTTGGCAATATGATCCTTTAAGCCACATTTGAAACATCCATTCGCTGTAACCATTTTTGCCGCCAAGTAACTTTGAGCTTGCAGCCTTCCATGTGTTGTCAAGGATTTCTACAGTTGTTTGGTCTATGCCAACAAAAAATCGATAAGGAGGAAAAAGGATTTAACCGCACCCTTTTGTGAATCTTTCTGCCGGAAATGTGACTAAATTTTAGATACACTCTTGACTGAAATCCTCATTTATTCGTCTATCATTGATCAGAGCATTGTCCATCTGGAAAGCAACAACTTGGTAATTATTTACAATATCGGTTACCACTTGAAGTTGACAGTTTACCTTAATGTTCACATGCATCCTTGTTTTCACGCTTTAGAACAAAGACAAAATGCTTAGTTAATAAGAATTGAATGGAAAGATGTAGATTTTTCACTAGTACCCATACAGGGTAACAGATATTGTACTCACCTATAAAAGCGTAGTACTTGTCTTGAAATCCCGGATTACATCAACCCTGCCATATTCGGACTTAAGCAGAAAATTGAGGTTTCCACGCGAACAAATATAGTTCTACATGACAGTTCCGAAGCGTGAAAAAATGGTATGGAGGTCCTCATCATGCATGAGACAAGAAGAAAAAGAAGAAAATATCACAACCACATGAAGCTTTTTTGCTGTAATGTTTATATATCAAGCACGGTGCTTGAAGCACCTACCTCAGTCAGTCACTGGACTCAGTAAATAGATGAACAATACATTGTCACGAGGCTTTACCTCGGCATCAGGGATATCTCCTAGCTGCAACAGCAATACAAGCTCAGATATTGAACGTACGTATTTGATACAACTACATGACAACTGAATCCGTGATACATGCTTACACTTTCAAGTACAAGAGCAATGGGCAGCCTTTTCACGGATAAAATCCTCCAGTTCCTGAGCACCAAGTTTCTTTCATCCATCGGAACCCAATCATATTCAAGTCGGAAGTCATCTTTCAACTCTTGCTTTGGTTTTCCTTCTGGAATCATTTCAGCCAGCTGTCGGGGATCATCAAATGGATCTTCAAGTATATATGTGTGCTTGGTTCTTATGTTTTATATGCTCTGTTTTTTCGCATTAACATAAGCTTCATTTATCCTATTCAACGGGTCAGAAATCTCCCCGAAAAGATGGCATATTGTATGTAACCGGTATATACAAAAGAAAGCATAAGCAGATTTCGTCCTTACAGTGTGTTTTCCATAAAGATAGTCACATGTGTGAAAAGAAAACAAACAAGTCACATGAGGACATACCACCACAAAATTTGATCCTGATAGTTATTCTGCCAACATATACCCTCATAAACTTGGTAACTCAAGCAAAATGGTCAAAAAATAATATAATTAGCAGTCCACATATCACTAGAGAGTATGAAAACAACATCTTTCTTACTTGTAGATTGGATCAATCACCTGTGCTGTGGAAGAGGCACCCAATGATCCTACCAAAGTTATAACCCCTTAGAGACATAGTGAGTACTGAGTAGCATAGAAACGTTTCTCAGGTGGATAGGCAAAGCGACACTTAACTCATTCATCAAACATACTCAAGCAACAAGTGTTATAGAAGAGAAGAAAAATAAAGGATGAATCATTACAAAGACAAGGAGGAAGAAGATAGAGAGCAAATTCGTTGCTGCAAGTTCTGATTTTGAGCAATAAAACGAAAAGAAAAAAGAGAAAGGGTGGATTATTACAACTCAAAATGGACATTGGTGAAACGTCTCCTCTTCGCGTCGTCTCTTCAAAGGAGAGGTTTAACTGTTTAAAGTTGAGATTTTTCAGCTGTTGTTGATGATCTCTCGGGGTTTTAATTGTTTCCTAACCAAAGTTGAGATGTTTTTAATAAGAGAAAATAGATGAGGGGGTTAAAACACGAAACGAAACAAAGGTCAGGGTCTCATAGTCAATATAAGGAGCAGACAGCGACAAATGAGAAAAGTACAAATCTTCCAATAAAAAGACGCCACGTAGTTGTCATTGGGCAAGCTGAAGATCCCGAGGGCCCTTTTTGCGATCAGCTATGTCTCAAAGCGGCGGTGACTTCAGCCTCTCCGACGAGATTCTCGCCGTGATTCCCACCGACCCTTATGATCAACTCGATCTCGCCAGGAAGATCACTTCCATGGCCATTGCTTCTAGGGTTTCAACTCTGGAATCCCAAGTCTCCGGCTTGAGGCATAAGCTTCTTGAGAAAGATCAGCAAGTTCAAGAACTTGAAGACAAAGTATCCTCCTTTGAAAGACTTTACCATGAGGCTGAGTCCACTTTGAAGAATGTTTTCGATGAAAATGTAAGAATTCTCTTGATTTTGTTTTGTCGGTTTGACTTGGGATCTGAGTGTGTGTCTTTTACTCAATTGGTTCATCTTTGGATTGAAGATGAAACTAACTCAAGAACGAGATTCACTGGCAATTACTGCGAAGAAACTCGGTCGTGATTTTGCAAAGGTTCTTCCTTTTTCAAAATGTTTTGTGTATATATAAGATTCTTCTTTGTGATCATTTGATTTCATGCTCAAAGTTCTTGTGTGTTTTGCCTTGTAGCTGGAGGCGTTTAAGAGACAGTTGATGCAGTCATTGAATGATGAGAGTCCATCTGTATGCTCTCTCAACATTACATCCTTGACATCCTTTTTTCATATCTGAAACCAAAATCTAATGTTCTTCTTCTTTCTACAGCAATCCGAGACAGCTGATATCAAAATGGTTCCTCGAGACAAAGGTATTGTATAACATCTCCAGTGTTCTGACTTGTGAGCTCGTTAATTATTTTCATTTTCTTTCGCTTTAACTTTATGTGTTCATGAAATACTTATTCTGATGTTATTTACTCTGTATGCATTGTAGAGGAGAATTCAAATGGCTTATCGGCACGTGGTTCCTACTCAAACAAAGAAGGTAACAATGGCTGATTTATGCAACAATTTAAGTTTGTAGCAACAGAAGAACATACGTTAGGCCAGAAGACTTGTTGATGTTTACAAATAATGGAGAAGAAAAAACATACCTTTTTCTGATGTGTAACTTCGATGTATGTATGTGTAATGCTTCATAAAACAGGTCTCGGTGAAGGTAGGCAAAGGCTTCCTTTGACACCGCAGTTCTCTCCTGCGTTTACTCCAAGCGCAACACCAAAAATCTTATCTACTAGTGCGTCTCCGAGAAGCTACTCTGCCGCTTCATCACCAAAGCTATACTCTGGTGCCGCATCTCCAACATCTTCTCATTATGATATACGCATGTGGTCTTCAACAAGCCAGCAATCTTCAGTACCAAACTCTCCTCCTCGCTCACATTCTGTTTCAGGTGCACAACTTAAGCAATTTACAAGATGTTGTCTATATTATGTGATTGGTGGCTTTGTTCTCATCCTCGCAAACTCACTATCTCTTATACAGCTCGCCATCCGCGGATTGATGGGAAAGAGTTCTTTAGACAAGCCAGGTATCTAAATATCCTATAACCAGGTTTCAGTAAATGGGAATGAATGATAGATAAGCATGATTTGATTTTGCAGGAGCCGGTTGTCTTACGAACAGTTCAGTGCGTTTCTGGCTAACATCAAGGAACTAAACGCTAGGAAGCAGAGCCGGGAGGTAATACACCTACCACCGTTCTCAAACTCAACTCTTCGAGTCTGAATTATGTATAATGTTTAAATCATAAAATGGTATCATCTCTCATCTTTATCGACAGGAAACATTACAGAAAGCAGAGGAAATATTTGGAAAGGAAAACAATGATCTTTACATATCGTTTAAGGGACTTCTCACGAGCGGGCGTTGAAACCACAAGGCAAAAAACACCAACTTCTAAGCTTTCTTTGTATGACCCATTTAGTCATATGACTGAATCCGAATTTGTAAAACCTCTTTTAACCATAGAAGAATCAGGGAATTTTGTCCACCATTTCTTTTGCTAAGAGGAGTTAATATATATCTAAATGTAGCACGTAAAACAAAGATCCAATTTATGTATCATCATTTCATTCGTTGCTTACTTGCTTTAGTTGAACAAAATTTGTGGAATATGTAATAATAAAGTTTCCGTTTTACAGTATACAGAACTCAAGTGGTTTAACCTTACCTTCTTTTTTTAAGACCATATCATATATTTTGTCGAATTTTTTATTCTTCTGAGTCAAGAAAAAACACTTGGCGGAAATTTTCAACTTTCAGAAAACGTCTCTAGATTGTGTGGTGAATTTAACAATTCGATACATTGCTACTGTCCGTCCTCTCGTACCAAGTGGTCATGAGGATTGATTCGGCCCGATTCGTGTTAGCCCACAAAGGCCCATAAAACAGCGAAGACCCTAAGCGAGAAAAGAGCATATACTCATCGCATCTCCTTGGTTACTACTATATAATAAGCTTTCGGCTGCACTAGCGCCTCCTTTGACCTCTCTTCTCTCTAGTTCTCACTCTCGCTCGCTCCCTCTTAAGGTTAGTCTCCGCATCGATCGTTCCGATTTCCATGTTAATATTTGCTTTTGTGTTCGTCTTGATTAGTTTAAGCAATTTTGGTCTGTTTTGAGGTTTAGATGACCTCAGACTAACTTATGATCTTTGTTAATATCGATCGTTTCGATTTCCATGTTGATGATTGCTTTGTGTTCGTCTTCATTAGCTTAAGCAATTTTGGTCTGTTTTGAGGTTTAGATGACGTCAGACTAAGTGGTGATCTGTGTTAATATCTCTTAACATCTAAACTTTGATTCATATCTGATTGTTGTTTGTTTAGATAGCCCTGTTGTTATGTATCCTTCGATTTTGTTTACTCGTTCTGGTTTGATCTGAATATACAACAGTCGTTATACAAATTTGGTGTGTTTTTAGTTTTTTTTTTGTTCGGTAGTATGATTAGTAGTAATCTTACGAATTCCAGATCTTTCTTTCTTGATTATATCTTACATAAATCATAGTTTTCTTATGTGTGTTTGCTGCAATCGTTATCGTTTGTTATAAGATGATGGAACATTTATATATATGCATCGACATGTTTACAATTTCTCAAGCTAAAGTTTCTCGAGTTAGTAATTTGACATTCTATTGCTAATTATTACTTTTTTCTCTTTTGATATTGCAGATATTTTGTAGGTGAGATTTAAAAGCTTGACAAAATGGTAAGACTTCTGTTTCTTTTTTCTTATATATCTCATTACATTAGTACTTATTATTGGGATTAAGACTTTATCTTAACATATTTTTATACACTTGCAGGTTAAGTTTACATCTGAGGAGCTTCGTAGGATTATGGACTACAAACACAACATCCGTAATATGTCCGTCATTGCCCATGTTGACCATGGTATAGTCTTCTCCTTCTTTTTGATCTGTTCTTAAAATCAAAGTTCATAGTCATATTTTTTTATTCTTTGTATATAGAGTTCTACTCTGTTTTGAAATTAAATAATATCTCTTATTTATTTCCCGAGTTTGCTTAACGAATTGAAGTCTAAGCTAATGCATCTTTTTTTTATTGATCAACAGGGAAATCCACTCTCACTGATTCCTTGGTCGCTGCTGCTGGTATCATTGCCCAAGAGGTTGCTGGTGATGTTCGTATGACTGATACCAGAGCTGATGAGGCAGAACGTGGTATCACTATTAAGTCTACTGGTATCTCTCTCTACTACGAGATGACTGATGCTTCCCTTAAGAGTTTCACTGGAGCCAGAGATGGCAACGAATACCTCATCAACCTTATTGATTCACCTGGGCACGTTGACTTTTCTTCTGAGGTTACTGCTGCTCTCCGTATTACTGATGGTGCTCTTGTCGTGGTTGACTGCATTGAGGGTGTCTGTGTTCAGACAGAGACTGTTTTACGTCAGGCTCTTGGTGAGAGGATTCGACCTGTCTTGACTGTCAACAAGATGGACAGATGTTTCCTTGAGCTTCAGGTTGATGGTGAGGAGGCTTACCAGACTTTCTCGAGGGTCATTGAGAATGCTAATGTCATCATGGCTACATATGAGGATCCTCTCCTTGGTGATGTTCAAGTTTATCCTGAGAAAGGAACTGTTGCATTTTCTGCTGGTCTCCATGGTTGGGCGTTTACACTTACCAACTTTGCCAAGATGTATGCTTCCAAGTTTGGTGTTGATGAATCTAAGATGATGGAGCGACTCTGGGGCGAGAATTTCTTTGACCCAGCCACCAGGAAATGGACTACCAAAAACACTGGTTCAGCAACCTGCAAGCGTGGATTTGTCCAGTTCTGCTACGAACCAATCAAGCAAATCATCGCTACTTGCATGAATGACCAGAAGGACAAGTTATGGCCTATGTTGCAGAAGCTTGGTGTCCAGATGAAGAATGATGAGAAGGAGCTGGTGGCTAAACCTTTGATGAAGCGTGTTATGCAGACGTGGCTCCCTGCTAGTACTGCACTACTTGAGATGATGATCTTCCATTTGCCATCTCCCCACACTGCCCAGAGGTACCGTGTTGAGAATCTGTATGAAGGTCCCCTTGATGATAAGTATGCCAATGCCATCAGGAACTGTGACCCCAATGGTCCTCTCATGTTGTACGTGTCTAAGATGATTCCCGCCTCTGACAAGGGTAGGTTCTTTGCCTTTGGTCGTGTCTTTGCTGGTAAGGTTTCTACTGGTATGAAGGTCAGAATCATGGGTCCCAACTTTGTCCCTGGTGAGAAGAAGGATCTGTACGTTAAGAGTGTTCAGAGGACTGTTATTTGGATGGGTAAGAGGCAAGAGACAGTGGAGGATGTTCCTTGTGGTAACACTGTTGCTATGGTTGGGCTGGATCAGTTCATCACCAAGAATGCTACATTGACCAATGAGAGTGAAGTTGATGCTCATCCCATTCGTGCCATGAAGTTTTCTGTGTCTCCTGTTGTTCGTGTCGCTGTTCAGTGTAAGGTTGCATCTGATCTTCCCAAGCTTGTTGAGGGTCTCAAGAGGCTGTCCAAGTCTGATCCTATGGTTGTGTGCTCAATGGAAGAGTCAGGTCAACATATTGTTGCTGGTGCAGGAGAACTCCACATTGAGATTTGTTTGAAGGATCTGCAGGATGATTTCATGGGTGGTGCAGAAATTATCAAGTCAGACCCTGTGGTGTCTTTCCGTGAGACTGTATGTGAAAGATCTTCACGCACTGTGATGAGTAAGTCCCCTAACAAGCATAACCGTCTGTACATGGAAGCAAGACCCATGGAGGATGGTCTAGCTGAGGCGATTGATGATGGACGTATTGGTCCAAGAGATGACCCTAAGATCAGATCCAAGATCTTGGCCGAGGAGTTTGGATGGGACAAGGATCTTGCAAAGAAAATCTGGGCGTTTGGACCTGAAACCACAGGGCCTAACATGGTGGTTGATATGTGTAAGGGAGTTCAGTACCTTAATGAAATCAAGGACTCAGTGGTGGCTGGTTTCCAGTGGGCGTCCAAGGAAGGTCCTCTTTGTGAAGAGAACATGAGAGGTATCTGTTTTGAGGTTTGTGATGTGGTTCTTCACTCTGATGCGATCCACAGAGGAGGTGGTCAGGTCATCCCAACAGCCAGAAGGGTCATATACGCTTCCCAGATCACAGCCAAGCCCAGACTTTTGGAGCCTGTTTACATGGTTGAGATCCAGGCACCAGAGGGAGCTCTTGGAGGAATCTACAGTGTGCTGAATCAGAAGAGAGGTCACGTCTTTGAGGAGATGCAGAGGCCAGGAACACCTTTGTACAACATCAAGGCGTACCTGCCTGTTGTGGAGTCGTTTGGATTCTCGGCTCAGCTTAGGGCAGCAACCTCAGGACAAGCGTTCCCGCAGTCTGTGTTTGATCATTGGGATATGATGGCTTCTGACCCTCTGGAGCTAGGAACTCAAGCTTCAACTCTGGTGGCTGAGATCAGGAAGAGGAAGGGTTTGAAGGAACAGATGACTCCACTATCTGATTTCGAAGACAAGCTTTAAGAAGCTTCACCGAAGACATAGCAGCGACTCTTTCTCTATGGTTATCAAAGACTCTCTCTCTCTATCTTATTTTTGTCGTGTTTTATTATTACTCTCTTGGTATGATGGATTGTGAAGACTTTTCTCCGCAATGTTTGTACTTTTTTTAGTTGAGAACTTTGTTTTGTGTTCGCAAATATCTTGGTCTTGGTTTTTACTTCCTCTTTTACTTAGTTATTTTATTCTGCTCTCTTTGAATCTTTCAAAAATCCATGCAGTGACAGTGGATTAAATTATGCTATGTGTAAGAGATTGCTTTTTTTTTTTGTCAACCTCGAATTCAAACCTCCAGGTTATTTGGTTGAGATCGTTAATATGCATGAAAAAGTGAGTACAAAAGCCACAATAAATGAACAATAAATGATGTGAAATTAGTAGACAGTGTTCACGTAAACCAAAGAGCATTCAGCTATTGGCGAACGAGAATGTAAAGCCTCATCCCTTTCCGTCATTTGTCTGGCTGGTGGTTGCTGTGATGTAAAGCCGGATTGTATTCACTTCCATCATATGCTGTATCCAGTTACTGGTCCGTCAGCTTCTCTGCCTGCTTCTCTTCTGTTTAGCTCCTATATTGGATTGGCTTTCTAGTAAATGGTTTGTCTTGTTTAGTTTCATGTTGCTGGCCTCAGGTAGCTGCCTCTGCTATAACTGCTCTACCGACTACAGGTGTTCTTCCGTGCTTGTCTTAAGACTTATTGCAAGAAAAGAAAAAAAGGTCCAAGTCTGCCTTACTTTTGTAATAACTGAAATAATTTTAATATATGTCATCTTTTTTGTTCTTGCATATGTTGTTGAATGCATCTATTGTTTAGTTGTTAGTTTTCTACATATGTTTACTCCAGGGCTTTTGAGAATTGACCTGGTCTTTTATTTCCAGCCTTGAGGAGCTGCAAGTAAATTACAATAATTATACATTGATCATGTGTCCTGGCTTTTATCTTCTCTGCGGTTATACAATTTGATGTCATCTCATGTATGAATAGCTTTATTAATTAATTGCATATGCTTTGTATTCTTTAATGCCTGCCTTAATGTTCTGATTTTCTTCTCTTGCAGCCTGGTGGATGTGGTGATGTAGGAGGTTCAAGTTTAACGAGTAATTCTCTGTGTTGCTCTTCTATACTAGGGTCTTTTGCTCATTCATACTTTTTTTTTTTTCCAGTGGCATATCCTCAGGTGGGTAATGCTAAAGCCTGATACACAATTTTAGCTACTCTTTTGGGCAAGATATTGCCATGATCACTTTTCTCTCAAATATGTTTTCGAAATGGCTATTGTTTCGGTTTTCTCACTTTTTATCGATTGAACCTTCTGGTCTCTGTTCTTGGTTTTCGTTATTCGTGAAAAGTTTTAATTATGTGTGCATAATTAATCTCATATGTGTGGTGTTTACTTTGATACTATATGGCAAACACATCGATTGCAGCTGCCTTTGGAGGAGGCTTGCCTCCGGGTATTACCGGCACAAATGATAGTGTACTGTCCTTGTCTCCAATATGAATGCAGATGCAGATTCATTTGTTTCAGAGTATTGATGAGGAGAAGCTATGCAATCTATTTTCTCTTTACGGGAACATTGCTAAGATCAAGCTTCTTGGGAACAAATCTTTGGGCGATGGTTTCCAAGCTGAACTTGCAGTACATTTCCTCAAGGTTTGTCAGTATTCTTTTTTTGTGGATATAAACGCATTCAAGAATGTACTTTTTTTTGGTAAAAGGATTCAAGAATGTATGTATGATAAGTTTCGAATTATATGTGTTATGTTCTCTGTTTCTTTGCAGGGAGTGATGCTGTTTGGTAAGCGGCTAGAAGTAAATTTCTCGAAGCATCCAAATAAATACCATGCACAGGACACTCATGATGATTATGTAAACTCGAACTTCGCTTCAACCGCAATGCTGCAAAGAACTACCGGGATTAACGGGAAAAAGCATGCTCCGGTGCAGTTTGACAACGTGTAGGAAGCTGCGGAAGCATTGGTGTGCAAGCACGCGACTTCTCTAGGCGCCCTCCTTCTCCCATCTATGGACGATTTAGGAAAGGCCGCCTCTATTTCTCTGTCTCTTCTAATAACATTAGGTTTTGGTTCATAAACAGAGGCAGAAAATGAGATTTTGTTGTGTTATGTTAGAGATTGTAATTTTTGTCACATATTCATGCATAATGCGCACATGGCGACTGAGGACGTCTTGTGTGAGATGTTAGATATTATGATTTAGTAGTTGATTGGGATTTTGAAGAATAAGAAGCAGGTCCCTTGAGTAGTAGTATAGGCAGCTCCATCAAAAGTAATCGTCGATGGATGGTGTTTATAGCCGATACGTTTTCAGTACGTGGCTAGTTCCTTTTGAAACCACATTGCTAAATTCATAGTTGCTGACTCTCATTCCAAAGAAGTACCAAACTGGTTTTGGATCCTATTATCAAAACACACATCCGTTGACTTGTAAGTTTCTTTTGACTTGGAAACTTCTGAGACGACCAGAATCAGCGATGCCTCCCTACTTTCTTTTTTTTCTTTGAAACGCGTTGGTAGGCTATAGCAACCGGAAGTTTCTACGAACAGACCTCATAATGTCTTAAACGAGAAGCAAAGGTAACGTCAGAAATGTATAAATATATGATTTGAGGAGGAGCTCATTCACACACACAAAAAAAAAACTTGTAAGAATTCACAAATTAAAATCATTCATCATCTCTCTTAATGGCTCAGTACCATCAACAACATGGTGAGTCATTCTTGTGCATTCCACACTTGTTCTTGAGATATGTTTTAAGGTTTGTTTCGCTTATAACTAATTTGACCAATGATTATTAAGCAGAAATGAAGCAGACAATGACAGAGACACCGTATGTGACGGCGCCGCCACAGATGGGTTACCCGGTGATGATGAAGGACTCTCCTCAAACTGTGCAGACGCAGCAGAGTAAAGGCAGTGTTGGATTTTTACGTGGATGGTACCATATCATATATATATATTTGGTGGGATTGTTCATTCTTTTCTTTGGTATTATTGATTTTTTTGGGTATATCTTTGCAGTTTGGCTGCAATGTGCTGCTGCTGCGTTTTGGATTGTGTCTTCTAGGGAATCCTCCCACTACACACACACACACAGCTTCTACGGATCTTTGTATGCATTGATTATGTTTTCTTTGTACCTTGTTTTGAGTGTTGTTGATATTTCTTATTTTTGTTGCGAGGCTCTCTTACTTTTTTGGTTGTTGTATTGTAATTACATTATTATTCTTTTGTACAGAATAAAAAGTTAGTTTTCTGAGTAGTGAGTGTGTCTATCAAAATTCAAAAACCAAAGGGTCAGCATTTGGCAGCAAATCGAATTCTTTAAACCATTTCAGCCACTATTTAGAGAAAACCCACAAAAGATGAATCTAAGTATACATTATTATGAGATTCATATAAAATGGTATGGTTGTCGTCATTACACATGATTATTGCAATAAATTCTCATTGCCAATCCCATGAAATATGTCATCTCTTGCCCTACCAAACTTATACATCTCACATCTTTGTTTCATATAGAATTACTGCCGTATAAAAAGAGTAAAAGAAAGGTATCACTATATTTTGCAAAACCAAGAGCAATGAAATCTCAATGTAATAAGAAGCCGTGCAGATTAAGATGATAAGATCTCAGGGTTATGTAGCTATACGTTGAAGCGGAAAAGCATCACATCTCCTTCTTTAACAATATACTCTTTACCCTCTGATCTCAACTGCAAAACAAATAAGATTTCAAGCAAACTCAGAGTGAGAAGATGTTTCAGTACAAGGCAGCTCAATTAATGGACATCAGGAAGAAACTCACAAGTCCTTTCTCCCTTGCTGCTGCAAGAGACCCAGCAGAGACAAAATCATCATATGCAACCTGAACAGAAAACAGATTGCGCATTCATATGAAAGAAATAAAATACCAGACAGCTGAAGCTTCCATTTCCCAATTTTCATGACCATGGGGTCATGTTCAGAATAGGGAGTATAACTGTACAAGAGATTCACTAAGAGAAGAAAAAAAATGCTTACAGTCTCAGCTCTAATGAAACCTTTCTCAAAGTCAGAATGAATGACGCCAGCAGCTTGTGATGCAGTCATGCCTGTATCAACCGAAAATTTGCACCAAATTACTACAAATTCCCAAGAAATAGTGCTTTTTGAGAACCCTACTGAGTGGAAACTAACCTGCGTGTATTGTCCATGCTCTTGTTTCCTGCCATACAGAATGAACATTTTAGAGTTTATGAATATGTTTTATAACAAGCTTTTTTACTTTGTATGTGTTCTTCACCTTTTCACCAGAAGTGAAATATGTCTGCAAACCTAGCAGGCTGTATGTTGCCCTGATAAGGTTCCCGAGGCCACTTTCACTGACACCTAGAGAGTTCAAATATTCTGTGCGTTCTTCAAGTGGAAGTTCGGTTAGCTCAGACTCAACCTGCTTTCAGGAAAGGAAAGATTTTTTCAAGTAGTGGAAGATCATTTCAAGTAATCTACATGCATGCAAACGTCAAAGCATACAATGTAAATAGACAATGATCCTGACCTGTGCTGAAACAACCACATGTCCTGACTGCAAATCAGAAGAAAGACCCTTTACTTCTTCAACATAAGCATTCTTCTCCGGCTCAGCAAGATCAGTTTCCGCAACGTTGGCCACATAGATCATAGGCTTCATTGTAAGCAAGCAAAGATGCTTTACAACTTCCATCTCGAGGTCCGACAATGCAACTGCTCGTGCAGGTTTTCCATCCAGAAGAGCTTCCTGAATTCTTTCCAAAGCAGATTTTTCAGCTTCCTCCTGTGTCATAAAATTTCACATAAACATTGTGGATATCAGCAGACCGGGTTATGAGAAGTCAGTAGTTTCTCTGGAAAATTTTATACCTTGACTTTGGATTGTGAATCCTTAGCCTTCCCTTTCTTAAGTCTTTCAATCCTTTTACCAATCTGCATTTCTTGCAAAAGATGTATATTAGCTTTATCAACTCTGTTTAAGATATATAAGAAGGTGTTCTCGAGTGTTTTGAACACAGATATGAAAAAAGATCAATACTCTCCCTAGTGAAAGATCAAGATAACAAGTGCATAGCTCGAGAAATTATCAGCTCACTGAACACTGAAACAGAAATTAAGCTGATTGTACGCAAAAGTAAGAAGAGAATGGTTCAGAGAGTACCTGATCTAAGTCGCAGAAAATAAGTTCGAGATTGATGACATCAATGTCAGACTTGGGATCAACTTTGCCATTGACATGAATAATGTCATTGTCCTCAAAACATCGCACCACCTACAAGGAACGGAACATCAGCAATCAGTAAGGGAAACAAAAGCATAACCGTGAACAAGAAGGGGAGAAATCAACCTGGAGGATGGAATCAACTTCTCGGATGTGAGATAAGAACTTATTGCCTAAACCCTGCAAACAAAAATCAAAACTTGTGAGTATGGGAGGCCTTGAAATAGACAAAGAGAAAGAGAGAGAAGAGAAAAGAATCAGACTTCTCCCTGACTAGCACCCTTGACGAGACCAGCGATGTCCACAAACTCAATGGATGCAGGGACAATTTTCTGAGAAGCACTGAGTTTGGAGAGAACATGAAGACGAGAATCAGGAACAGCAACAATACCAACATTGGGCTCAATCGTGCAAAAGGGAAAATTAGCAGCTTGAGCCTTTCCATTTTCAACCTGAGACAATAACAAAAGGTGTTTGACGAAATGCCTAAGAGAAGATATCAAAAAAGAGTGAAGAAGAAACCACAACCACAAGTACATCATCAATTCAATAGGCTTGGATAGAGAGAGACTTACGACGGCGTTAAAGAGAGTAGACTTGCCAACGTTAGGAAGACCGACGATTCCAGCTTTCAAGCTCATGCTTACTTTGGAGGCAAAGCATCGTTTGTGGAGAGTCAAAACTCCGACGAACTTGGATTCAGCGGAGAAAAGGAGCTGGTTTCTACTAGAGAGAAGAGTCTTGGAAGGTATGAAAGAGAGAGCCGTGACTACACTGCTACAAGCTGCTCTCGCCATCGTGTATGACTGACTCAATTTTCTCAGCCTCTCACCTTAAAAATTTCTAAAATCTCGTCGTCTCTCTTGTTTTAATGGTTATCTTTTTTTTCTATAGCCTCCTATTACTAAAGAATGTGTTGAGTGGATTGGTCCTTCTTATTGATTTCAGAAATTTTTAAAACCCATTTTGATTAACATACATTTCTCGAGAATATGAGCAACATAACCTTAATATAGGATTGTTAATTCATTATTTGAAGACTGTCTCATATGCTTGAAGTACTTCTCTAAGACTCAAAATACTTGTGATCACAATTTGAGACCACTCAAAGATGGTAGTCTAGTGGACACATTATGAATGAAGAAATATAGGCTTCATGAGATAAGGAGGATCTGTGATATAGCGCAAAGCAAGTTTTTACATTACATCCCCAGAATGTTTAAACTCGATACTGAAGTTTTACTAATAAAAAAAAACATGTCTCAAGACAAAACTAAAGAAAAAAAACAAGAATCAGAGAAGAGAGCTGCGGAGGAGAGATTTTATTGGGGGGGGGGGGGGGGAACATGGGTTTGTTTGGTGGTCTACTTGGATCGCTGTCTCATCTTTCTACGCTTCCTCTTCAACCTCCTCATACGCTTCTTCTTCCACTGCCATTTTTACAAATACCAATGTCGTCAGTTTGTTAGTTTCTATCAAATTCTTTATTATATTATCCAGAGAACATGATACAAACATGAACTGGTGTAGATTTACCATCAATTAAACCTACTATTATATCAAACTTATAGCTCTAAAAGCAACTGTGATGAAGAAGCTATACACATAGACCAATCCAATCAAGATGATCATTTACAGACCTCTCTCCCTCTAAACTACATTCACTAGAAGTTTAACATGGAAATGGAGAAGCAATCGTGGTGATGCAATCTCCAAAGCAATATAGCCAAACCTCATCTCTATATATATATATATATATTCAAAAACAAAAACAAAAAACACAATCCTAACATCTTCTTGTTCCAACTTCATATAAACCAATCTCTCTATACACGTATACATGTAGCCGATCATAAAAAAATTATGAATGCTTATTTTTGATAATCTAATGAATGGAATCTAACACGCTAACGAGTTCGAATACAAAAAAACAACCAACGAATCGAAGAAGAAGGAGAGAGATGTAAAAACCTTGGCTCTCATTGTTGCTGTTGCTGCTTCGTCCTCCTCCTCCTCCTCCTAGGTTTCAGATTCGCCGATTTCTCTCTTCCAAACAAGAGAGAGAGAAATGATTTCATTCAGAAGTGAGCCTCTTCTCTTTATTTATAGCTAGGGTTTTCTCCTCACTGATCCTCCCATACTCTTTATAAATGGGTCTTCTCTCAAATCATTTATTTCAATGGGCCTATATAATCCAGTCAAACTTATGGGCCGAACTTAACTAAAATATGATATCAAGAAGAAGAAGAAGTTCAACCGTTTTTTTAACTCGGGACTTTTTAGCTTCTCCAGAAAATTTAGTAACTTGTTCTTCTATTCTCATGTCAATGGATTCTCGCCGGAGTCTCACCGGAGTAATAACTTCGCTCGATGATATGCGATTGCTTGAAAAATCTATAATGAGGTTAACTATTGCTTTTCAACTCTGCCTCCTTCTCCTTTGTAGATATTGTGTTTCTGATTCGTTTTTCACAGTTGTCATGTATAAGCTCTATATTGATTATTTTGGCTTTTTGAATTCGTTTAGTTTACTCAACTGGTTGAATCAACGCAACTTCGACAAAATCAAGGATGAGATTGTTCATACTATTAAATCATCTCCCTCCGCTTCTCTTTTAAAGGTTTTCTTCTTCTCTTAGTCATTTTCTTACATCTACCTACTCGTGAGACTTTTGTTTCTAATGGTTTTGTTTTGGCCACTGATATATATGTAAAATGTTGCAGTCTCTAGTGTCTTGCGTCTTCGATATGGCAATGGTGGATAATTCCTACGTCCTATTCTCTCGCTTGTGCGTTGAGCTTTTTCACGAGCTTCCTCCAGTTCCATCAGATGAGTCTCACGGCCATATCACAACTTTTGAGACACTGTTTTTGCGCAAATGCCAAACAGAGCTTGAAAACTCATCCCCCAAGACAGAACAACTACCATTGGTTTATGTTGATGAATCAAACTATTACAGATTCATCAAAACCGTAAGGGTTTTGGCTCAAGTTTTCAACGACAGGAAGATCACTGAAACAACACGGAAACACATTGTTCAGGTTTTTTTGCCTTGCCTCTCTAACTCTCCTAGAACTGCTAATTACAGTATATATGGTTTTGATTAAGAGCATAGTGTGTTCGTTATTGTAGGTGCTGATGAATCCCATCTTGCCACCTGAGAGGAACACTGATGCAATGAATTTGTTTCTCTACTCCATTGGAAAACTAGCTGACTTCCACTTCACTGATAATAATTTAAATTTCAATCAGCTTGTTCAAATTTCTCAGGTAACTCCACAATCCAAAGACATGCATATACTTGAAGTGAACAAAATCGTTTCGTTTGGTATATTTAGGTGTCTCTATCTGACGGTAGCTTGGTTAGCAGGCTGTAGAGCTGGAGAGCAATTATAATGAACAAGTCAAGCTTAGGGAAGAGGCAGAAGATGCACTTGCTAGAACTAAGGAAGAAGTGGAGACGATGGAACGTTTACTTGAGTCTTACAAGGAAGAACAAGGTATATTGCAACTTGAAGCTCAAGCCTTGGAGCTCAAGCATGACGCAGAGTTGCAGCTCAGGAGAGAAACAGAGACCTTGCTTGTCAGAGAAAGGGAGAGGATGAACAAGGTAAAGATTCAGCTGGAAACTCTTGAAGATGAACGTGATGATATGCGTCTGAAGGCTGAGGAGTTCGAGAGCAAGTACAATGGGGAGATGACTCTCAGGAGAGAATCTGAGGCTGCGCTGGATAAAGAAATCAAAGAGTTGGAAGGACTGAAGCTACAGTTTGAAACCTACAAAACAGAGGAAGAGAACCTTACTTCACAGGTGAGAGCTTGGCAGGACAAGTGCGAGCAAGAGTCGAGTCTTAGAAACGAAACAGAGGTTGCACTCTCTAAAGAAAAACTAGGGCTTGAGGTAGTCAACGGACTATTCGATATGATAAACAGAGAAGCAGATGCTATTCGAGAAGAGAGGGACAAAGCTCTCCAAACAGCAAAAGAGCTAATGGAAAAACGTCAACCTCCACCATCGTTTTCCTGCCCTATCACACAGGCAAGCCTAAATCCCCCCTACACGAAGAAGATGATAGCTTGCATAACACTCAACCTCGTATTTGTTTATACTTGTTGCAGGAGGTCATGAAAGATCCACAATTGGCTGCAGATGGATTCACATACGAAGCCCAAGCTATTAAGAAATGGTTTATCACAGGTCACCAGACGTCGCCAATGACAAATCTCAGACTTTCACATCTCAACCTTGTCCCTAACCGGGCTCTCCGCTCTGCGATTGAGGAGTTGGATTAACTCTTCGAACCGGTTTACTTACAAGTTATAAGACTGTGCTTATAATGGCTTCATACAACTCTATTTATTAGCCGCGCTTGGATTTGTGATCCAATGTATTCTGGAAACCCCTTTGAATCGGAAACTCATGTACGTACGTTGCTTAAACCATACCTTGTTATCTTTTGCTAAAACCATTTTTGTCTCACAACGGTAAAGAAAACAAGTGTCATCGAAGACGAAGAATTATTATTGTTCATGGCTTTTCCGAGATAATATTTTGTTTATATACTAACATGTAAGTGTATATTTGAATCCATATGTGTTAATGTAGTTTTTTTAGACACTTCGAGATAATATTCTGTAGATATATATAATATCTATAAGTGTATATTTTCTAACTAATCTCTTGTTATGTCAATCTTCTATTTATTTTACGGTTTTATCTAGGGTTTGTGTATACACTCAGTTAGAACCTATCAATGAGAGCGGCGCCAGAACATTCTCTTGCTTCTTTGTCATTTGATTTTGCGTAAGGATGAGATCGTTCAAACAATAAGGTCATCTCCCTCTGCTTTTATTTTAGAGTTTCTCTATAGCTTTTTTTGTTTACAGGCATATATATATATGAGACCTTTTCTAATGGGTTGATCATTAACTAATATATATTTATGTATATGTTGCAGTCTCTAGTGTCTCTTGCGTTTTCGATATGGTGGAAAAATCCACTGTATTATTTGCTCGTTTATACGTAGAGCTTTTTCATGAGCTTCCCCCTCTTCCATCAGATGAGTCTGACGGCCAAACTACAACTTCCGAGAGACAGTTTCTGCGCAGATGCCAAATAGAGCTTGAAAGCTCATCATCCCCAAAAACAGAACAATTCCCACTTGTTTATGTTGATAACTCAACTTATGGGAGACTCATCGAGACTGTAAGGGTCTTGGCTGAAGTTTTCAAGAATCTCAAGATCACTGAAGCAACACGGAAACGCATTATTCAGGTTAGCTTAATTGCCTCGCTACCTTTTTTTAACTCTTTGGAGCTGCTATAGGGTTTTCATTAAGAGCATATATATAATATAGTGTTGAATTTTTCTAATGTAGACATTTCATTTTAACTTTGAAGACAATTAACTGTCCGTAATTAAAATCTTGAAAACATTGGTTGCACTTGATGTAAAAACCTTTTTTCGAATAGAAGTTTACATTTTATTCTTCAAAAAATGGTAGTTGCATATGAATCACATCTTGCCGCCGCCTGAGATTAAAAGTTCTCTGGTAACACCACCATCTTATAAGACATGAGATTTAAATTATAATCGTGTTGTTATACACGTACATGTGTCTCTAATAGGCAGCTTGATTTACAGGCCGTGGAGTTGGAGAACAATTACAATGAAGAAGTCAAGCTTAGGAAAGAGGCAGAAGATGCACTTGCTAGAAAAAAGGAAGAAGTGGAAATGCTGGAACGGTCGCTTGAGTCCTACAAGAAGGAACAAGCTAAGCTGCAACTTGAAGCTCAAACCTTGGAGCACAAGCATGACGCAGAGTTGCAGCTTAGGAGAGAAACAGAAATAGTGGTAGCCGTAGAACGTGATTATATGACTTGGAAGGATGGTGCTACGGTGAGCATTTACAATGAGCAAGAGGAGCTTAGGAAAAAAGCAGAAGATGAACTTGCTATGAATAAGGAAGAAGTTGAGGCGATGGAAGAACTAGTTGAGTTTTGGGAGGAAAAATTTGAGGCGATGGGAAAGCGACTTGAGTCTTACAAGGAAGAAGAAGTTAAATACCAATCACAAGTTGAAACCTTGGAGGAAAAGCATGAAGCAGAGCTGAAGCTTCGGAAAGAAGCAGAAATTGCGCTGGACAAGGAGAGGAAAGGGTTGGAGGGGATAAAGCAACTGCTTGAAACCTGTATAATAGAACAAGACAACCTGAAATCACAGGTCGTAACTTGGAAAGACATGTACGACCAAGAGTCAAGTGTTAGGAAAGAAACAAAGGATGCTCTTTCTAAAGAAAAACAAGACCTGGAGACGGTCAAGGCACTACTTAAGGCGTCTAGAAAAGAAGCAGATGCAATGCGACAAGAGAGGGACGATGCTCGCAAAACAGCGCAAGAGTTAGTGACCGAGCGTCAACCTCCATCATCATTTCTCTGCCCTATCACACAGGTGAGTAAGAGTAGACAACAAGAAGAAAACTTGCGTAACACTCAATCCCCGTAGACGACTTTAAATGTGATCTGAAATTATATCGTTCGTCGTGGCAGGATGTCATGAAAGATCCAATCATAGCTGCGGATGGATTCACATACGAAGCAGAAGATATCAAGAAATGGCTAAGCATAGGCCACAAGACGTCGCCGATGACAAATCTCACACTTGCTCATCTTAACCTGATCCCTAACCGTGCTCTCCGGTCTGCGATTGAGGAGTTGGTTTGATTCTTGTTCGTTTTTTCGAACCGGTCGACTCCTGGGCCTATATATAATAATGTCCCCACGAGTCTTTTATTTAATAACGAGCCTCTTACTTGAATTGAAGGTTAGTGTAATTTTCTTTTTTTAAACTCCATGAACCGGGTCGTACGTGGCTAAATCCGGACCTTGTTTTCTTATAATATATAAAACTAGATTCGGACCCGCGCTACAGCACGGGGGAAAATTACCGGATTTGTAATCCTTTGTACGTTGCGCAATAATTTATTTGTATTTGCTTTACTTTATTTTGATTATTAATTAAATTCTATCATTTTTAGATTGTATTTTTTGTGTTGGTTTCGAATATGTTCAAAATTATTTAAATTGTATGATTTTAGTTGGATTGTTAATTTTAGAACAATATGTGACATATATACATGTATAAATATAATAATATGAATCATTTTTAAAGTTTAGGGATTGACCCGCGGTACACCGCATAATCATAAATACATGATTTTAACTTGGACCTTTCATGCAGTTTTGTAAAATTGCAAATCTCTAGAATAAACAAATAAAGAGCCAATGATTTCTTATTTCTTATCGTGTTAAAATGTAAAATCTGTGTTTATGTTACAATTTTCTGGTAGCAGAAACTTATTGATATAGATAATATTTTCTTAGAGTTAGGTTAGCGTTGAAAAAAAGATTAGCTTTATAATCAAGCCAGAAATTCGAAACTATTGCCAAATAAATATATTAAAGATGGTTGAAAATGAATTATCCCGTAATTGGTGTGAAGATCATAGTTAATATAGGAGAAAACTATACATCTAAATATTAATATAAGATATTTAAGGAACATTTTGTTTTGAAATATTATGGATAATTTGATAAATATTTTATATTTAATTTATATTTCTGATTTTTAGGTTAATTTGTTAAACCAATATACAAAATCATACATTAATGTATTTTTTCTTAAACAAATTAAGATTAATGTACTTTCCAAAACCGATATTGATGGTTTAATTTGGTAGATTTCGAAATAATATATATGGAAACTGGTATTTAATATCTTTAAATTTTTAGTAAGATCCAATTGAAAAATTTCGGGTTAATTTTTAAAAAAAACCCGATCCAAGAAACTTTTGTACTTCTCTTTTACTATAGTAGGGATAACCGGAAATAGAAACAAAGTCAAGTGTATAATTATCAGAAGGGGTAAAGAAGACAAGTGTGGCTTTGCACACACCTAAAACGCCATGAAAAGCCAAACATACGAAAGACCAACAAGTATGAAAGAGATTAATATGTCGCCTCTTATTTCGGTATAGCTTATTTAGCATCTAGCAATGAAAAATGAAAATCACGTGACAAATCGGACAAAAATGTGAGTGACGCGCGCGCGTAACCACACAAGTCACTTTGATCGCAAAGAGAGAGTCTGATCTTTTCAACTAGTTATGGAAATAGTTTCTTCAGGTTTCGAAATAATTATTACACCTATTAGCAATTAGCAAACCAAACAGAACTTAATTATTTTGCTCCCATATGAAACGAGATCCATCTTGAGATGATGATGAAACAAGGCAGGCATGCTTAAAAAGCCAAAACCCAGCTCCCTAATCACTGACCTAAGCCTAGCTCTCCTAACTATGAATTATAGTACTATATGGTTAATAATTAGAAATTGAAATTCGAAAACGAGCAGAGAGAGAGAGAGAGAGACAAAAGTGAGAAGAGGAACAAGAACAAGAAAGTACGTAGAAATGTACAGAGGGAGATAAGAAGAGGACAAGACAATGCCCTGCACCCTTCCTTCTTCTTTTTTTTCTAATTTTTATACAAATATCGATCGGTCAAAACAAAATAAATAGTATAATAAAACTTCCATTTCTTCTTTGTGTTTTTCAATTTTTGTGTTGTTTCTATTTTCTTTTCTTCCTTTACCTCTTTCTTATTAGAAAAGTTTTATATTATTTTATATTGAAATCTTAACATCTGCGGGTTCTTTGTAAGAACACAGGTAAGAAGAACCTAGCTCAAGCTGTCATTTCTTCTCTGCCTATATTTATTTTGTAGCACAAATGTATGTATATATATATATGTCATTTTCTCATAATTAAAAGCTTATAAATAAGTATATGAGTTGCGGTATTAACAAATCTAACATATGATTAGTAAACCCTAAAATTAGATAAATAGTAGTACTCCATATTGTAGTATTAGAAATATATTTAATGGCTTAATTATGTCGACTTTTTATTTTGCTTCTTGTTGTCAAAAAAAAAAGAAAGAAAACAAGCAGATCAAGAAAGGATGATGATTAATAATATAAGTGTTAATGTTAATAAAATAGCGAGCTTATATGTCTTTAAACTTAATAGTTTGTTTAATCGCCGTTAGATGGGTTAAAATTACTTACGAGTACTATAAATGTAGAGAAAGGATCAGAGTAGTCTGATTATTTTTTCTTTCTTTGTCGGCCTTTTACTTATAAAAGCCATTTTGTCGTGACACTGTTTATTAATATTATTATGAGATTATGTTCTTTTGAAAAAAGAGTTTTGGTAGAGAGAGAGAGAGAGAGAGAATCTTTTTACGGGCATACACACAGCCCAGCCAACACTTGGGGAACTATCACGTTCTCTCTCTAGCTTCCTTTTTTTTAATTCTTTATTTATTCATCCATATAATTAGTTTCTATATTCTTTTCTACATAATAAATGTAACGTTTACAGTTTACTACTACTAGTATTTAGTTTAAGACAATGTATTTGACTATTTTGAAATGTGTTTATATATAGCCAAAACAAACGACAAGAGGAAGATATATATATATAGATCCCTCTGGTAATAGTATAAATTTGCATTTTGATTTGAGATCTATTATTATACATCAACGATTATTATTAGTATTATGGCATACAAAAAAAAAAAACAAACTACAGAAGTAGTATTAAAGAGATGGTTTGTTTATTTAAAGGCAGCAATAAATAACTGGGTTGTGTTATATAGTAATAAATAGAGATTGATAGATCCTATTATTTGACCGAACGGCTAATATCACTGAAGTAAAACTACATAAACTGAAGTGATTGATGATGATAACTCTCTTATTATACTCTCTCTCTCTCTCTATATATATATATATTATACACATTCATAATTTTTTCTTTTTCCAAGAGAGAGAGAGGCAATTCGTCTTGTCTTTCATGTTGTGGTGGCGATTGGGGAAGAAAGAGTAATTCCAACGGCTGGGATGTACGTAGTGAAACGATGTTCCATAATCACGAGCAACCTTTTTCATTTTAATTTGTTGTTCGATTAATCTATATATATATAAATCGATCATGTCTTTTCAAAATAGAAGTAGTCGGCGACGGAGCTTAGCTAAGCTACCACCTTTTTCTTTTTTGTTAATTTACCGATATAAGTATATATATATATATGTAGCTGCAGCTAAGATTACTGCGAATGACAGCTCTCTCCTCTCTCTTCAGGTTTTGACCCTTAAGTCTTAACAGTAGATGTTTTTTATTAATCAATCTCAGATCTGTCCCTCTTATTAATGACTTACGTTATTATACTAATTTAATTATTTTATGATCCCTTACTTGTCTCTTCACTACCTTGAGAGTTGAAAATCTTCATATCACATTATTATTATTTTTAAACATGCATATACTCTAGACTGCAGCAGAATCATGTGATATATAGTATTACTCTTGAGTTTTTCAACGATAAAAACTTCAACATTTTCTTTCGAATGGGTTGTTTAACGATGAATATAATTATTGTTGACAGATCTGTAATGAACTAATGATAGTAATGTTTGCTGCTCTAAATCAACCCAAAAAAACATAGATTATGTAAAGTAAAGACTACATGCATTACTTACTTATTTTTTGTGATTGAAGACATCGAAGAGATCCTCCTCTCACTTGATTTGGTCCACCGACCTATTTCAGTCTCTCTATCCTCTCTCTCTCTCTCTCTCTCTACTAACTAAACATGCAAATCTCTAGTTGTACTCTACTAATTATCTCTACCTTTCATTATATATATATATATATTTTTATTTTTGCTTTAAACCATACTTGAAAGCTGTCTCCTTTTTGGTTAAAGTTACTAACGATTTGTATCTTTCAAATTAAACTCTCCTATAATAAAGTTGTCGTTTTTATTTTGAATAAAGCCAAAACTGAGAAAGATTTGCAAATTTGGATATTTCATTGACATGCAAAACCCATTTCTTTATTAGCCTGGAAAATAAATTAAGAAAAAGGTTTTTTTTTTTTTTGGTAAACAAAGGTTTTACTCTTAATAATTAAAATTGGAACTTCTCCCCTAAACAGTAATTACAAAATCGTACAATATTTTCTCTCTTTAAAAACTATAATATAATTGATCATCTCTTTAGGTTACTTATTATTTTATATGTCTGTTCAAAACTGCCCATTTTTTTAACATACAAAAATCTTTTGAAGCAATCTCCGAACATGGCAAGCACATTATACTTTTCGGTCAGTACTTTTTTTTTAATTCATCGAATTTATCGTTTAACAGATAAATACAAATATTTTAATTGCTTTCTTTTGGTCTTTCCAAGTAAAAATCTCAACAACGACTCAAATCGATGAGACTTGTTTTGATTAAAATGCCATAAACCGAGAATATTAGAAATTGTTAAAACCGTATTTACACATTTATGCCCTCTAAACAAAACTCCAGTTTACAAAACAACCCCACAAAAGCAAAAGCGTTAAGATTTCCCCCTTCTGCCTAAAAAAAACCCATAGCGGTTTACCAGGTGACTCAATCCGGTTTACTTCTCTAATTGTTCAAATTTCGGTTCAAGTCTGGTTCGATTGGACCGGTTCTTCCCGTTGCTGTGTATCTGCGGTTTGTTCCCCGGGGACGGAGAAGAAGACGACGATGATGAGAAAAGCTGACCGAAGAAGAGCCCTGATTTGAGCGAACATACCGGAACATTAAGCACCGGCGTGATTCTGACATTAGCAGAGTACGATCTCGGCATCCCATGGTGCTGCTTCATTCTGGGTCCGCCGGTGAAGCTTCCGGGACTACTGGAGCTCCTCTCGAGTCCATGAAACACGATTTTACCGGAGGCGTTGAGTCTGGGACTATCCGCCGTGACAGTGAGTCCCCGAGGTTCGATGTTGGTCGAAGCTGATGGTGGCGAGCCGTCAACGGAAGGCGTCGACGGAGGATGATGCCGTCTGGGTTTGGCAAACCTGAGGCTTGGTTGGTTAGTGTTTCGTAAATGAGTCCGAGACGGAGCGAAGGGGTTAGGACTCGGTTTGTCTAGGTCAAGCGAGAGTCTTGGAAGGTCATCGATCTCGTGGCCGGAGGATGAGGAGGAAGAGAGTGAGAGACGTGACGAGGCGATTGAGATCGATTCTGATTCCTTTTGCAGAGGCGGGGATGATGCGGCGGTGGAGGAGGATTTAGATCCCCGGTGGAGAAATTGCTTCAACGACGACGTTTTCGGGTTAGCGGGGGCAGAAGTGGATTCTTGTGGCTTGGCGTTGACAAGTCTCTTGAGGCCTAAAAGCTCTCTCCATCGAGTTGTACACCGAGGAGCTTTAGGGGAGAAGAGGTCAGAGATCTCCATCTCAAGTCTCCGGCAAGATTTCAGAATCTCCGGTGGTTCTCTCCGTTCGGTGGTAGTCTTGGAGCCACCAGAGAACTTCAAAGGCACGAGCTTTCCGTCGGAGAAGAGCTCGTCGGCGGAGAGCATTGTGACCGGATCTTCGAGACAAAACTCAAAATCCACAACCGGATCTTGCTTATCCGGTAAAGGATCCACGGAGGAGGAGCGTCTGTTGTTGTTGTTGTTGTCTTCTCGGGTCAAAGACATTCGAGGGCTCGTCCACCCGAACGCCGAGAACTTCTCCGGCGAGACACCGGCACTTTTAACGCAGGCGGAAGCCATTACTGAATCTTGTGTAGTTTGATAGGATTAAGAAGAAAGAAAGAATCTTTGGGGCATTTGCCGGCAAATATGAGTGTTGTGGGAGTGACAGAGACAAGCATTATATACTACAAAGCTTAAGCTCACCACCACCCCTCTGGCTCAGGTACACCGTACACACACACACACACACACTTGTTTCATTTACCGTAACCATTCGGGTCGGGTCTTTTTCTGGGCCGGGTTTAACTATGTTTATGGGCCCAAATGTTATGTATGACCATTTTGTTTTTGTTGTTATCAGAGGTGTGTGTGACAAGGTGAATGAATATTGTGAAATTTATTAGATCTGGTTCGTGTGAGTGAGCATTTAATTTTTTGTTATTATGTGAAATTTGTGAGTATATATTATATCTCTCATTATGGTCACCTACCAACCAAATAATTGAGTATGATCATAAGCACACGTTTCGTGTATTCATTCATGCATAAGCATTTCTTTGTTTTCTTTCAACAAAAATACACTTCCTCCTGCATTTTGTTTCAGCACAAAAAAATATTAACAGTATGGCATCATAAATATTTATTTAAATACAAAAGAAAATTCTTTGAAAATGTGTTCGTTAGTCAATTGGCTTATTTATTCTTAGAATGATGATGTCAAAAATATAATGAAACTAGAACTGCCAAAGCTCTAGGCCAAGTTAAAGAGCTCAGTTGCAAAAACCGGACCAATCTTCTTGGTCTGATATCGGATACCATTCTATCCAAATTTGTTATGTTTGTGATAAACTGTGATCAACATGCTAATTCGTATTGCCCATATATATTATGCTATGATCTAATTCGACATATGATAATTAAGTGGAAACAATCTCTTATTATGTTTTACTTCACAAAGACCTAACCATGCATTCTATGTACAAAACAATATGGTTATTGCTCTTGTTATTATATTACCACTGCATCTTCTATATCATATAGTGTGCATGGATATATATTTAACTCACTTGGTTATCTTTTCCTTTACCCTCAAATCACATTCATACTAGTAACTTTGGTTGTCTCTGATTCATTAGAAGATACAATATCAGTGTCCTCTATGACCACACGTACACGCGTTCGTCTTTTCCATGATTCGAGTTTATTCACTTCTGAGGGATTAATCCTCGTTTCATGTCAATAATAGAGATAAAGATATACATATACAAATATGTTACCATTTTTGTCCCAATATTTTTTACTGATTTAGTGATAGTAACCATACTAACGGTAAAAGAAAAAGCATATATAAATCACATCACATCTTATATGTCACTATTTATTCAAATACATCAATTAATTATTATAAGGTTGTGCCGTTGGGAGTATTGATATTAGCACTATTCCTCGATTGAGTAAATAAAATCTATGCCAATTTGAAAATATCAGAAGTGACTTGAGATCTAACATAAAATCCAATATCTCACCCACTGGTCGAATTGTTTTTGTCTGGATTCAAAATTTTCATCATGGACATACATAAAAATCAATTAAGAATTCATTCTAGCTAATCACAAGAATATACATATTAAAATATGTATAGTTGAATGATGCTTCACCTAATAAGATGTATTAATTTTTCTCTTAAGTTTCGAAATCAAATTCGAATTAACTTTTAAGGTTTTAAGTATGTATATTGTATATTGTATACAGTACAATAACAAAAAGGTCTAGGTTTTAAAAAGGAAGAGCCGTACGTGAAAAGTAGTATAAAAAGAAACAAAGAACTCGTATTATACGTATGCATGGCCATAAAGCATACAATAATATTGTTAGATCATAATGGAACGCACAATGCATATAATCCAAAAAAACTTCGGTTTTCTTCTATCCAATCGAACAGAGAGGAACTATAACTCCCCAAAGTACACTGAACAAAAATTAAAAATAGGAACTCCAAGAATAGTTTTGTCTCTTTCCAAAGATATCAAAAGGTTAATAGAGAATCGAAGTCTGACCAAGTCAAGCTACAAAAATTAAAAAGGGGTTTGCCTAGTTGTTGTTGTGTTGTTATTGTGGCCATCACTTCCACTTCTCCAAGGTCACTAATTAACGACAACATCGAACCCAATACCTTTACCACGCTTTCATTGAATCTCTCTATATGGAATGGAGGACCAGCTTCTTTCTTCTTCCTCTAATTCATTCATTATTCGATGATAATCTCATTTGGTCTTTACAATATCGTTATTTGTAATGGCTAATTGTTATTAAACGACTACTAGCTAGCATGTAATGTAAACATATGATGATCTGATGTAATGGGGAAAATGACACTGTCTTTGTTTATACACGTCGCATGGCTATGATATAGACATATCCACAATTAAAGGGGCAAAGTTTTTTGACTGTTTATATCTATAAAATCCATGTAATGACCATTTTTTTGGCTAATTAATGACTACTATATACTCTATTCACCGATTTGTATTAAAATATATAAAATCTGTGGGATTTAGCAATAGGGGTAAAGATGGATGGATGGATGAATGGTCCACGTCTATGGGCCTTTCAAATCCAGCTGTTCACATGAATTATTCATTTGATTTACTCGGATTATATTATGTTTTGTTTTTTTCTATTATATTTTCTTTAAATAAAACGAAGGAAATGTGTCTATGACTACGACAAATGATTATACAATTGGCGTATTAACGACGGAGATTACAATGCCAATACCAATTTCCAAATGACCAAAGCAAATAATAATCAGGAAAAATCTGACATGTGTTTCATTGTATAGTATAAAACTACTAAATAATACTATTTCCAAATAATCATAACCATTCAGACTGCAGGGAAAAAAAATTAATTAAACCATTTGTAATAAGAAATGAATCAAATGGATTCTTTAAAGGTTGTCTCCTGTTTCATGGCAGCCTTCACACTGTTTATGTATACAGAGAGCATTATGCATGATTAAAGGATAAAACCAATTTGACTTATTAAACATATCTTTTTTTCTTATAACCTGAGGATTCTGAAAATCCATTATAATATCTTAGTGTTCTAAACTTGCAAGTTCATATATACTATTATAGTTGTGTGCATCAAATATTTAGAGTTTATATATATGTTAGTGTATTATATAATTAACAAATAAATTATTCCTCTATATATATATCATCTAATACATGAGGAAAATATCTTGACATATAGTTTCAAGGTAAACAACTAAATAACTAACCCTAGACTTTTTGATTATCCTCTTTATGTTTTTTTCTTCCCGCAACAAAAGTATAAATCACAGAGGATATCACCTTTTTAATACTATTATTCATATGTACTATCCTCAACTTTTATATCCTTTTCATTTTCATAGGCAAAAATATGTGATTTTGATATGCATGAAATGATTATTTTACAATAGTAGAGTATACACTACGTAATAAATAATTGATTGGAAATGGAAACACATATATACTAAACAGATGATTAGAGAAATTAAAATAAGTAGAGAAGTTGACGGCAATTACACTACTTAAACCCACGGGTCTTGCTCCTCGGACACACCCCAAATGATCCCAATAATTATTCTTCTCTCTCTCTCTCTCTCTCTCTCTCTCTCTCTCCCTCTTTTATCTTTTCTTTTTTCCTCTTAATCATCATCTCTAATCAAAATATAACCTAAAACATCAAAAGAGAGAGAGAGAGAGAGGTTTAATAAGTTAATATGGAGACGGAGGAAGAGATGAAAGAAAGTAGTATAAGCATGGTGGAAGCAAAGTTACCGCCGGGATTCAGATTTCACCCAAAGGACGATGAGCTTGTCTGCGATTACCTGATGAGACGAGCGTCGTCGTCGCTTCATCACAAACCACCTCTCGTCTTGATCCAAGTCGATCTCAACAAGTGTGAGCCTTGGGACATCCCAAGTACGTCTTTCTTTCCATTTCACTCTTGATTCTTGATTCTTGATGATAGAATCTTTATTAATCCATCTTTCTTTTTCTTGCATATGATCGAGTTATATGTCATCAATTAATATGAGTGTATTATGGTTTTATTATAGAAACAAACCTTGAATATGGTGGTTAGTCCATAGTATTAACTAAAGAAAAGTTGGATCGATCGATATCGTTCGTTTCACCTCGCTTATCTTACTTTCAATTTATACGTACAATGTAGTCTTAATATATAACATATATATACAACCCTTATTCAAAACATATAACAAAATTGGTCGATATATACATCTCTTTGTTACGGATTAATGGGGTAAAATACAAACATTTATATACATACTTTAAAGGGATTTGTAACTTTATATAAGTCTTCTCTGTTGATCAGATGCTTATATATATATATATATGATGTAAACAAAGAGTAAAAATATGTATTATTCAAAAAAAAAAAGAAGAAGAGAGAACATATGTATTACGTAATAATTTTGGAAATTTCGAGAGACTAGCTATACAAAAATATATATGAGAAGTTGACACTCTTGGCGTTATCCTCAACCAAAATTCTTTAAAAGAAAGAAGAAAAGATTTGGATAAAATAAAAAATAAAGATAGCTACTAGTAACGGACAAAAAAGTCAAATTCTCGATTTGTTTTGTATGTTTTACAATCTTATATAATAGCTAGCGGCCTTTGAGTGTGACATCTGCTAATAAAAGTTGCAAAGAAAAAGAATGAAAGTAAAAAAAAAAAAATATGAACAAAGTATATGATTAAGCAGTTGAAATATGCGTTTGGTTTGATCATACTTTGTAGTATTGTTATTTATTTTGTTATTCTCTCTCTCTCACACACACACCTTTGCGCTTACGCCTCTAATCCGTCCGTCCTGTGATTTAAGTTTTCAAATCAAAAAGATAAAATTGACATTTCAACTGCTTAATCATATACTTTGTTCATATTATTGAATTTGCTTAGTCGTCGTCGTCGTCACTCATTTGATGATCTCTCTAAGATATTTTTCTTTAATCCAAAAACCAACAAAATCCACAAAAAAAAAAAAGAAATATATGGAAATAAAAAAACCAAAAAATGCTCTATAGATAGATAGATAGATTAGTCATTCACACGCGTTGGTTTGTGGTTGAAGAATCAACATGTTGACTTTGCTCTTTAGTTCAATCCCCTCACGGATCTCTATTCTTCTTTATATATTTTTATTCGTATTATGGCCAAGCCGATATATTTGAACATCCAATATTTTAAATATAGCCAAAACTAAAATAAATTATGTCTCAAACTATATTTTGTATTATTGTCAACAAAATCATATTTATTTGTGTGTGAGAGTTGATTAACCGAGTTAAGATTTAGCAAACAAAAAGATAGAGAATTACTATTAAGGAATTGGCTCCTAACATTAATTATGTGAGTTCGTTCGTTAGTAGGTGTTTTATATTACTACTCATAATGGTTCCGCGTATGAACATTTTCAAATGATCAGAAATGGCATGCGTGGGAGGCAAGGATTGGTATTTCTACAGCCAAAGGGACCGCAAATACGCGACCGGGCTGAGAACAAACCGAGCTACGGCCACCGGATACTGGAAAGCCACAGGCAAAGACAGAGCCATTCTAAGAAAAGGTAAGCTTGTTGGGATGAGGAAGACGTTAGTGTTTTACCAAGGTCGAGCTCCTCGTGGTCGTAAAACTGACTGGGTCATGCACGAATTTCGTCTCCATGGATCTTATCACCCTCCCGATCATTCTCTGACTTCTCCAAAGGTATGTATACCCCAGTTTATTAGATCATCATTTTATCTCTCTTTTGAGCAAAAGAGTAAATATTATATGTTCCCCATGTGTTGTTGTTGAGGGAAACAGGAAGACTGGGTCTTGTGTAGAGTGTTCCATAAGAATACTGAAGGACTTATATGCAGAGACAACACGGGAAGCTGTTTTGATGAGACAGCCTCTGCATCTCTTCCTCCTTTGATGGATCCTTACATCAACTTTGACCAAGAACCCTCCTCTTACCTCAGTGATGATCAGCACTTCATCATCAATGAGCACGTACCCTGCTTCTCCAATTTGTCACAGAACCATACTTTAAACCTAACCAGCTCAGTCTCTGAACTCAAGACTCCTTGCAAGAACCCTAATCCCTTGTTTACCAGTGCTTCATCCCCAGCCACGCTCACAGGCCTCGACTCCTTCTCTTCCTCAGATCAGATGGTTCTCAGAGCTCTTCTCAGTCAGCTCACTAAGATCGACGGAAGCCTCGGGGATAAAGAATCACAGAATTATGGAGAAGGTAGCTCGGAGAGCCTCTTGACCGACATTGGTATTCCAAGCACTGCTTGGAAGTGCTGACAATGTAACGAGAGTTATTATTGCTATATTCATATCCATGATTGGAACAATTCTTCAGGGGGAAATCATGTGTGCGTATCTGATTGTACAAACATTTCCTCACTCTTGTACCCAGTAGATTCATGTAAAATACCACTTAAGACGTTATACATATATATATATATTTCACCCTAGTTCCATTTGTTTCGAGGTAAAGGTCTGCTTTTCAGGGACTTCTGTAGAACGATTAATAAAAAAGATACTATGGAACACTACCTGTGGACATGATAGAATTCACGATTGCATATCCAAGGCAAGTGATTCCTGAAACAGAATTTGAATGATCAGAATCAATTTCCAGAACAAGAACCTAAGAATAACAAGTTTTCTCAGTAGGAACATATATTGAATCCTTTGAGTCTACCAATGTACATGGATTCATCCATCAACGCAAAGGCATTGTCTGGTTCGTACATCAACTTAGTAGAAACTGTCAAGTTAATTTAGGTTGCTTACTTTCATAGATGTCGCCAATCGAAACCATTTATAAGTACTGCGAATGGTACTTTCACAGATAGAACTACAATTGCTGTCATTTCTCAAGAGATCAAGTAAAAATTTAGGAATATCACATAATATTCTGATACGTATTTGTTTAGAGTTCACGAGGAAGAATGTCGTGGTTATTTTACATGATTCTAGTAGAATATTTATATAAATGTATATATAACTCTTTTTAGAGATACTGGGGATACACTCAATAGGGTACCTATAAGCTGCTGGAAGTCTGCAAAAGCTTTGACGCTGCAGCTAAGCCACTGAGTATGGCACCTTCAACATTTGGGCTGACACAGAAATCCCCACAGATTGCTAAATTCCGGTTTCTATCCCAGAGGCACCTCTCCTCTACTGCTATACTTTTGGCTGGAAACGCACTTCCCCTAGAGACAACAAATCATTAAGCTGACAAGCAATTACAGAAGGGCTAGGAGTCCGGGTGCTTACCATCTGTGGGCTTTCATGAAAAAGGGGAGGGAACTAACGAGGCCTGAGGACTGAAACTCTTTGAACATCTCTTCAGCTATTTTGTTTAATGTTTCATTTGATAGCTTCTGGAGGCCGGTTCTCGCAATAACACCATTAGCATAGTCTGGAGTCGAATGCAGTATCCATCTTTCACTAAATAGTCAAGAAAGAAGCCAAAACTTTTAGAAAACTGAAACAATCTTACCCCATATATCTGTTTGCAACTGCTCATATACTGTACACTACTACTTGGTCGGGTCAATCTCACTTTTGAAATTGGAAAAAAAATCAAATCATAATGTGATTTCACAATTTTTGTTTTGGTTAGTGAAGTGATATACCTATCAGTAGACCGTCCTGGCTTAGTGCTATCACAGTGAGCCCAGCTCAAAATCTGAGAGTTCTTGAAAGATAAGCCTTTTACTGGCATCTGATTCAAGAATGAAGCATCATAGAATATGGAAAATGACAGAAATTAGCTATGGCTTTCACTAAATTACTGTTTCTGCAAACTTATGTAAATGAACCCAAATACTCTGGCTAACAGATTGATTACAGAGTGGAAAGGAAAAAATCTTACCAAAGACAATGGCTCCTTGAAAGCTAGCATAAGAGAGAAGCATGGTAGAACAGGTATAGGTTGCAGTTTAGCTGCCAACTCCGGGACTAGACTTAAGTCTGTGATAATAAAACAAATAAAAGTGAATAGAGATAAATGTGATATATTTATTGAAACGAAAACCGTAGGAAGACTGAATTCATGCAATTCTTACCCAGTGGCGGTGGGAGTCCGGTGACTTGAGTAAATCTTGGAGAAACAATGTTTTTATCTGATGCAACCACTCCATCGAAACGACCCAAATTTTCTCCTTTTGAATCTGTCAACAACCATGGTATCTCTTCTTCCAACCATTCCAGCTTGGCAATACCAGTGCCAAACATACTTTTAACACCTACAAATGTTGATCACAGAGTTGATTACAGAGACTGATATTTCAGAAATTTGAGTTAAATCTCTCGACTATAAAAATTAAAGAAAGTACCAGATTCATGACACAAGGCCTTAGATATAGAGTTCATGCCCGGAACACCCACATACTTCTTTGCATCCCCTTCCTAGATAGTAGACACATTCAAATAAGAAAGCCTCAAGCTCAAAGATGAATAATAAAAGGAAAATTATTGACTACTTGGGGATCAATCAATCCTAGTATCAAGTATCTTACAACCGCAGAGGCGGCAACTTCATAATCGACTAAAGTTTTCAAATAAGCACAAAGACTGGTGATTTAAAACCTGTTGGATGCCAAGAAACTTGTTGGAGGCACAATCGAAGCTCCCAAAAAGTTGTTTCCATTCAGAAACAAAACCTCTGGACTCCCACTCATGAACAAGAGCCATTGCATCAGAGTTGCTCACACAGAAATATGGAGCTCCATGATCAAACATCAACTCCTTCCCATCTTCTCCAATCTCTCTGTTTAAACGAAACATCATTCGAAGTTTAACACTTTTCAAGTTTCACAAACAAGCAAACTCTATGCTATAGATCACCGACTCTATCAAAAGACTGGAGCTTATGATTAGGGAAAAAAGGAACCTTCTTTGAGACATGCGTCCACCAGGTCCACGACCCGAGTCGAAGATAGTGACGGAGACGCCATTCCTTGCCAGAGTCGATGCGCACACAGCTCCGGAAACTGCTCCGATATGAACAATTGAAAAGTTATTTTCAAGAATGGAACCTAAAATAGAAATCTAAGAATAAAATTGAGAAAACCCACTTCCGCCGCCGATAATGGCGACCTTCATTGCGACGGCAACGCTGCTCATTTGCTTCCGAATCGCCGGCGAAATTGTTGTGGCTGCCATCGTCTGCACTCTGCCTCGTCCTTCCAGAAAGAACGAAGTCTCGTTTACTATTTTGGCTATGCAACTGCGTCCCGTTTCAGTTACTAAAAACGACAGCTCGTTTACACGCCAGGTAATTTTTCATAGTATTTAACAGTTATTTCATTCAAAATATAGCCTAAGTATAATTAAGCTATACAATGATAGATATTTGAAAAAATAATATATATTTATTTCACAAAACTGACTGCTTTGGAGAATTATATGTAATGTAATGTGAATTACATGTATTTAATTAAAACAAGTTTGCATAATACAAATCATACAAACATATCACGACCAGTTATGAAAGCATAATTAATGGTTATCTAACTCTATAACTCTCATAATGCATTACCTGGATATCATTGACGCTTGGATAGAAAACTGCCTGAAAAAAGTTAAGTAAGTATATGTTTAAATACAAGATCATATATAAGCTCGATATATATATATTTGAATAAGGATTGGTTAAACAACTTACTTTAGTTTTATGGTCGAAACGAGCCTAAGGGAAACACAATGTCACTTGACCTATGGCTAGTCGCTGCTCTATAAGTCTTCATTATCCTATTGAGCAATATCAGCTCTGGACGATGTAGTAAAGAAGGCAACATCCATAGACTTGGGCACTACTGCAACAGTTTTCGTTAGACATTTCCTACCAATTTGAGCAACGAGCAACTCTGAAGTGGGAAGGTGTTCGGTACGTCCATGTTGCTTCATGACGGCAGATATACCTCGAGGCTCGAGTAAAAGCATGAGCCAAACAATATTGTCTGAATTTTTCAAAGAATAAACAAGTTTAGTTCATTTAAATCATTGTTTTTATTGGAAACGTTAATTACTAGTAGAGATACATATATGACATAATCATTTTGAAGAACGACAAAACTTTCATTTGAATGACCACCAACTAAAATGGACCTCTTGAATCTCCAAGATTAGAGAATTTCACCAACATCCAAATAGGACTAAACATAACAGACCATCAAAACATGTCACACAATTGTAAATTTCCAGATCATTCTTGTACCTTGAGAAAAGAAAAGGAGTCTTTTGTCTGTAATAGTTAGCAACTTCTTGTTTAACTCGTTAATTTTTTCCCAAATCTTCTCAAGAATTTTCTTCATTTGCTCCATTTTTTTGCATTGATTAGAAGAAGAAGATAAGTTAAAAAAAAAAGAAAGAAAGAAAAAGACAATACAAAACTATTTAAACATAAGCTTAGAAGAGGATATTAAGATACCTCAGGTACGAGGCTTTCCTTTTTCTTGAATCCATGGAAGGAAAAGAGAGGAGTGAGATGATTCTTTCACGTACGAAAGCAAGCAGGCACCAATTGAGCTTCCTATATATATTTTGAGATTTTCTCTGAATTACAAAACAAAAACTTATATATATATGTATATGTGTTTCATATTACATATATTTGGTTACACATAATCCCAAGACACAAAATATGCAATTCAGCTTAGAGATCATAGACAATTCAGGTGATTTGGTGCTTTCATTCAATATGCGTTGTTGTGATATAGAGACAAAGTGATCTGAGCAGAGACAAATAAGACTCGATCGATTAGAGAACCACTTTAACAACACAATTTGATTCGATAGTCAACTGATCAATTAATTTCAAGTAACCACACCATCGAAACTCAAACAAACTCTCTGTCAAAGAAATTACCTAAAGATACGTACGGTGCATGGTTTCATAGGCTTCATAACTTGGGAATATTGACGATCGAAAGCTAAATTACTCTGTCACTCTCACAATTAAGAAGAGAAGAAAAAAAAAAACAAGTGTCAATGCCGCCGTCACAGGAGGAGTTGTTTATTGAGATAGGTCGTTTAATTTTTAACCTTAGTTTATTTAAAGTGGTTTGTTTATTGTTAGTATAGTAACTTTGCAATATGTATATATATTTTTGTAATTTTAGGGTCTCGTGATTTAAAAAAATTTAAAGTAATGATGACAACTCAAAAACATGACATGGATTTGGTTTTTCCTAGTCAAACTTGTAAAAAAAAAAAAAAACAAGTGAAAGCTAATTAAATAATATTTTTGTTGTGAGCTAAAATAAATACAAAGGGATATGTTTGGATATAAAGACAGAACCCAAATAAATCTCATCATCCTCTTCTCTTTTTGCGTCCATTGTTCTCGTCACAAATATCGCACGTGCGTGTGTGTGTGTCATCATCGATCATCGTCATCGTCATCGTCATCAGTCTTCGACCAGGACCCAATTCCATCCTTGTTCGGTCGTCTCTTGTTGTTGACTGTTTTACAAGGCTTCGACAATCTGCCCCAAACCCAATTCCCTCAGGTTTTTAGGGTTTTCTTTTTTTCTTAACAATACCTTTGCCTTATGTTGTTTTTACGTTAGGGTTGGTTTTTGACTCTCGATCGCTTGGATCTCTTCGTGTTTGGATTTGACGATTATATCCCTATTTAGTACTACATCAAGGGTTTTGTTGACCTTGGTTCTGACTTATTAAATTCGTAAAGTAGTAGTAATTTGGGACTGGTTTTTTGCACTTTTGTTCAGGTCAATTAAGAAGCTCTCTTCACATGCTCTGTTGAAAAGATATGAAGACGATTCCTCAGAGCTCTGTTGCCGTATCGGCATCGGCTCCTCAGCAGCTGGCTACTAGTGACTTGAGCAAGTTGCGTAATGTTATGCGATTAAAGATGTATGACATCTTCTTCTTCTCTCTCTCTTCTCTTTGTTATGTGATTGCTAAATAATAAAAAACCCTATGAGATTGATTTCTCTCTATCCTCAATATTTGTGTACAAACAAACAGTTTGGCTTTCTTAGCACCAAGGATAAAAACAAGTGGTTCAGAGTCTGATAAAGCCGCCAACTACCAAAAGCGTGCCAAACAATACACAGTTTTTGTAGATGATATACTCTGGAGCAATGCCCAATCATTGAAGGACTACGCCGATCAAAATACTCTTAAAGCCCGCTGTGATAATGTGGTCAGACGCTGTTTGCTGCGCCCTCCTCCTAATGCTGCTACTCCAAGTTCTGTTGCCATGATGAATGGATGTGTTACAGCCACCCGCCCTCTCGATACTTTCCAATCCGGATGCCCACCGCCAGTTACTTGCACCAACGGAGGTACATTCATTACTTATATATCTTAGTGCAGTTATTTTGATCTATGTGCATACATATCCTGACTCTTTCAAAACAGTTTCTGCAGGGTTTTCTTTTGGGACTGATCACATGCAGATGCAGCAATATTCTGCTTCTGCTGGTGCAAATAACTTTAATCACCAGATGGTTGATATTTATAGGCCAAATGTGAACCAGTTTACTTGTGGGGTCTCTAGCCCTCTGATTACTGGCGCAGGTTTTAGCAGCAACTGTGGTGTACCACTTCCTAATGGACCTATGGCTTCTCAAGAGCTCTTCACTACTCCTACCCATTTGTCAGCTTTGTCTCAACCTTTTCCGCAACCTCCTGATCAGTCAAACATGCATAGTAAATCTCTCTCTCTCTCTCTCTCTCTCTCTTTATTCTGTTTCCAATGTTCTCTTGAATTGTTGTTGGTGTCTCTATGTTTCTTACAAGTTGTTATCTTCCATGTGAAGGATACTCAATGAGCAACGTTGCTTCTTTTGGGACAACCAATCCCTATGGAGTTGTTATGCCTTCTGTATCAATGGCAGTTTCTCAGCATTCAGTTCCATGGAACTCCAATCCTATGCTTCAGGGAGTTGACTCCACCGTCACAAGTAATCTGCAAGGAATGCAACAGTATCCATTGCCCAAACGTCAACTGCATCAGGCTCTGTGGAATAATCAGTTCCAATCTGCTTCCACTAATCAAGATCATTTGGCTCACGGGTTTCACCAGCAAGCTCCTGATACTGACCACCAAGGACTACATTCTCAAAATCTTTACTCTGGTCAACTTGACAAGGATGCTTATCTCACTCAGCAAGCTATGGGTTTAGCTGCTCCTGTCATTAATAATGGACCAAGCTTAGATTCATACGAAGAAGCTCTTCACAGACAGGTTACTACAAATGGTTTCAAACCGTCCAAGTTGCAGTGCCAACAGGCTGCTGTTAAAGACCACTATATTGGTGCTCAAAGTGCATCTGTCCATGGTAGTCAGATGAATTCTTCTCCATTTTTCCAACCACGTCCTCAACAACAGCAGTCGGCATCAGTCCCAGTTCAGAGGAGGCAGCCATCTCTACAGAAATCAACTGGAATATCAGAAAACTATGATGGACAGAGAGGACATACTGTGGTAAACTTATGTCAAAGTAGTGCTATGCAGCCTGAACCTGTTCATCGTTTATCATCTCCAATACCGCATATAAGCAGCCAAACTGTTTCTCCTAGGAACACAGTTGAGAGCAAACATCTTGGGGATGGAAACGGTACAACACCGGTAAACGGAGATTGTGGTCAAGCGCATAAGAACGTGCAGCGGTGGCTTGTGTTTATGATCCATGTACGTAAGTGCAAGGCAAGAAAAGATAAGTGTGCCACCGAGTATTGCTTCCAAGGCAAAAAGATGTGGAAACATATATGCTTCTGCAAGCTCCCTGATTGCACATATAGCTATTGTCTTCCAACTCGGAAATGGATTCATCATTACAAGAAGTGCGGACAAAAAACGTGCACTGTCTGTGGATATGTCAAAAACTACAAGGAAAAGAACAAAGAAATAAGTGTAGCTCTCCGTAGAGCTAAGTATAGCTCAGGTAGTTCAAAATGTCAGCCTAGGAAATCCTCAAAATCCAGGCAAGCATGCAAGAAAGGAGGTGCTGAAGCTCCATCTGTTGATGCTGATCTGCAACCCTCAGTGAAGCGCCGCAAGGTACAGCGACCCTCCCAAAATGCCATTCCCGTGACGAAGAACATTTCAGTGACAGGAAGTGGTGTTGTATGTAAACCTCATTCCTCAATGAATATGAAAAAGAAAAATGGTTTGAAAAGTGATGACTGCAAAAGTGTCAGACCTGTGGTTATGCCCATGGACATAGATGTTCCTGATGCTTGTGGCATTCCCGTTACCCGGGAACTGGAGAAGCAAGTTGCTGAAGATACTCCCAAGGGTATAAACTGTGGTGGTTTCACAAAGGATGACAAAACTAGTTGCTTATTGGCACAAGGAAAATCCAAATGTATGAATGAAGTGAGTGCATCAAAGGAAGAAGGGAAATCCAAATGTATGAATGAAGTGAGTGCACCAAAGGAAGAAGAGAATGTGAAACAGTCTGTGGAAGTTGTAGATGCTTCTAAAATGGAAATCTCATCACTCGTTGAGTTATTTAGTCCAGAGCAAGTAAAGGGGCATATCCGCAGTCTTCGTCAGTGGGTAGGCCAGGTAAGCTGTCAGATTTTAATACTTCAGTTCTTGTTTGAGTTCATTCTTGTTCTGTTTTTGCATCCTCTTTTGGTCTAAATTAACTAAGAATGCACATGGCTATACATCAACGGTGGATGATTCTAGTTTTTTCCTTTGTCTATTTTCAGAGTAAAACGAAGGCAGACAAAAACAAAGCAATGGGGTGCACCATGTCTGAGAATTCTTGCCAGTTGTGTGCTGTTGAGAGGCTTGTATTTGAGCCAATACCTGTTTACTGCTCGCCATGTGGTGTACGCATCAAGAAAAATGCCTTGCACTATTATTGTGTTGTGGCTGGTGAGTCAAGGCATTATGTCTGTTCACCTTGCTACAATGAAGCGCATGAAAACTTGGTTTCTCTTGATGGAACTTCTATACCGAAAGCAAGTCTTGAGAAAAAGAAAAATGATGAACAAGTTGGAGAAGGGGTATGTATATATGCCTCATCACTTGTAGGATTACTAAAATTTGCTTCTTTTGTTTCTTTTTTTTTCCACGTCTGAACTAATGGTTTCATATGCAGTGGGTGCAATGTGACAAGTGTGAAGCCTGGCAGCATCAAATATGTGCTTTGTTCAACAGCAGAAGAAATCATGGCGAGGCCACCAAGTACACTTGCCCTAATTGCTATATACAAGAGCTGGAACAAGGCGAAAGAAGACCATTACCACCGAGTGCCATTCCTGGAGCAAAAGATTTACCAGTTACTGCTCTTAGCAACCATATAGAGGAGCGCTTATTCAAAAAGTTGAAGGAGGAAAGACAGGAGAGGGCTAGACTTCAAGGGAAATTTTTTGAGGAGGTGATCTCTCTAACTCTTTTGATGAATCTTCTGTTTCTGCTAAAGGGTGTCAACTGTTTTATGCTTTTGTTCTATCTTGAGTATGATGAAGCTTATCTAGAGTACTATTAGACACCTCACAGTTTAATGCAGCTTTTATGTCTAAGTTATAGGGTTACTTGAACAACTTGGAGCAACTTTTATTTACAGAACAGTTATGATGATAATCATATACCTTTGTTATTGACATGTCAGGTCCCTGGAGCCGAATCACTTACTGTCAGAGTTGTGGCATCGGTTGACAGAGTAGTAGAAGTAAAGGAAAGTTTCCTTGAGATTTTCCGAGAAGAAAATTATCCTTCTGAATTCCCATATAAGTCCAAGGTAGCAATGGTTTCATGATTGGTTCTTTTTATTCACTTTCATAATGTCTGTTTGGCACTTACACATCTCTAAATGTGTTATATTTCAGGTCATATTGTTGTTTCAGGAGATTGAAAATGTGGAAGTGTGCTTGTTTGGCATGTTCGTCCAGGAATTTGGAACAGAGTGTGGACCTCCCAATCAAAGGCGGGTCTACCTTTCGTATCTGGACTCAGTTAAGTATTTCAGACCTGAGGTTCGAACAGTGTCTGGAGAAGCCCTCCGCACGTTTGTGTACCATGAAATTCTGGTAAGCCACTTTTCCTCTATTCGCACAGCTTCTTTTGAGGTTTCATGTATACATGAGCCTTATCACCATGGACTTGTTCTGAATTTGCAGATTGGTTATCTCGACTATTGCAAGAAACGCGGTTTTACAAGCTGCTATATATGGGCATGCCCCCCAATAAAGGGTGAAGATTACATTCTTTATTGTCATCCTGAAATCCAGAAGACGCCAAAGAATGATAAACTAAGGGAATGGTATGAGACCTGTCCGTTCTTGTTTTTACTTGTTTGTCACGTGTGATTTACAATATTTCTTGGCACTTATCACATTTCATATCTTAATTTACAGGTATTTAGCAATGTTAAGGAAGGCTGCAAAAGAAGATGTGGTCGTCGAATGCACAAACTTCTACGATCATTTCTTTGTCCAATCTGGCGAATGTAGAGCTAATGTAACTGCTGCAAGGTTGCCATATTTTGATGGAGACTACTGGCCAGGTGCTGCTGAGGATTTAATACGTCAAATGAACCAAGAAGGTGATGGTGCGGTTCCAAATAGAAAAGGATTGACCAAAAAGGTCATATCGAAAAGAGCTCTTAGAGCTTTTGGCCAGTTGGACCTTTCTGTTAACGCCTCAAAGGATCGACTGATGATGCAAAAAGTAACTTCTTCTCATTCTCTACTCCACTATATATTGATGATGCCTCACGTCTTTAGCTCATGCTTTATTTCATTTGTTCTGCTTTATGTAGCTCGGTGAGACCATTTGTCCGATGAAGGAAGATTTTATAATGGTTCATCTGCAACATTGCTGCAAGCATTGTAGCACTCTCATGGTATCTGGGAACCGGTGGGTGTGCAATCAGTGCAAGAATTTTCAGATATGTGACAAGTAAGAGCTCTGCTATAATATGACCATATTCAGGTTATCGTATACTTCTTCAAATTGTTCAATTAAACCAATCTCTTTCAACCGCAGGTGTAATGAAGTGGAACAGAACCGCATAGAGAAAGAGAGACATCCCATAAATCATAAAGAGAAACACACGCTATTCCCTGTAAGTTTCTTTGGTGGTTAGAGCTTTAAAAGTTTCATTCTCTCTCGTTATTTTTTTTTGTATCTTGGAACCTAATGAGGTGAGGATCTTTGCAGATGGCCATCGAGGACGTTCCCGCAGAGATTAAGGACAAAGACGACAACCTCGAGAGCGAGTTCTTTGATAATAGACAATCTTTCCTGAATCTTTGCCAAGGAAATAACTATCAGTACGACACTCTAAGGCGGGCGAAACACTCTTCCATGATGATTCTCTATCATCTTCACAACCCAACTGCCCCTGCATTTGCCACCTTTTGCACGATCTGCCAACAAGAAGTTGAAAGCTCTCAGGGATGGCACTGTGAAGTTTGTCCAAACTATGATGTCTGCAGTGCCTGTTACTCTAACGCGTCTATCAACCATTCACATAAACTGATAAGTCGTTCCTCTTCTGCGGATACTAGTGCTGTACAACACAACAGGCAAACTAATCAAAACTATCAAGCCGTGATGAAGAAGGTATTTTTCTGATAAGCCATTTAACTATATTTAGACTGTTTCTCTGTGTGTGTAGCTTCTAGAAACAGATTAATAAATCTCGGGTTGTTGATATTTTCAGGTAAAAGAACTGCTGCTACATATGGCTGCATGCCGCTCTACAACACTGTGCAAGTATCATGGTTGTCGTAAGATGAAGTTGCTCTCCAGACATTCTTTAGCATGTAAGACTGGTCCTGGAGGTTGCCCTTATTGTAAGAGATTTTGGAGTATCCTCAGACTCCATGCCCGCAGCTGTAGAGATTCCCAGTGCACTGTCACCAAATGCAGGTACATAGCGAGAGAAAGATAGAGAGAGTTTCACATGCTTTAACACTGATTAAACCAACTTGCTATATATATATATATATATGTATATCTAACTCATTGGTGTTGCATCTCCTTTTAACAGAGAGCTCAGAGATATTAGTAGTAGGCAGCAGCAGCAGTCAGACAAAAGGCGTAGAGCTGCTGTAATAGAGATGATGCGGGAAAGGGCCGCTGAAGCCTCCCGCACTCGCTGACTCATCTGATAAAAAGACAAGCTCGCTGCATTCTCAACAACATCTCTGGAGGCGATTTAAAAAAGAAGAGATTCTTTTGTAGACTATTGTGTAAATTAAAGGAAGACTAGAAGCAAACAGAGGAGTTTTTTCTTCTCTTCAGCAGCTAATTACTACAAATTTAGGATTAGAGGAGGTGCATAGGAAGGTTTTTACATATATGCCAAATATAAGATGTAGGTTGTGGTGGATATTTCATTTGAGTTCTCTTTCAACATTCTTTGTATTGGCTGCAAAGTTCCATATCTTTATCATTTGTTGATTGATTCTTTTGTAAATAACTAGAGGATTTTGGCAATATATTTCTTTCACTGGATCATATAGTAAACACAAGTATATTTACAACAAATAGACCTCAAGTGTTACTATACTTACTACCTTAGAGGATGTTCAGTTTTCAAGTCGTCAGATGCATCGGTTTTATGAGATTTGTGTTCTTCTTCCAAGATCTTCTCCATGTATTTAGCATGTTCTTCTATCCGTATTTGAAGTGACCTCTGTACCTACTCACCCAGCAATTGGTTGAGAGCAAATCTTGATTGAAACTCAGATAACTGTATGGCTCAAACTCTCAACATTCATCAGTTTCATAACAGCCTCAAGAATTTCTTCAGCATATTACAAAAACAACACCTGCTTAGATCAACATTTTGCAGCAAAAAAAACTCTCAAGAAGAGAAGAAAAACAAAATCATGAATATATTTAAGATTGGTTGTTGAAATCACATAAAAGTTAAACTCACTTTCAGGCCCTTCAAGATTGTTCATATAGCTCGGGAATCCATCCCATTCTTGGCTTGTTGTGGTTAACAGTTGATCCTGGAGACAGTTCTGCAGGAACACAGTCTTGGCCAGGGTTAACTTGTTAATATCATTTGTATTAATCAAACCAAAAAGGTAACAAAATCTAAGGAGAGAAACTAACTCTGAAGAGTCTCATGAGTAAGCAAACAAGCTTAGACATATTAAACATTAGTTCTACTGCATCCAAAATATTAAACAATCAATTCCTTTTTATAAGAAAGCAAAAGACAGAAACATTTATTATATTAAGCTAAAAGAATTGATCACACATAACAAAAAAAAATATGGAACTCGATTCACTTTACTCGATCGCACACTAAGAATATAATCTTATCACAATTGCTTCCACATCCATCGAGAGATTTAGCTTTCTCATTCTTCTGTGATTTTTCTCTAATGGCAAACTCCAAGAAGCAAGCATGGTGAAGAACAAAACACTCATGTTTCAATAGTAACACAAAGATATGTTTCTATGTTTCAAGTACTGATAAAACTGTTCTCACTTATTTTCTTGGTGCAGGTTCTTTTGCACCACAGGCTTAACAAGTGACATCGAAATCGAAGTTGATGATATAACATTTCATCTACACAAGGTCTCAAGATTCACCTTTGTCTCTGATTTTTTTTCCAAAGTTACAGTAAAAACTAATTTTTGTGTGTGTTTCTTCTTAAGTTTTCTCTGATGTCAAAAAGCAGAAAACTTCACAGGCTGAGTAAAGAGCAAGAACAGAGTACAGAACAGAGTGATCCTCACATAAAGCTCGAGAATTTCCCGTGAAGTTCAGAGATTTTCGAGACAGTGGTAAAGATAAGCTACGGCTTCAAAGTCGACATCTCTGTTTCAACGGTGGTTCCACTACGTTGCGCCGCCGAGTATCTCGAAATGACAGAAGAGTACTCACCAGAGAATCTAATTTCGAAAACAGAGACGTTTCTCACACACTTCGTCTTCAGTAACAAACGAGAATCCATTAAAGCGTTGAAAGCTTGTGAATCAGTCTCGTCTTTAGCTGAATCTCTCGGTTTAACGGAACAGTGTATAGATTCCATCGTCTCCAAAGCTTCCTCGATCACATGGATTGCTCAGAAGAAGAATAAGGAGAAATTGATAGTTTGGTTTAGGACTAGTGGATCCGGTACTTAGTCATATGGTTAATGTCTCCTAATAATGGGTATAGATGTAAACAGGTCTAAACTCAATCACTAATATGGTCAATCTGGATTCATTTCTCTCTTATTCCCTAACTTTGTTTCTTGTGTCCACAGCTAACAGTGGAGATGAGCTATTGTAAAGACATCAGTCTTATTTTCAGTTTCATATAACCAAAAAGAAAAAAATGCACCTATCGATATGTAAAAGCAAGTTGGCCCTCATGTATTATATATTTTGTTTCTTTGTGTGTTTCTCCACATATCAAGTTTTTACAAGTCTTGTGATTGTGATCGTCACAGAATCAATAAAAACAATTGTTGCCTTATGGCTCTTATCCATTTGAGAATCAAGATTCTGTGACACTTCATTTCTTCCATATATTTTACATGAATTACAAGGACAGATTCTTTCAATTTTATTATGTGGCTTGCCTCAATTCAATGGTTCTAATTCACAAATCGTGTCTGACCTGTCAATAGCGACTCATGTTTTTGTATATAACACCCATTGGACTGAGCACGAAGAGGGCAAGATTGAAGAATAGAAAGCAAAGGGGTCAGAAAAGAATAATACAAAAGTTTGAGGGTTAAACCCATAAAATAAAAAGAGAAGAAAGCAGAGTCCCGCATCCGTTGCCTTCTGCAACTGGAACAAAAACACACGCCACGATGAATGAATGATTTAGAAATCTCTGTGTAAAGATTTGAAATTCGATGAAGAGCGTACCTAACTGGGCTTTGTCTTTCTTCTCCGACGAACTTTCCCGGCTAGCTGTTTCTGATGGTTATATCTGTGCCACCGCGATTTCGCTTCTCGTAATCCTTCTCTTTCATATCTTCCTTTCCAGTAAATTTCGCTTCTTCAGTTCTGCTTCTACTTCTTCCCCTACCGACCCAGTTTCTCATGCCGTGAACTCTCAATCAAGGTAAATAAAGGTTTGATTTTTGCCAATTAAGTTTTTGATTACTCACTTGGGCTAATTAAAAAAACTGCTCCTTTTTTTGCTTAAAGTGTGTTGCTTTCAAACCTTTGAAGGATTCTGCTTGAGAACGGTTCTCTTATCTTTAGGCTTTTATGTGTGTATTTTTTTTTTTCATTGAGCTATTTCCTGATACTAGTTTCCTCTCTATATACTTTTTGCAGGATATCCAGAGTAGTCTCTGATGAAGATTTGAAATTTCTTATTGATAATTTGGAGGAAAGAAATGAGTCTGATGAGATATGGGAAGATGTTATTCACAGAAGCAACGATCGCATTTCATACACTGCTAAACGCTGCAAACCCAAAGTACTTACTTGAATCGTTTTGTGGATATCTTCACTTTTCATTGTGCCTTTTTTAGTCTTTGTTTTGATTACTGAGGTTATAAACAAGCTTTTGCCTCTTCTTTAGGATGGTGGTCCTATGAAATACCTAAGTGTCACAGTCTTTGAGGATTGCTCTGCAGAGATTTTGAGGGACTTTTACATGGACAATGATTATAGGAAACAATGGGACAAGACTATGGTTGATCATGAGCAGTTGCAGGTTGACAGTTATAGCGGAATTGAGATTGGTCGCACGATTAAAAAGTTTCCCTTGTTGACATCAAGAGAGTATGTACTAGCTTGGAGATTGTGGGAAGGAAAGGATAAGTTCTACTGTTTCACAAAGGTAAAAAAATCAACTGAAACTTCTCTCTATGTCTCTGTTTGTTGTTGCTTAGCTTATTTTTTGTTCTTTGGTTATTATTAGGAATGTGATCACAATATGGTACCACAACAGAGGAAGTACGTACGTGTAAGCTATTTTAGATCTGGTTGGCGAATCAGGAAAGGCAAGTGGTTTGCTTATCAATTATTCTCCCAGAAATTATATTCAGTGTTGTTTGAATACCATATAATCAGACATCGAGTGATCATAGTGAGTAAGGCGTTTGTGTTGTCGTCATTTTCCATTTCTTGATATCTATCTAACTGTGAACCTTTACACTTGCTGCAGTTCCCGGTAGAAATGCTTGTGAGATCAAAATGTTTCATCAGGAGAATGCTGGTTTAAATGTTGAGATGGCGAAGCTCGCCTTCTCAAAAGGCATATGGGGTTATGTTTGTAAGATGGAAAACGCACTGTGCAAATACATGGCAACCAGTCATGGAACCCAAGGGTCCATCTTATCTGCCGTGACCTTAATAAAAAAGGTGAGGTTCATATCAAACATCTGCTCTGTAAAGTGGATTTCACTGTCCTGAAACCGAATGTGCATGAAGCAACCGATTTGGTCTTCACTGACATGGATGTTCCTGCAGGTTCCATCAGAGTTAGAAACTCAGACAGATGATGTCACAGTCTCGATGGCAACAATAAGTGGTGAAGGACTGTTGACTCATGTTGTAGCCAAACAAAGGAAGACATTGAGAAAACCATCAAAGAAACTGATAGCAAAAGGCCTGGTACTCGTGGGAGGTGCAATCTGCTTGTCCCGTGGTCACTCCGCCTTAAGTGCTAAAGTTGCATTGGCTTACCTCTTGACTAAGCTGAACAAACGTGGAACTTCTCTCAAGCAGACTACCTAGAAAACCATGATTTAAGTAAATATATCATTATCATTGTGGTGAAGAAACGCTATGACCACACATAGTCATAAACTCTGGTAGATTTTGGTCTTCAAAATGTTGTACCACTAGCGGAAAAATATTGCTTTCCGGTGTTCCGTATCAATGTAAAAGCTCACGTTATAAACATACAAGCCTAAGGTTATATTTCTTGTAAGCTGTCTATAAGGTTTTTATCCTTTTTGAAAAGTTGCGTTTCTATTTCAGTTTTTATAATTCCTTATTGTAAAGGATAGATTTTGATCTGTTATGTTGCCCAAAAAGTGAAGTTTTCTTTTGAGGTTGGCCTTATGTTTCAGAGTCCCTTATGAGAAATTTCTTATCTCCTCCATTTAATTCATGCACTTGGCTGGTCAGCTGTCTCTGTTTAACAGGAAAAGATGGCTGTAATTTCGATTATGTATATAGTATATGTGCATGAATTATATATCTTACGTTCTACTTCTTGATACCATGCACATATATATGTTCCGTAAAAACTGACTGACTCTGATCATTCATATTTTGATTCTCTTATACATTTTTACTTGTTGATGACACATGTATAATATTAGAGTGCTTTCTGTCTATTTCCTTATTTGGGTCGTCCAGAAATATTTTGAGGAGTTTGGCTTGGAAGGTAATGATAATTTTGAATGATCTCCTCAAGCTAGCTCTTTGTATCTTTATAGAAAACAAAATATATGTATTTGGTGCGTTTTTATGGAACTTTTCCTTAAAGTAATTATACTCGAGATCATCAGTCTTGAAACCCTAATTACTCAATAGCGAGTTATATATCTCTCTGTATCGGATTCGGAGATTACTTCCTCTCCAAGATTGTGCGTGCGAGATGGGTTCGTCTTTTCGTCTAGCGGTGATGCAACGTGGGAGTAAGAAGAAGAGAAGAAGAAGAAGACAACCGGAGATTCCTATGGATGTGGTGATGGCGGAGATCCTTACGAGACTACCAGCTAACTTACTGATGAGATTAAAATGCGTCTCAAAGCTTTGGTCATCGCTCATCAGCTCTCGCTACATGAGAAACCGTTTCCTAACTGTCCCATCCCCTCCTCGTCTTTACATGTCTTTGCGGGATCTCACTGAATACCGTAACTGTATGTTACTTACGTTGTCTCCAGACACTGCTGCTCCGTCAACCTTTGTAGTTGACCACAACCGGAATATATCACGGATGGAAAGCCACGTCTTGCAAAATCTTGGTGGCTTCATGTGCTACTGCTTTTCGGGTAAGCCACGGCTCTTTAACCCTGTCACCAGACAACTTGTGACCTTACCCTCCATAGAAAAATACATCTTCAAACTTCCTCCAGAAGAAGGTAGTAGCTCCTGTTATTCTTATTGTTTTTTCGGACTAGACCCTTCTAACAACCGCTACAAAGTGCTCTGCTCCTTTGGTGTATACTTGGAAGATTCGAAAGAGTATAGCTCTGAGCATAGGGTCTTTGTCCTCAAACCTGGAGGAACAAGAAGAAGAGGTTCCTGGAAAAAGGTGGCTCCAACTCCACCAGACTTTCTTCGTCACATTTCGATCCCACGAGGACTGTCTATCAATGGGTTTATATATTACCTGGCTTGGACTGATGTGCTCAAATCTACCGTTGTGAGTTTCGACACTAGATCCGAAAAGTTCATGGCAATGCTGCAGTTACCTTGCAAGAACGTATATCAGCTGCCTGAAGTGGTGGCCGAGAATTTGACTCTTATAGAGTACGGTGGAAAAGCAACTATATTTGACAAAACCAATCTTAGAGACAAGGGTTTGGTGGATCTATGGGTTGTGGAAGATGCCGCGAACAAGAAATGGTCTAGGAAGACTCTCGTTTTGCAGCCTTCTCAGCTCCATCTGGTCAATAACATTATACTCAATGTAAGAGGTACAACCCAAAATGGCAAGGTTCTCCTGGTACCACACGAACTTATTTCTCCCTTTCACGTTCTCTGCTATGATCTGCAAAGCAATGATATGAGAAAGATCGAAATCAAAAGTATACCGGACCACTGGTTTAGTAAGGACAAAGCTAGCGTAGATATTGACTTGATGTTTATGGACCATAGTGAGAGCATCCTCTACCTGGAGACTTGAATTAATCGGCCTTTCTACCTCTAGTGCCATTTCTTGTTGACTTTATAATTTAAAGAATGAATCGTTTGTTTTTCTTGTTTCATTTTATGAGCACTCTCTTTTGATATAAGTCTTTTACGTTTACTACATCTACCTCTCTGTCTAGACTGAGTTTATGAGGTTGGATTGAAATGACCCGACTGGTCCAAACAAGGAAAAATCTCCCTGACTTATAAAAAATAAATGCGTAAGGTTATATCATTCTTGTAACTCTCTGTGAGATTATATAATACTTCAATCTAATAGAACAAAAAAATGACAAGCATCAAAAGTAGGAGAATAATAAAACTTATAAAACTTGGTTTTCTTGCAAATTGCTTCCTCAAAATCGATCAGTGTTTACTAATAACTTCACAAGAAATGTGAGCTGTTACATTGTGTGTTGTGTTATAGCTTATAAAAATATCAAAACAAGTAATATCGATTTACGGTAGTAACTTGTAACTTGTAAGATTTGGTTTCTTTCATATTGCTTCGTCATGATATGAAGATATATTGCTTCGTCATGATAGATATGAATCTATATGTATTTGATTATTTTACCAATTAATCAAGGGCATGTTATTGGATTCTAAAGAATTTGATGACTTCAGTGAAATCATAGAAAAGTGAATAACTAAAAAAGTTTAAAGTATTTCTAAAAGAGATTTCTATAGTCTTGTTATTAAGTTTTCTATAATCTTGTAAAGTTACCCAAAAAAATCTCTATATTTTAATGATACTTTCCATGACTTTATTTTGTGAAGAAAGATGTGTAAATTTATAAACCATTAACATAACAATTGAATTCATTAAGAATCCTAGATTCTTTTGTTTTAGATGAACAACACAAAACCACTTTATAAAATTTTGAATCCAATAACTTCAAATTTATTAAGATTTTGAATAACTTTTTGAATAATAACATATTCTACGTAACATGTAAAGTCATTAAAACTCTATTTAAATCTTAAACCAATAACACTCTTAAGACAATAGGAAAGAAATGTGGGGTGTTGCACTGAGTGTTATTATAGCTTTAGTAGTCATCAAGATCAGTGTCTGGCTTTATAGATGTGCTAACCCTAACTTCTCCGGTAAGCTACCTCCGGGTTCAATGGGGTTTCCGGTGATAGGAGAAACCGTTGAGTTCTTCAAACCATACAGTTTCAACGAAGTCCCTCCATTTGTCAAGAAAAGAATGTCAAAGTTGGTTTTTATTAAGTTTCAAGATTCTGTCTCATTTCTCTTAATTCTTGGCTGATCTCTGTCTCTCTCTGGGGATTGTTACTTTAGGTACGGTGGTTCGTTGTTCCGGACAAATATCCTCGGCTCTAAAACGATTGTTTCGTCAGACCCGGAAGTGAACTTTGAGATTCTCAAACAAGACAACAGGTGTTTCATCATGAGCTATCCAGAAGCTATTGTTAGAATATTTGGGAAAGACAATTTATTCTTCAAGCAAGGAAACGACTTCCACAGGTACATGAGACAGATAGCTCTGCAGCTTCTTGGTCCTGAGATTTTGAAGCAGAGATTTATACAAAAAATTGACCAAGAAACACGCGAACATCTCAAATCTGTCGTCGTCTCCTTCCAAGGCGTCTTAGACATCAAAGATACTGTTGGAAGAGTATAATTAGCCCTAGCTCCATCTATTTTTAGAGGTCACATGTCTATCTTACTCACTTGTTTGTTTTAACGAGTTTTTGTTGTTGTTGTTGTTGTATTGCAGTTGATATTGGAACAAATGATCCAGATGATCATAAGTGACATCAAACCTGAGACTAAGAGCAAACTTATAGAAAACTTTAGAGATTTCAGCTTTGATTTGCTTAGGTCCCCTTTTGATCCTTCTTTTTGGAAAACTCTTTACAATGGTCTTATGGTAAGATCTCTTGTCCATAACTTGTTAGCTCAATAAATTTTCTGGTTATATATATATTAACACCCTGCCTCCACTTTCCTATGTTAAGGCACGCAAAAATGTGATGAAGATGATAAAAATATTGTTCAAAGAAAGGAGAGAAGAAGCAAGATCGGATGGTTTAAAATATGGAGATTTCATGGAGACAATGATAGATGAGGTGGAGAAAGAAGGTGATACTGTGAACGATGAAAGATCTGTAGAGCTAATATTGAGTTTACTGATTGCATCTTATGAAACTACTTCCACTATGACGGCAATAACTGTGAAATTCATAGCTGAAAACCCCAAAGTGCTTATGGAGTTGAAGGTAAATCTTACTCAAAGATCTCTGAAGTGAATAAGTGTTGTTAAAAAGCTTGAATCATATGCTTTACGCTTAACTATGTTGAACAGAGAGAGCATGAGACCATCCTCCAAAACAGAGTTGCTAGAGAGTCTGAAATTACTTGGAAAGAATACAGATCCATGATGAGTTTTACCCACATGGTAGCTTTCTGTTTTTATACTTGTTAGTACAGTAGTTGACTGTTACAATTGCAGGTTTTCATTTCGTTGATTGTTGCAATTGCAGGTTATCAATGAGTCTCTTCGTTTAGGGAGTTTGTCACCAGCTATGTTCAGAAAGGCGGTGAGTGATGTGGAGATCAAAGGCAAGTTAGATTCTCTCTTTTGCATCATAATATAACTACAAATTTGTTACCAATAATCTAATTTAAAAGCTTGTTTTGGTTGCAGGCTATACAATACCAGCAGGATGGATTGTATTGGTTATTCCATCTCTTCTTCATTATGACCCTCAGATCTATGAACAACCATGTGAGTTTAATCCATGGAGATGGGAAGGGAAAGAATTGCTTTCTGGCTCTAAAACGTTCATGGCGTTTGGTGGTGGTGCAAGACTCTGTGCAGGAGCAGAGTTTGCTAGGCTTCAGATGGCTATATTTATTCATCACCTAGTCACAAAGTATGACTTCTCTTTGATTGAGCAATATGATATCATTCGAGCACCCTTACTTCGATTTTCCAAGCCGATACGCATAAGTATCTCCGAAAATCCCTAAAAGCTCGTCTCATCACTATTCAAGTCTTTTTTAGTGTTTATGCCTTTGTGGATACATACCTCACCATTGGTAAAACAAATGATGAATGTATAGAAGAAACTAATCTTCTCTCAGTTAGAAATTTTACAACAGTAATGTTCATACTCCTCAGCCTCTTCCCCTTTCATCATTATTCTTTCTTCATACTTTCGGTTTCAGCAATTAGATGCTCATCAAAGACGGCATTCTTGGCTTGGAGATTACCGTCGGAATCTTCCTCACTACTCCATTTTCTTACAAACTTGGGGACCATGTTTTTTACATCTCGCGCCTCTGACACTTCATCCATATCATTAACTCGTTCGAACCGGACTGCACTCACTTTTCTGGCATTCCCTGCTAGTATCTGTCCCCAAAGGTAGTTAGAGAATAAAATAAGCGTTTTGCAGAATGCCATAGGGGAGTGCTATTATGAGTCTATGTACCTCTAATCTATGAACTTGGTGCTTTTCCTTCTGATCTTGACGCTCGTGTTTACCCTCCTCTTGTTCATCATTCTCTTCCCAGTTCTCCTTTTCAAGAACGACTGTCACACTCTCACCTGTCTTTGGGATATACCCAAAGGCCTCACACACAAAACCTGAGACAGTCTCATACTGATGGCCCTGTGAAAAGGGGAACAAACAATCTTAAGGATCAGTTCTGCTTTTTAGAGGGACACACTAAAGTAGAGTATATTACCTCTGGCATCTTTATGTTGAGTTCTTCAGATAACTGGTCAATCGAAGTGTTGGCATCAACATCATATATCCCCTCCGCTCGCATCACGATATAACCCGTTTTCTTCTGAATCTCCTCCTATTCAGCACAAAACAATGGAAGTGAGAAACAAAGTGAAGAAAATAGACCCAAACCGTGAAGAAGAAGAACAAGTCGACACTAGGATGAACTTACCTTTGAATCATTTTCATCAAATATTTCACCAACAATCTCTTCGACCACATCTTCAAGAGTTATTATCTGCATGGAGAGAAATTAGACAACTTTTCAAGGAGAACAGGAGAGAAAAATAAAGTAAAGAAGAGGACAACCAGCAACATACTCCAATGGTTCCACCGTATTCATTAAGAACAACTGCCATGTGAACCTTTCTTATTCTAAACTCTCTAAGAAGATTCCAAACTGACATCGAATCTGCAAATTTTGACATCACATCAAAATTTATTGTGAGTGTGCATATAATGCCTAAGGTTTAGGTATAAAACTAAAAGAACTAATGCATCGAAGATTACCAGGGACAAAGAATGCAGGTTTATGTGCCATGTCCACCACAGTAGTACTTTCAAGCAATTTACCCTTGAAAACATACATATAGAATAGAAATAAAAAAAACCTCCATAAGTGCACAACTATGGTGTCCTCACTCGCCATCAGTGAAAAGAAAACAAATACAAGAAACAGAGAAAAAGAAGTAGCAGCCAGACCTTTGGAACATAATCTAGGAGATCCATAGCATATGCAATACCAACTATGTTGTCAATCCTCTGCTCAAAAACAGGCACCCTGTGATGAAAACCTTTGAGCACAACAAATAATCCTAAGAAGAAAAAAAAATGTTCTTCAAAAAGCTGTCAAAATTTACAAACCTTGAGTACTGATGGGTAACCCAAAAGTCATGAAAATCAACTAGGCTGCCGCTGCCATCTATTGCAACTACATCAACAAGTGGAGTCATCACCTCTCGGACATGGGTATCCTTAATCTCTAACACATTTTCAATCATATCCTGCAACGTGTGTCATTTAAATTATCACAAGTCTAGGTAATTCATACATACTCATTGAACGTCCATAACAAACTCATACCTGTTCTTCCTCTTCTATGGCCCCACTTAACTCTGCACCACGTAGCATTAGTTTCAATTCATCTTCAGTAACATATGGCTCACTAGCACATAAAGAACAAAAGACTATAGGTAAGTTGTCTTATGGAAAGAGGCACAATTATATATTTTGATTTGGACAGACAACTCCAATCTGATGCATACCTCCGTCCTTTCAAACCAAGAAGTTTTAGAATTCCCATCGAAAGATATGTCACAACTCTTCCAACAGGATATAGTATCAAGGAAAGCCATGCCACTGGTCTGACCTAGATGCATAGTAAGTCAACATAAATCAGACTATCTCTATTATCACATGAGCATATTTTGTTTGTCAAGCCTTTGCTGATGATAACAAATTCAAACTTACCACAATCCTTGCAACCTCTTGAGCATTGTGAACCGCTACACTTTTTGGAGTTATTTCAGTCAGGAGTAATATGGCTACCTATAATCATTCAAGACTCAAAACTTCTATAGCTATCTCGGTCTAGAGGAATAAGTAAAATTTATATGTACCGTCATCAATCCAGTTGCTGCACTAACACCAGCTTCACCAAAAATAGCTGTTGCCGCTTCAGTGACCAAGGCAGTTGCCGCAATATTCACAACACTAAATAACAACCGAAAAAGTTAAGAGACAAAATAAAAATCAAGCAAACATCCCAAAAACAACATTCCAAGTTCGCACGAAAAAGCATTACGTTGTTCCAATAAGTATGGTTGTCAAGAATCTGGTAACATCACTGCGGAGCATCCTGAAAACGCCATTTTCAGGCTCTTTTTCAGCCAGCTCGCGCACCTGAGACAAAACATATAACACCACCACATTTGAAGAAGCATGCCAGAGACAGGAGCATGAACATATGTATAGAGAAAGAAGATATGAGTTAATACCTTCCAAGGCCAGAGAGTGGTGATGGATGTCTCTGCCATGGAGAAGAATGCTGAAAGACCGAGAAGCACAGCTAATATCAAACCTTGCTCTCTAAGAACCTTAAGAACCAGAGAAGTTTTCGGCCAAGCATTCTTCAACAACAATTTGCTCTGACTCAAAGCCACATCCATCACATTCGTCGATGCTAATACTTTCCGACATCCATACAACCAAAAGCCACACACCACTGCTCCTAAAACGATTCCCCGTTTGAGCAAAATCTTAATCGAATCGAGCTGTTCGGTGGAATCGGAATGTTTCTGACTAGTACCCACATGATGTTCACTCGCACTCAACACAACAAACTGATTTCTATGGCTAAACTCACATCTTTTCCGGAACCTAATAAAACTGGAACTAGAGGGACTAGACAAGACATAGAGCGCGGGCTGCTTCTTCTTTTTTCTCTGAAGAAATCTTACTGAAAAAATGGATCTTTGGATACATAGTTGCGTGAAACTTGAGTTCCTCTTGGTGGAAATGAAAGAAGGACCTCGAACAGATAAATCAAGTTCCATATGAATAGGATTAACCACAATCTCTCTCTGGAGATAAAGAGTGTAACCAAATTCTTCTCCTTTTTTTAATTTATAATTCTCGAGTAACTTGATACGCCAAAAGAAGATTTTGGATGTTGATCGAAACTCAACACTAAGACTGATTTTATGAGACAGAGTCGTGCCTGGAATGTTTGCAGAGAAGAAGAAAGGCGGCGTCTTTCCCTCCGCCGAGCAGGTGACACAGAGAGAGAAGAGAGATGGTTAAAATCAGAGAGTTCAGAACCGTTGAGCAGCTATACCGGACCGGTTAACTTGGTTTCTTTTGTCAATAACACTATCCCAAAACAGAGATAACATACACTACTTCTTAAAGGGTAATTTAAGGCCCATTTAACAATTCACTAGGCCCAAATTTACACTACCCTATATTGTTCTTTTCTTTTCTTTTTTCCCGGGAAAATTCGAATTTCGTTTTGTTAAAACTTAATACATTTTCGAGTATCATTCTCTTTAATAAGTTTTAATGTCTCATTTATTTATGAATTTTCAGTTTATTTGTTACCAGCTTTTATGCATTCAAAAATAAATAAAAATAAAAATATAGAAGAACACACCTCTCGTATAATATAAAGGAGGGAATTATTTATTTTAATGTAAGCGTTACATACATATATGGAGGAAACAGAAGCGATAATTAGAAGCGATCAATGATCCTCATAGCAGCATCAGAGAGTTGTGCATATATATTGATTTGGCTAATTACTTCCAAAGACTCTCCAAACAAAGACTCATCAAACTTGACATTTTGGATACTGGAACGACAGCTCCAAGGGTAGCCAAGTGCAAGCTTTATCGATTCAGCGGCTTTGTCGTAATGACGGGTTCCTAGATTCGTTTTGGCTTCCGACAGTTTCCTAGGTACCTCCTTCAGCAAGTTCTGATTGCAAGCCTTCAAAACTTTCTTTACTTGTGCTTCGTCTTCTTTTGACAACAGATCCGTTATGTTGCTACACCAAAATTCAGAACCAGATATACATTAATCATAGATTAAATATAGTATATGGTTATTAGCTAGCTAGCTAGAAGTGAGAAAACTTGCTTGGTGATGATACGGAGGCGAGAGTCGAGACAGTGTATGACGATGCCGGCGATACCAACAGGGTCAGCTTGAAGGGAGGTTGGGTCGGATTCAAGACACTGCATGCATGTGGTCGGGACTTGTGCATTGTGGCATTCAGTTATCATCAGGTCCTTCTCGGCCCAAGCCGGAGAGATGATCACCACTAGAAGAGCTAACAGGACAAACTTGATCATCATGCCAATTATATATTTTCCTATGATTTTTTATGTCTCTCTTCTATTTCTTTGAAGGGTGCATGTGAAGTGAAACACTTATATAAACTGAGAGAATATGATGAAACTGTGGTTGGTCACGAGGTATCTCTCGTTCATGCATGAGGAGGTAGCTAGCTCTGTTGGTCACATACTGTACGCAAGCTCTCAACCTCTATTCAATTTAACCTTTTGTTTAACTGACCGTTAAAATGCAAGCTGCTCTTCTTATTTAATAAGATTCCTTTGCTTATATGTGGCCTAATATATTCCTTTCCTATGAATTTGATGGCAATTTAGTTATATTTTTTTTATATATTTATTTTCTAATTCACATATCACTAGCGTAATAAGGTAAAACTATTTATCATTTTTCATCTAAATATATTAGCACAACTAATATATATACTCTATAGTCTCTATTCACGTAGATCTTGGGATCTCAATCACGTATTCTAATATTCAGTACCCAAACTAAGAAAGAAACTACAGTCGTCGGACTATCACTGTTTAAAATGTAACGTTGGCACTGGTTTTTTCACATGGGTAAGCAAGCTTCCCTCACATTTCCTGGAGTAACCCATAATTATGCAGCTTAGCTTGCATTCATATCTCGTTAAGAGTTTTGTTCTAACCATACTGATTTCATATTGATCAATGTGATCTTTTTTGAGCTCCTCTTCTCTTCAGCTGGACTACTAGCCTCCAAATTACTTACCGGACAAGCTAACGAGTTTGAGCAGTTAAAAATATTATTTTGATGGAGAATAACAAAACTCTTGCATGGCCTGCAGAGCTTCGATACACAACAACGGAAACTTAATTAGCTCTGTACACAATTGAAAGACGTAAACTATACGCAAAGCTCTATACGTACACAAGAGTTGAAATCTTAGAAGACATAGAACTTATAAGAATTCCTTGCAAGTCTCTGTTTTTTAAGATAAAAAAATCCAAACAATCTTAAAGAGGAACAAGAAAATCCTAAAGAGCTTGAAAATCAAAATGTAAAAGTCTCAAGTAAAGAAGACTTTGAAGTTTAAACACATATAGCTTGGACATCCTCTACAAAGTCTAATACCTTGCATTCATATCTCATTAAGAGTTTTGTTCCAACCATACTGATTTCAGAAACTACAGTATACATATACATAATCATTATTGTTTATACATATATAAAGAGTCAATTATACTAGGACTTATATCAGCCTTACGAGTTATGACCCATAAACCCACTTTTAGGGACATTTTTCCTCAAATTTTTTAAGATAAAAAAATTCCAAACAATCTTCTTAAAGAGGAACAAGAAAATCATAAAGAGCTTGAAAATCAAAATGTAAAGTCTCAAGTTATGAAGACTTTGAAGTTTGAACCCACTTAGCTTGGACATCCTCTACAAAGTCTAAACTGGTCAGAACGGAAGTTGGATGATGCTTAAGCTCTTCAAATCCATGAAAATGGATTCTTGTAGCAGTACTGCTCTCGATATTGTAGAAGAAAAGGTAGAAAGGGTAGCAGCACGTGTGCGGCGAAAAGACAATCTCTCCAGTACCGGTCATCCCAACAAATTTGTGGGGGTAGACAATGGATGGTAG